TTCCATAAGTGGAGGGGGGGGGGGGATTTTGTGACATAATATGATAGAGGGAATCCATGTCAGAGGTGTTAAAAGGCCAAAAAATGTGTGAGGTATTATTTGAATACCCCGAATACCGAGATGATTCCATATTTGTCCAGATGTTCTACAAAAATAAATCTTTAGATCAATTGTCATAATCAATTATAAATGTTTGAATTTTAGAACAAGAGCGCAAGGATGCGGTTGGTATTCTCCTGCCGACAAGTGATAAAGGCAAACAGCCATCGACTCCCCACACACCCCATACGCCTCACAGTACCAGTCAGAATAGTGACCACTCGTCAGGTTTTGTGGTTGACGATTCTACACCTAGGAACAATGATCCTGGCCAGAATAAAGGGACGTTCATGCTGGCACCGACCCCCGCTCAACTTGGCCGAGCACCACTCCAAAGAAGACAGTCACTGGGTAAGCTAAAATTGAAGATAAACTTAATATCTACCGATTATCCTTCATGTTTGTCCATGATCAGCGAATATTTTCCTTCAAATTACTTCAATCTGGGAGGAGCGGCGGGCACCAAGAATAGAATGGAAATTAAAGTTAAAATAAATAGAAGCCGCATCCCTCATACAGCTGAAGTTTACACGTGGATACCCTCAATGACTGAAATCAGTGTTTCTCAATAGCATGTAAATTTCATTCAATAATTTTTAGTTCCCTAGGAATTAGAAAGTCAAGAAAAATTGTCAAAATTGTTGATGAGAATACTGAGAGGATTCTTTCGATTTTTTTTAAATAGAAAAACTGAATTTTTTAGTAAATCCGAAAATTAAAAAAAATGAATGTTACTATCCTAGAATTATAAAGAAGATTCTAGCATTTTCCAGAAGTTCCTACGTTGCATACTGTAGAACTCAACTTTATTAGCGCAGTAATTTAGGGGCTGAGTTATAGCAGAGATTGCAAATCAATCAACAGTGAAAATCTTATTCGATTTTCTCAAAGTTTCTTTAGAACACCAGAATTTTTCCGGATTAATCAAGAAGTCCGACAATGTTTGCAAGTTGTCTTGAAAACTCGGGAATTTTTTCGAATTATCTATAAAACTCAAAGATTTCTTCACTTTTTTTGGAAAAGCCCCGACTTTTCTAGAAAACGCAAGAATCGCTTCGAATTATCTGGAAAATTCTAGAAAATTTGGGAATGTTCTCAAATTTCGTTGGCAAAACCCAGAGTTTCGTTCAGTGGTCTGTAAAACCGGAGAATTGGTGTAGGAATAAATTTACGACGGCAAAATGCAAAATCAATCAACTACACGTTATCGGTCCCTATATTCATGAGTCCCTTCTTTCTCGATTTGTTGTAGCATATCCTCCTACATCTAATGCAGGAGACCAAGGGAATTCTCAGCACTTTGACACTCGAGCATCAACAAATGCACCAATTGTGGAGCAACAACAACCACAACAACCTCAGCAACAGCAGCAGCAACAACAGCCACAGCAGCAGCAACAACAACAGATCAAACTTGGTGAGCCTCAAGCATTGCCCTCACCCATGGCTAAGAAAGGATCATTCTTCAAGAAGAATGTTGAAGATGGGATGGACAGGGTACTTGAACAAGTCAACTTTGAAGAAAAGTTCTCATCATTACCAGAGTTTAAACCGGAGGATATTCAGAGCCCAAGTGCAATAAGTATGAATACACCTGTGGGCTCTTCGGTTCATACTCCAGGCACTGCTGGACTTCATCCCCCCAATCTTCCATCATCTCTCCAGGGGTATAAGAAGAAAAGTGGCCAGGGACCTCATAGATCTATGCGTAAGTATAAAATTTTTCAATCAAATTAGGTCTTTCAGTGACACAACAAAAATTCTGGCATTCGGCTCTGAATATGAATAAATTTAAATTTTATTGCAGTTAACTATACCAACTGTAAAATTATTGGAATTTGTTCTAGAGCATTTTGCCGCAGAATTCTTACATTGAGAGAAAAATCAATATTTTCTAAAACAAGTCTTGCTTGAACCAAAAAATCAGGAGTTAAAAATTACTAAAAAAATAAAATCTAGTGTTGAGCATTCGGAGACTGTCCTGCGATGGCAAATTGTTGTCGCAAAAACAGATTTAGTTGTTTGAAAAAAATTGTATTCCATGTGCATGCAAGAACTTTCATTTTTAGCACTAGTTTTTCATTACTCGATACTCTCATAAGTATTTTGCTCCTGAAAAATGTTCGTTTTATGCGAGACAAGGGACAGTAGTTATTCGTTTCCGCTCTTCAATAATCACACGTGAGAAACTAATTCTTAAATGACATAATAATGATGATATTTTAGCAATTTTGCAACTCAAGGATAAAATATTTCTTGAGTGAAATTGTCTCGAGTGAGTGATTTGCCTCTTGAACCAAATATTTAGTTTCTGTTGTTCTTTTAAATTCAAATAAATTTGTTCTTTGATAATTGTGAACTTTTTGGTCCAGACAAGATTTGCTTGAGAGGTTATTCGTTTTTCTCTCAGTGTATATTGAATTTAGTTTGATGAAGAATGTTTAAATAATAATTTTTCTTTGCATTCTCTAGTTAATGAGGATGACGGAGAATGCGATGTTTCCGCAACGCCAAAATCGGCGGCCAGTGTTAAACTGACTGGAAACACATTCTTCGGACCAGATTTCAACGTCGATGCATTCAGAATAAATTCTGATGCTGGTGGTGATGCTGAGGCTAGTTCGCCGAGAACACCAAAAACTCCGGGTGGCGGCGGTGGCGGAGTAGGGCCAAGCAGAAACGATAATGAGCGGGGACCTCGAAAGGTTCTTGAGCAGCGTAGACAATTAGTTATGCAGTTATTCCAGGATCATGGATATTTCCCGTCTACACAGGCCACTTCAACTTTTCAAGCTAAACATTCTGATATTTTTCCAAATAAGACGAGTTTGCAATTGAAGATTAGAGAAGTCAGACAGAAATTGAAGGCCAATTGTGCAACGCCAATGAGTGCCAGCAATTTAGTTAGTCCTTTGCCTGTCTCGGAGCCATCACCTAGTGTTACTGGTGGGTGTTATAGTTTGTTTTATGTATTACAACAATTGCAAAATGAGAACTAATGGACGAATAAATGGGGAAATGGAGAAATAAATGATAAAATGATGAAAAAGTGGGAAACAACCCAAACAACCAATAGATAGACGACTAGATCAGAAGACAGATATGTTCAAAATGTACCTCAATTTAAAAAAAAACGTTCAACATATAATTAATTATACATTAGCGTTATTATTAGAAATTGAAATTAGTGTGCAATTCTTATCATATTATTTAAACAATACTCGAAAAAAATGGAATCAACCATTTGACTGATGTCGATCTATTGTTCTGCTAACCTTCGGGAAGAAATGAAAGCAGACGAAAAACAAGTATTTGATGCAATTGAAGCAAAAACAAAATTTTATTAACTTTTGTTTAATTTTTTTTATTATTGGGAATACTGATGAGAATAATAATTTTCTATTCGTCTTATAATGCATCACATTTTTCTGTTTCCCCCTTTGGGTCTCCCCCTGGGCCTTGCTCTGGACTTTGGATTTTGCTGGTTCATTTTCTTTTCAATTATAATCCATTGACAAAATCTTCTCCCATCAAAACATCTTAATAATTTTCCATTCTACTGAATGGAAAATTATTATTCTCATCAGTACTCCCAAAAATTAAAAAAAGTTGATAAACTTTGGTTTAAAAAGTGACTTTTTGTTTAAAGTTGATAAAAACAAAATTTAATAAAAAAAAACATTTTTGCTTGAATTGCGTCAAATATTTGTTTCTCGACTGTTTCGTTTTGCCCAATTCTCCCCTATAATTCAGCGAATCTCTACAAAAAGAAACATTTTTTTCTGAAAATGATTCACCAAAAAGCATTAATCATACAAAGGTGTTAGGGACGATAGCAAAAAACCCATAGATTTTTGCTTGGGTCCATTAGTTTTCTCGGGAATACTATACATCATCCGGATGTTGATCAATTTTTTACTGTTCCAGGACCCTTGACAGCTCCTCCAACGTCAATGGGAGCTCCACTGTCACTGCCAGTGAGCAGTAGTGGCAGCTAGCGCCCATGTGCCAACTGTGATACATTGAATCCCCTTACTCCACAACACGAGTACATCATAATCCTTTGATGACAAAATGGTGTTTATTCGGTGAAGAAAAAATTTGTCAAGCTGAGGATAATCGAAGATTAATTATGATTAATGTACAGTTCTTTCCCTCCTGGAGAAGAAGTTTTGTTTCCTTTGATTTGATTCGTGGAATGTCAGTGCAATTTGAACATGTCAAGAGTGAAGGGTTGTAATTGGAATCAAATAGGCATAGGTAGGCAATAACAAGTCGATGAGTAATGTTTAAAGGCGTGTTAATATACGGTCATCAGTTGAATGATGAATTATTATCTGTACATAAGGTCTTAGTCGGTGTTCAGTATTGTTCGGCAAATAATGGAAAAGAGGACAGGGAGAATGCAAAAAAATTAATGTGTTCAGAAAAATTGTGTTCTAAGGTACATGTTGAACAAATCGAGGGAACTATTTCGGGGCTTTGCAAAACAATTCAGCTTTACGAAGAAATATTCACTTACAATGAGTGAATTTAATCGATGTTTATATTCAAGAATATATTTTTTCAAAATCAGGAAAAGTGAGAGAAACGTCAAAAGATTGTGAAAATTAATCAATATTTTTGTTTCAATTACCTTTTGGAATATGAACTGATATCCGTAGATTAACTCGCTAGGGGCGAAATTACATACAAGGCCTATGCTATTGTTGAATATTGTTGAAAAATGTGCTAAAAATAATAAAAATCAGTATAATGGTTGGATTGTCGTGCGGAAGTAAAGATAGACAAGTGCGTAATCATTCAGAGAGTATAAAATTGATTAATGAGGAAAAGAAAAATATAAAGAAAAATCAGAGTTTATATACTTTAGTTATACTCTAAATATATATATATATATATACACTATATAAGTGACATATATTAACGAGTACATTGCACAAAATGTCTACGTTGAAAGGAATCATCGCAAAAAAAAATACCATAGGTATGGTTGTGTTTTTTTCATTGTAAATAACTGGTAAAGAGTTGATAGAGTGATTATTATTCCAGATATTTTGAGGGATACCAGAGAACTGCTTATTTGCTCAAATTTTTTAATAAATTTTCTGTTAAAATGTCGATAATTTAGTGCAGGAAATTTCTTCGAGAATTTGCAGCATCAACGGCTTCCGGTTACCTGTTAAAAGGAGAGAGAAGAAAATATGAGTTACACTGGTATCTCGAGCTTCAGTGAAATCTTTAAAAGGTTCGAGGCCCTTTTTCCGATGCATAGAATATTCCTAGAGTAAAAGGCATATAGATAAAACGGAAAAAAAAATTTATAAAAGTACATAAGGAGTGCCATCGCGCGGCTAAAAAAACTATAAAACCAGAGAAGGCAGGCGATTATTTTCTTGTTAGTAATTACCAATTTTGGTAAAAAAAAATGAGAATAATATGTAGATGAAGTGTAAAATGTTTCCGATATTTCCGAAAGTACTTATCGACTGTTTTTAGAGGTCTGCCAAGGGTCAATGCATCTTACGGTTGTTTTATGGCTCTCTTATTATCGTTAATATCTTTTCCTTTCACTTGGCCAATTTAGGTATAAGTTTTTTTATATTACCCTTGCAATTTTAAGTGTGCCCCTCCCCCCGCCCCGGTTTTTCTTTTTTTTGTCATGACAACGAATTTTACATTAACTTGTTCATTACTTTATTATGATTATGAAAGGAAAAGCATGAACTTTGTTGCTGAGTTTTAAGATCTCATGTTTTATCACTAGGCAGGGCAATTTGTGGCAGTTTATACATCTTTAAAAAAAACACACGGTTTTACATAAATCAAATTTACAATAGATTTTTTTTAAATTGCGTTTTTAACAGAACTATTATTGTCAGCGAAATGTTAAAATCTGTTTAATTTTTCTCTGCACTCCAATCATGTTTTGTATTATTCAATTTTCCCCTTCAACTGTTGATGAAGTGTTGGAAATTTAGTGTATTTCAACATCATTTCCGGATCGTTTTCAGCCTTTTATGCCTATTAAATGCTCCGGACTACGTCGTCTCGTTTGTAGAGAGCGTGATTCCTTAGCCGGTGTCACGCATGGCGTAACGTAGCTTATAGGTATAAGAGAGTTAATGGAGAATGTTATTTTACAATATTGAAATTATCGTTGATTTTTTTTTTCTTTTAAGATTGTGTATTTTTCTCGCAAACCTGCCGGAGAAAAAAAACTGCATTGTACCTTGGCAGAAATTTGTTGAATTTGGCTGTAATGTAGATTATATATTAAAATTAGTTGAAGTGATGTTCACTGAGATAGACAACACTTCGAAGTGAATTTTCAAGTATCTCGAGATAAGGCACGAATATTTTTTCCTTCTTTTCAAGTTAGCAAATGGCAAAGAGAGAGAGAGAGAGTGAATGAGTGAGTGACGAAAAAACTGTGTTTATCCGACATATTTTGTAAATAGAAAAAATATAATAAAACTCACTAAACACGTTAGAAAAAAATAAATATATGAAATAAATGAAAGCCTAGGTTAGAGGAAAAAATCGATAAAAAAACAGCTGTATCTGTATATATATAAATATATATTGAAAGAGTATTATCGATTTCTATGATAATACTCATATACATACATATATCATCGTAATTTGTAGAAAAATAACGAGTGGTTGAAGGGCCGACGGTAATGCAGGATTAGAGATAAATGACGAAGAAGAAAATAGTTATAAATCAATGGGCCTTCATAAGTCTTGATCTACTCCGTACTCGGAATTGTTCTCCCTCCCACGCAGATCTTTAAAGTTGAAAACAATCCTTAATTTTCATTGTTTCCTTCTCCTACCTTCAGAGATACAGTTTCGACACTTTAATTTATTCGCATATGTTGAATGTCATACATAGCCCTGATCATTCAACTTAAATAATTTCTGACGATAGAGATTGACGAATAAGGTATGGGCAGTGCGCGAAAATGATGACCACAAAATGAGAAACGCTTCCGTGTGAAATAACAAAATCACTTTCACTCAAACGTGCTTCCTGTAAATATCCAATTCGCAACCACATTTTGACTGTTACAATCTAGTTGATACATTCCTGAATGAATTAAAACCGCTTCAGTGAACCTTCCAACGAGTATTTATCACTGTGAAAATGTTATTTCACTCAAAGTGTTTCTCATTGAGTCTCGCTCAAAGAATTTTTAATGCCACAATTATTTTGTACTTGTGTAGAAAATTGTGTAAGGTATTTTCCAGTATTCATAAGGTTTTCTTAAATTCCTTGACCTACGAAAACTTTTCTCTTTTTCTTTATTCTTCTCTATTGTACTTTAATTGAGGAGTTCTCTGATGAAAAATGAAAGGAAAAAATGATGAAATGGTTTTTTATGGTGATTTAGCAACCATACCCAAAAGTGACTGTGATCTACGAATGCAGAAGTTATATTCTATGGCGGCTATATTCATCTGGGAATTTCTTTACCCATTTTACTGTTATTTTCTGTAATATTTCTAATAATCGGAAGAGAAATGATTACGAAAGAATAACAAATTGAAAAAAATCAACTACGATTGTTTGAAAGAAAAAATACTTCCACAATGTGTTGACCCTTTTACCCAGCTCCCTCTCTCCCAGTCTTGATGCAATTTTTATCATTATTTTCTTTACGATTTTATTTTGTACCCGGTCGCTCCTTCCCCTCCATTATCAACTATTTCATTCGAGTATTTCCCGTTCGATTTCTAAAAATTTTTAAAAATTGTTATAAAACTATGATATTAATCAAGAAATGGTGTTACTAGAGAAAAAAAATACAAAAGCACACAAAGATAATCCACCCTACAAAATTGAAGAGAACAAAAAATATGCCAAGAACGCGATAAAGTGTCTATGTACATTCAAGACGGTAAAGAAAAACTCCCCTGTATATAATTTCATGTAAATTAATGAATAAGACGACGAGAGGATGGATAGTTAAGTAAATTGTATTCATAAATGAAAAGATGATATATAGCGTATATGTAAATTGAAAATTTCTGGAGGCAACGTATCTAGCAAGGGCAAGCTCAGTTGACACCAATCCGTCGAATCAAATTGTCTTTTCTGCTGCACTTATCTTCGCGTTCTTCAAAATTGAAAATGGAATATTATGCTTCTGAATACTTTGTTAATCCGAGGCTACATAACATTCCAAGTGCAAATTCATTGAAACGAAGAGTCGATCAATTGAATGGTTGAATCTATTGAACTCAACTTGAAGGTGATTTTTTTAATGAATATCTTCGGATCTGATAGTGTTTTCGACTGAAGTCCGCTGAGGGAAAAAAAACATTTTTTGTGATACATGCCTCAAAAGTGCACTTTTCGAAACGGTTTAGTGTGCGTAAAGCGGTTGTTTTCCGCACGGGGTAAAGCTTCGCTTTACACACTCGAAATTCACTTTACGCACTCGTGCAGAAAAACAACCACATTACCCCCACTACCGTTCCAAATAGCGAACTCGGCAGGTACCACAAAAAATAGAATGTGTTACACGTGCGTGGAACGAAGAGGAACTTTGCGCACTAGTAAGACAATATAATATTGTCGAACAAGTCTTACTTGAACCAAAAAAATCGCAAGTTAAAAATTACCAGAAAATTAAAATCTAGTGCTGACCAGTCGGAAACTGTTCTAAGATGATAAATTTTTGTCGCAGAAATAGATTTAGCTGTTCCAAAAAAATTTTATTCTTTGTGCAAGCAAGAAATTCATCTATAGCACTATTTCATCCCTTGTGTGTAAAGTGAAACACACACAAGGCACACATGCTCCGCACGCGCAAAATCTCACTTTCCGTACATCGTGATGAAAATAGGGTTTGATACGCGTGGGACAAGTATTCTTTGACCCTTCGGCGAGTGGTAAACACCTTCCACGAGTCAAAAAATATTTTTATGCCACTCATGTCTGAAACCGGCTGGATTACACACTCGACGCTTTGCGTCTCGTGTCTAATTCAGCCGGTTTCAGGTTTCGTGACATAAAATTTTGTTCAGTACTTGTTGGAAAATTTCGTCCTTTACGTGTGTGGTTACATCACTCGCCTTCGGCTCATGCTGTAAACCCCACACACGTTAAAGACGATATTGCCCCACACGTGCTGAACTATACTATTTACGCACTCGTATCGAAATATACTTTTCTTCATTCCGGCCGTAGAGCAGCGATTTACGAACGCGTAGGGTTCCGGAATGACAAAATAGTATATTTCGTAACGAGTGCAAAAAAGTGTTTTTTGGCGAGTGGGAGGTTTATATCACGAGCCGAAGGCGAGGGATGTAATCCCACGAGCTAAAAAACATTTTTTCACGAGCTACGAACAATATTTTTCATACAGTTGCCGAAAAGTTCACTTTTCGTCACAGCGTGATGAAAAATATCATTCGACATACGGCCTAAGAAAACTTTCCTGGCGAATATGAGTTTGCAGCCTGAGTCGAAGGCGAGGGTTGCAATCATATGAGCTAGAAAAGTTTTTTTCGGCCTAATGACGAAACATACTAATTCTTGATAAGTTTCCCTTTATAATAGTATCTTTTGACACGAGTGCGTAAATGTTTTTGACTTTGCGGCGAGTGGTACCCTACCAAGAGTCAAAAGACACTGTTCCCACGAGTGTCGAACCCTATTTTTCATCACAATGTGTGGAAACCGGGATTCTGCGTAAAGTGAAATTTTAATCAGTGATGGAAGAGATATTTTTATCCTGAGACGGCATGAACATTTGGCCTATTCAGCCAAATATTTTGTTGCTGAAAGCAGAGCGATTATTTATGTTTGAGACTTTTCAATTCAAATCAAACAATTTCTTTTTTGATAATTATTGACTTGATTTTTTTCAGTCCAAACAAGACGCGTTTGAGAACTCGGCCATTTTTTCTCTCAGTTTTTCCTCACATAACATATCGAACGTAACAGAGGACAAATCCAAATATTTACAGAAAGCTAAATAAGAATATCAAAAGAGAAGGACAGCTTCAGATAATCATAAAAAGTATTTAATACAGTGGTTACTCCCTAACATTTCGCTTCCCTAACATTTCAGTCGGAGAACTTGACTTCCCCCACCATCGACAACGCAAATGTGTTGGGTAAATCTGTGTATCCCTCTGCGCGACGGGACTGCGCAGTAGAATTACTCTCGGTATGTGAGAGTGAAACATGTAGATTCTTCTCTCTGTTTATCTCTTTCCTAGCTCCGCCTCCAACGGAAGAGTAAGGACTTCTCGAACATTTAATTCCTTGAATTCTGGCCCCAGAGGCTGAAATGTTAGGGAGTAACCACTGTAGCTAATTAGTTTCTGATAAGAATTCTCCCTTCTGTAACTTCATTTTTCTCCAAACATTTGGAGTTGTCCCGTTATGCTCGATTTGGTTTTTTGTGATAGGGTAAGCCGCCTAGTAGATGGACACTGCCCTATAGATGGATGAGCTACTTTTGGGTAGGAAATTACGCAAAAAAAATGTTGAAATGCGAATTGTTGCTTTGACTTTTCACTAACTGTCGTGATTCTTAACCCCTGAATGGCGATTTTTTTTCGATCATTTTTTTTTTCAATTGCTAAAAAAATAAACGTCCATCTACTGGGCAGTTTACCCTACCTGCCACAAATAAAAACTGTTCGCAACCGTTGTGGGGGTAAAGTGGTTGTTTTTGTGCACGAGTGCATAAAGTTCAAGGGCGTGTCTTGAGTGAATTCGTGCGCAAAGCTTCGCTTTACGCTCTCAAGATTTACTTTGCGCATGCTTGTGAACTTTGCGCACGCCGTGCGGAAAACAACCGCTTTACGCACACTAAACCGTTCCCAAAAGTGTAATTTTCATGCAGGTATCACAAAATAGTACGTTTCGTCATTAGGCCGAAAAAAACTTTTTGGCGAATATGAGCTCCGGCCGTTACGCTACGCGGAATGACGAAAAAGAGATATTGTGAATCCAACAGAGATTTTTTGTACAGTCAATTGAAGTCATCCAAAAAATCTCTATCAAAGTTGACTAATCTCCTTTGAGTTGAGAAGTAAAATGGATTTATGACGTTTCACTGCTTCACTACTGAAAATTGTTTTCACCATTGAAGATAACATTTCAGAAGAGCTAATTTAATTGGACATTTCTGCAGGGCTCATTGACTTCGGAAAAGGTAATCTTCAGCAATTTGATTGGTAAGAGTTTTGCACAGGTGCCCTTGCACGAGTACCAGTTCATCGGACCAAAATGAATGAAATTAACCGACTAGAATGTACTTCAGGATTGCGAAGAAAAACAAATTGAAAGAAGTTTAGTCGTGTACTTAATATATAGACATTTTTATTATAAGAACAGAATACTAAGATCTTTTTCTTTCCCCATCGCTCACTGGAACAGGCAATCTCTCCCAACTCTCCGAATTCTTTTACGAATACACGGTAAATTGAAAAATAAGCAAAATTAGAATATACCTAGGATAGAAATAAAATGAGCCGCCTTTGTTTTTCTCTCCTTTAGTTAGTAGAACTAGTGGACTGAAGAAAGAAAAACTTCATATGGTGGTCATCACTTCTAATATGTTGTTATCGCCTTACTAAAGTGACGAGTCATTGTATCATTGCAATAATTGGAATTCGATTCGTAAAAAGAAAAGTAAATCTCTGGAAGAAAACAAGTTTTTGGCAAATTAATATTTTTCAACAAAAAACAAAAAAAAACGATAAAAAGTGTTCAAAAGAGAAAAAAAATGTACTTTCTAGCAGTTCATATATTTGGAAGGAAATTGTTCTCGGGGAAAACATTGTATTAAGGGCCTCTGTATACGAGTTTCACATTTCTGTATAATAATGATGAAACGATGTACATAAGAAATCTTATCACGTTAGGACATCACACGAATTATTATCATTGATAAAAATCAGAACATACAAAGAGGGATGGACCTAAAGAAAACTGAAGAGACAGAATGTAATACCTAAATGTATGTATATCAAAGAAGCATATATATTATATACTGATGTCTAATTCATAGAATTTTCAAACGCGTGTTGAATAAGCAGACAAATAACAAAATTGAGATGAGAAATAAGAGATGTAATCTGTGTTGACAATCGCTCATGTTTTAAGCTCCAGAGCGATCGTACAAGAGTCGATAAATGCCTTGAAGGTTTGTGGGAAAAAAATACCATTTAATTTTCCCCCTCATGTGTTTAATTTGGGAGTGAAACAGACACATACATTTGTAGAAAAATGAAACTCATGCTTTTGAAGGCTACTTCTGCAGGTGAAGAGCGTGAACGAAGGAGATTTTGAGAGCTCGTTGCTTTCTGTCTTTTGAGAATATATCCAAGTTTACAAAGAGAACGGCATACGATGTTTTTGCACGTCCATAGGAATGAATTCGAATTGGAAATGATTTGTTTTTTCTTGTCAGCGTTTGAACAACGAGATGCGCCCAGTAATGAATAATCCTTCTGGTTCGATATTAAAAAATATTGAATTTTCACGGATTGAGGAAATCCAAGGGCTGGTGATTTTTATTCAGCCAGTTTTTTTGTACACTATAACAAGGCGGTATTGAATTAAATGAAAAAAATATATTGTGAAACAGATTATTATGAAGTTTATTGTAAAACTGTTTTATTAATATTAAGAATAGAATTGTGAATTACTACTCGGTATATTATAACAACAGAAACAATGATGAATATACTATAAATATTAAAATATCCAAATTGCACGTTGGTCAATAATACTCACGTAAAGGAGGGAAAAAATAAAAGTAAAAGAGCTTGAGAATATTTTTTCAATGCCAACCAAGAGTAATTGATTTCATGTAAAGATATTGATGTAATAAATTCAATGCACAATTACATGAAATTTGAGTATGAATTTAATGCCTGTGGCTGAATATTGTGACGCATAATTTTCTGGTGAAAATTACAAACTGATAATGTATTTGTAATTTATGAAATTCATTGGTTCATATTTACAGTCTTAAATTTCAAGATTTTTTTTAGCGTGTGCTCTCTCTTTACACACAGTGCCGGTGTCATTTGGTTCGCTGGATCTTTCCCATTTCGTCGGGTGTGAATCGAAGGACTGTTCCTATTGCATTCAACATGTGGCGTCGGCTCGAGATGTCGTTGCTGGTTAGAAAATTGACGATTACGTTTTTCAGGTACTCGAGATTGGCACCTTCCCGGGATTTATACGCTTCAAGTCTGTTATTATGGACAGAAAGAAGAAATAAGAAATTATTGATAATGTTGACCAAAATTGAAGGAAACAACCTGAGGAGCATCACCAGCTCTAAATATTAAAATATTTCTGCAATGTATTTTAATTTATTGGTAAGAATTTTTGCTTAATTAACCAGAAGAAATAGTATATTTCATAACGAGTGCAAAAAAGTGTTTTTTGGCGAGTGGGAGGTTTATATCATGAGCCGAAGGCGAGTGATATAATCCCATGAGCTAAAAAACATCTTTTCACGAGTTACGAACAATATTTTTCATCACAATGTGGCGGAAATTGGACTTTTAGGCACGCGGAGCGTGCCTGATGGTTCATAAAAATTTGTGGAAAAAGGGTCTCGATGAATTTTCACTGAAATTATTCAATTTATGAATGAATCATCCTCACCTAGTAATTTTACTCTCCAAAATTTTCATTTCCTCCGCATGTCTCTGAGTTGTCGCCATGAGATCTCTCTGATTCTCCCTGAGAGTAGCCTCCAGCTCACTATTTTGCTTTCTCAACCCCGACACCTGGATATCCCTCCTCGCCAACTCCTGCGCATAATGGAGCATCGGCGGACTGTCAACAGTCAAAAGTGACGTGACAAAATCAACATTCGACTCAATTGGTTTTTTATCATCGCCTCCATCAGGATTCCCAGACAGACCCTCGTGCTTCGTTAAAATAGCTCTAAAAGAAGATTTGAGTGTCGTGATCTCCTGGTCTTTCTCCTCAAGAAGAGCCAGCGATCTCTCCCTCTGTCGAAGGATTTGATGCTCAAGGGCACCGACTTTAGACCGAAACTCAGTTTCCTTCTGAGACAATATCCTCTCGAACCTAATTCTCTCCTCCTGAATCTGCTGACTTTGCTGCTCCAATTTCAAATTGATCTCACTCTCTTTATTACTCGCTTCCTTATTCAACATCCGAATTCGCTCCTCCAGATTTTTACTGTAAGTCCTTGCCAAGTGTAACTCCGTACTCTTATCAGCTCTTTTATTCTCAAGTTTTAAATCATTCACTGACTCCAGTTTGGCTGACATTTGCTGTTTGTAACTCTCAAAGTCCTGCTCTAGAATTTCGTACTGCTCCTTGTAATCGCAATCTTTGGAAATATTTCTCAAGTTCATGCTCTGCAGAAAATCATCCACATTGAATTCATTATCCTTCTCATTGCAAATGTCCAACAATTTGTTGTACAATTCTCTTATTTTCCTCGAAATGGCTTCAGGTGTCTCATCAACATTTCTACTAGAATAATCTTTAACTTTATTCCTCTGCAATTCCGACAGTTGATCCTTCAGTTTTTGAATAGCGAATTGATCCTGCTGTCTCATTCTATCGTATCCTCCAACGGTTTCTGATAATTCAGCGAGCCTTGACTCCAAACTCACGACTCTTGATTCATGCGCCATTTCGAGAATTTTCGCCTTCTGCTCAGCAGCGGCTGCTCGTTTTCGTTCTTCGTGTATCGCCATTCGGTGCTGCTTCTTAAGAGCTGCCATCTCAGACTGAAGGGACACTAGAACTGGGGGAGTTTCCTTCACTGCTGCCTCCGCCGCTTTCAGTTTGTTATTGGCAATCTCCAGTTCTGCCTCGAGGATTTTATTCTGGGTTTTGTTTCCCACGTGGTTTCTCAGTTCTTTTATCTGCTGCTCGTAGGACTCTTTGGAGCGACGCTCGTCCGTTATCACACGTTGAAGCTCCTTCATCATCGCAGAATTGTCTGCCTGCTCTTTTTCTCGCTCATGACGCTCCATTATTAATTTGTATTTCAGGTGTTCAATTTCGGAGTGGGTGTTGTGTTGAGCCCGTCGTAATTTTTCTTTCAAGTCTCTGATTATTCTATCACACTGGAACAGATAGATGTTAGTCAGGTAGCATTTTCGTAAATGTATGACTAGTTCTTGGGAAATAAGAAATTCACTATTGTTTTGAATAGTACAGTAGAGGATTCGTATAAGATATCTCTCTATAAGATAGGCCTACCCCCACTCTCGACACTTTTATCGCGTCCCGAATGTTTATGTTCCGTGGGCTTCTTATAAGATACCTATGGCCCTGGTCATTTCTCAACGGGAAGAGAGTAGTTATGAGGATCAAACGGTGTTAAGGGTACCAAGTGAATTTGACGATGACCTTGAAAATTGACATTCACCAACAAAGTTATAAAATTTTTTAATTAATAATTTAATTAATAATTTTTTTAATTAATAGTATTAGACAGATGGTGAACATCGGCGACAATTTTAAAATTTTAGAACTTATGGATATCGAGAAATTAAACAAACAAAATCAGTCTTATACACGGCCTCTTATGGAGTTTTGATTAAATTGAACGTTTCAATCCCCTAGGAACTCAAGAAAACTTTGAAAAAATTTGAAGATATGGAGAATGATGCGTTCAATGTGATGGCGACAAAAAACAATGGGGTACCGGGGTGAATAAGAGATATTTCAACCCGCCGTACCCATTTGATCCCATGCTTTCTCGAGCTTCGTCACGCGAAATAGAGGATTTTCCGCATTTATTTTCTCGATGTCTAGTTCCGGTTGCGGGTTTGAAATTTCGTCGGATGGATGAATACATATTTCTCCAATGATGGAGGGAAAGAAAAAATTTTTTTTGAATCTTTTTTCAAATTCACTTGGCACCCTTAAGGGTCAAACGGGAGGGACGAACGAAGTGATCATGAGGGTCTAATGCCCTTAAGGGGGCGTTATACCACTTTTTTCAAGTAATGGAAATATACATGGATTTTTTTTTCACTTTCCCACCGAAAAATTGTCATTTTTCGTCTGTGATTATTCTTTCGCTATCTCCCTTAGATTCAGAAATATTCCTCAAAAACTCAACTAGGAGATACGTCGACTTAAACCGTTTTACCAGTTCGCTACTGAATTCGTTACTGACTCATGTAAAAGTTGGAGCCAAAAAATTACCTCTTCACGTTCGCTACGCAGTGCCTTCCTATCAGTCTGAAAATTGGCTTCCATCCTCGATTTTTCAGCTGACAATGTTGCCAATGAATTCATCAAAATACCCAATTGATTTTTCAACTCTTCCACACTTTCTCCTCTCCTTCCACTTCCACTTTCTTTCGCTTCAGTATGATTGGCATTAACTTCCTTCATTTTTGAATTCATCGCCATTCCTAGAAAAATAACAAAAATCCGTCGTTTGAATTCTCCCGGGAAAATGATACGTGGCTGTTGATGACAGCTGCCTGCAGCTGTCATTCTTGACTTTTACCTTGACATTCATTGAAGGGTTGTTTCTCCTTATGCCTCTCGGCAGTGTCTCCCTTCATTATTTTATCCATTATCCCCCGGGGTGCTCACGCCTCATATCAGTAATGAAATTATTTTTGAAGCCATACAGCTGCTCCAAGTGCCCGCGTTCAGAGGTTATTTCCGTTCATGTCTACGGTGACATACTGACTTCCACTTCACTTTGCATTCCTTTTTAGTTTGAGTTTTTTTTCAGTCAATTCCAAGCACGGCAGTGAAATAATGGATAGAACGACATTTGCTATCTTAATTTTTTTTTATTCCAGACTCGGAGTGATGAAACAATGTCTTCGAGGGTAGATTCTCGGGATTTATCGGCTTGCGCAGGTCATGTGAATCATGATAGGATTGATAGGTGCAGGTGGAAGAGAGAGGGATTTGACAACTACTAGCGCTTCGTTTGAAAAATTTAATCGACATTCAGATTGAAAGATCAAAAGGACAGTTTGCAAATTAAAATTCCGGATTACGTCATAAATTAACCGAATAAACCACGGAATGAAGGGAACTGGCCAAGTTATGGCACTGACATGCATGAATTGGTCGATGGATTTTTTTATAAGGGTAAACTGGCCAATAGGGAACTTGCATGAAGCTCAATTCTTTCTAATTCCGCTATTCACACATTAACGTGAACTCGTAACATATGGATAGTTAAACGGCGAAAATTGTGGAGAAACATTTTCTAGATTTTCTAGTCTTATGATAATTTATTGAAAATCAGTCGTTTTCGAGGCCAATTTTTCGGTCATGGCGTCACGAAGACGTTCAGCTAACGCTTCATTGGTCGAAGAAGAAGAGAGTGGGGAGTTGTCCTCCATTGGCCGAGGCGCACCTCAAGATTGGGTTAGGTCGGCACGAGCCAGCCTGTGATTGGTTTAGCGCTCAACCGTCTGTGTGACGTCATCAGCAATTTCAAAGCGTTTGAATTCTTCAACTTTTAACAATGAATTATTAATTAATGAGCAATATTTCGAACGTTTGTGAATGAAAAATGAATTATTCAGGTCCCAAACTTGAGATAAGAAACGAGAAAAAATCATGCAAGTTCGGTATAGACATTCCCACATTCGCTGAAAACGAAATTTATGCCGGAGTGGTCTATAACATTTTTTTGTCACTGCTGCTATGTTCTAGTGTCGAAATCTACCTTTTTGGGATATCCGTCTGAAAAGTTGACTTTTGGGACGGTTTGGTGTGCGTAAAGCATTCGTTTTCGGAGGAGTGAATACTGAGTGTATGAAGGGAAGCAGTGAATATACGCATTTATTTTTTATTTTTTGATCTGAATCTCGAAAATAATATTTGTAATAACCCTCCAAGTCGCATTTTTCCAGGACTCGGTCACTGACGGTATGATAGATCGGAGGAAATGGAAAATCGTATTGAAAAACAAATAAACTGATTTTATGAGATATAGGGGAGAGTGGGATAAAATGGACACTTTTGAATTTTTTTAAAATGTTAATGACAGGTTGAATTGTTGGTGAAATGTTTTTTTTTATTTTTCGATAAAAAGAACAATTCTTTCCCTTTGTGATGAGTCTAAACTGATTTCAATTGATAAATCTGTCTCTGAGTTATAAATATTTCTTTGAATATCAAAAGTGTCCATTTTACCCCACCCTCCCCTACACCGACATTTCATTCGAAAAATGAATGAAAGCATAATATTCGCGGTAGTGCAATCGCTCATTAATGAATTATTGTGATGACTGAATTCATTCTGGAACAATCGTTGCAATTTTTTCGGGCTGAGGCGATTCAATTTCGATAGTTACTGGTCCATCATTTTCGATATGAACTTGCATCATTGCTCCAAATTTTCCATCTAAAGAAAAGCCAAAAAATCATAATTGTATAGATTGAAAGATGATTTGGAGAAGGAACAAGTATAGAAAAATAAGGAGAATGATATACCAGTGGAGTAATCATAGAAATTGATTTAAAGAATCTCATTTTTTTACACTTTATATTTTTTCATTGTTTTCGAGGAATAAACGTGACATCTCGTGTTTTTCATTAAAAAATGGAAGGAAAAAATTTGGAACATTTTAGTCCAGAGATTTCACTACAAAAAATTTTAGTGGGAGCAAATCTCGAGATGAAAATGTGAATATCTCGGAAACTAGAATCGACAACACATATACCATTTCCGTACACAGAATTAAAATTTTCAAACTGCCATCTCACCTTTAATAAACTCGGGTTTATAAACTTTTCCAAGTTCAGCAATGAAATTCTTGTAAAATGTTTCAGCATGAACAGCAGACATAGCTCGATGAAAATCTAATTTATTCCCTTTCATAATATGGTAGAGAGTGAACTGACTGACGCACAGAACCGCGTATTGCTTATCCATAACACTGGCGGCCCATCTCTTCCCATTTGCACCGTCAAACAATTTCAAATTCAGTATTTTTCTCACTCTACAAATACAGTGGAGCCAAAATAAGTAAATAAAATGACAATTGTGGTGAAAAAAGTTCGTCTCAAGGGATTATTTGCTCAAGGTATTAAAATGTATTACATGTATTCCACATCTGCAAGAGTGTCATCCGTTTTTATCCCAACGAGTACACAAAGCCCATTGCCGATGCTACTAATTACGTGCCCGTCAACTGTAGAAAAAGAAATTTTTTTTATTGCACAGGGATGGAAATTTAGATCGAGAATCAATAGAAGATCCCACGAAAGCTACGAAAACTTGCGAAGGATTTTTCATAGAAATCTGTGGAAACTTCGATTAAAAGTCTTTAAAAAATTCGTTGAAATCCATGAAAACTTCAATTGAGAATCAATAAATACTCCGTTGGAAATCACCACCACCAACATCATGAGAAAAATTCCGTGACAGTTCCGTAAAATTTCCTACAACCACATTTCGCTCCGGAATTACGAAAAAGATACGTAATTTTTATTGAATATTTCTCTCCGTGCAGTAAGATCAACATTATCAACAAAATCAGTATCATCACCATCATGTATGCGATGTCTCTTCCAGACATTTAGGAATAAACGTGACATCTCCTTTTTAGGGGAGGGTAGGGTAAAATGGACACTTTAGACGTTTTTAAAATTATTCATAACTCAGAAACAAATGTATCAATAGAGCTCAGTTTAGGCTCATCACAAAGGCAAAGAATTGTTCTATGTATTGAAAAAAAATGATTAAATTTCATCAACATTTCAACCCGTCATTAATATTTTTAAAAAAGTCAAAAGTGTCCATTTTACCCCAACCTCCCCTATATAAGAAACTACCAAGATGTGGTTCACATCCATACAATATTGAAATGTTCCGTGCGAAAGACGATGTATATGCTCTANCAAAGGATTGTTCTATGTATTGAAAAAAAATGATTAAATTTCATCAACATTTCAACCCGTCATTAATATTTTTAAAAAAGTCAAAAGTGTCCATTTTACCCCAACCTCCCCTATATAAGAAACTACCAAGATGTGGTTCACATCCATACAATATTGAAATGTTCCGTGCGAAAGACGATGTATATGCTCTAAGAATTTTTTTTTGCTTTTGCAAAAAAAAGTAAGATAAATGTATAAGGAAAAGAAAGCGAACCTAATTGTAATCAATTTGTTAAACGTAGTAAAACCTAAATAAAGGAGTTTTCTATAAAAAAAAAGTTAATATCATCTAAATCTTTCTCGAATAACATTTCGATGGAGCATATTGTGAACTCCACTGACGGAAATGATTGAAACCAATGAGCAGTCTCTCGCTTATCCCGCAGCATCTACATATGTTTTCTCCAGATGCATTTTTTTCGATTCCTTTTTTCATTAGCCCGAGATGTTGGGGGTTCTCCGAGTATCCAATTTCTCACGCTCTCTGTTCTCCGTAGCCGCCTCTAATATTACACATGAAACCCATTCCCCCCTCCGAAAGGAGAAAAAAACCAAATCATCGGCGCATGCGCTTTCCCCCTCCATTTTAATCAATTGATTCGTTTAATTTTGCTCCCAAAATGAATGAAAAATTCCACCCGAGTATTAAACCAAAAGACAGCGACGAATGAGCAAAAAACACCGCAAAATAAAGACGCGGATAAGGGAAGCCTAGAAATGCTGATCGTACAACGAAGCGTAAAAATTGAAAACGCAGAGAAACAGGAGTCAAGTTAGCATCTATATAACCTTAGAAGCAAGCGTAGAGACTCAAACCTGTGACTGACGCCTGTGTAACCCTCTGAATAATAGCTTTCATGATCTCACCACCAACAACCAAATATTCATAACAACAAAAATGACTATTCTCAACAATTAGCCATTCAAGCCAATTTAAAGTGAAAGTGAAACTTGTTTTTTTTCCTCCAACCGAGTGGCTGCTCTATTATGTTTACCGACAAAACAGTCAACCAATGGGATGCAAGATGCCATCCGGAAAACTCACTTCCCGCGTGTCCACTTCCTACAATGCCATTTGACTTTTCAAAGATTGTTTACAAGCACTCTCAGTACCGAAAATTTACCCACCCAAATGACCACAATTCCCCATAAATTCTCCTCAAATTATCCAAAAGTGTTTAAAATGAAAGTGAACAATTGCCCAAAACCCATAATATTGTTATTAAATCATGTGTGATTGTGAATAGATGACCCACTTGTTGCATTTAGGTTATGGCGTTTATAAACAAAAGATATTTCGTGAAAATTTGTTCAACAAAGAGTGAATGTACATTGATGTGATAAATAAACGTGTTCATCTGGAATGCAGAGTCGCGTTGGAATGGAGGCTCCTGGTTTGAGTCTCTTCCAGGGTTCTGACAGTATACACATTAGTGGTGGAGGGCAGCGACAGGAGGAGGAGGAGGAGCAGGAGGATCAGAGGCGACGTAATGAGGAGCTGAAGAATATACTGACAAATGCCTTCGACGATTTCGAGGACGACGATGATGCTAATTCAGTGAACAGCAGTCACAACTGCACTGATGCATCACGAGGTGTGGACAGCAGTATAATAGACAAGAGTTCAATACACGAGAGGGAGGAGAAAGGTCCAACGGTGTCGCAGTATCAGAATGAGTTTGGTGTCTATGGACAGCGTGATACGAGCTCCTTCCCCCCCAGTGACACTGATAAGGGGCCAACTGTCTCTGATATGCAGAGAGAGTTTGGAGTTTACGGTCGCTTATCGACGCCACACAATAATAATAGGGATAACAAGTCCTTGAATTCGGTGGGTGAGAGTCCTTATGAATTACCAAGGCCTCCTAGTTTGACGAATCCAGCATCTTACCCTCACGATCTCAGAGCCCAAATCAATGATGGCTACACATTGCTGGAGAATTATCCGTACAATTATCAGACTCCCTCCAATCATTACGATGGAGTCAAGCTAAATTATCAGAATAATGGGTACATTGGAGCTTATGAGAACAACATAGCTCAGAGGGACTCGCGGGATTATGGTGGTGGTGGTGATAATGATATTGATTCGGAGCATCACAATCACTGCTACAAAACCAGTCCCAATGGTTGTGCAATTAACGACACTAGTGCGTACATAAGAGCTGAGTACAACAGCAAAGAGCAGCTTGAGGTTTTGTATTCAGTTAGGATGAGGGAGATTCAACAGCTCACTGAGAAGCTTCAGCAGGTACACCTGGAAAAGGAGGAGGAGAAGGAGCAATTGATGAGGAAGTTGGCGCTGGCACAGGCTGAGATTGAACGATCAAACTTGTCGAGGAATCAAGCGCAAAATTCACTGGTTGATGCTAAAGCCGAGATTGTTGAGCTGCAGAACCAGGTGGCGGATTTTCAGGAGAAGATTGCAGTGATGGAGAAGACGAATCAAAATATGGTTGAGGATCTGTCGGTGGCGAGGAGCTCGGTGGTGGAGTTGCAGCAGAAGATCAGTGTTCTTGAGAGGGTGCAGACGCTTCAGGCTAATGACAAGACGCATGAGAAATTCCTGAAACAAGCGCAAGAGAAACATGCTGTTGAGATGAGAAACATGCAGACACAGATCGATTTGCTTACGGATAAATTGAATGCCAAGGTATTTTATATATCAATTTATAATTGGCTTCGCATTTTGAAGTATTTGATTAGTTTTAATTAGTGAATTCAAATGTTATTGCAAGCTGCATAAAATGAGTTCTCGTCCTCAAGGAATCTGGGCAAGTTGCTTTAGTATTCTTTGAAGGAGAAATAATAATTTTTATATTCTAATGATCAATGAAATTTAATAATTTTTATGTCTCTAGGAATCTTCATACGTTGCGTTAGAGCACAAACTAGCTGATGTACGAAGAGCCCATGAGACACTTATGGTGGAGAAGGGCGACGCGATGAATCGTTTGGCCGAGGCTCTTGAGTTGAGTCAGACTCAATGCAGAAATCTCATGACTTCGAATGACGCTCAGGAGAATATGCAGCTTCAGGGCAAAGTAAAATTGCTGTCTCACGAGAAAGAGGAACTGCGAAAAATGATACAAGATTTGCAGGTAACATTTCATTTTTCCTAATTGCCCATTCGAATATTTTTTCGTTCTAATTAATCAGTACTTACAATTTTTTTTCATAGCATAAATTAGAAGTGGCTAAATCAGACGCCCATCACTACGAATCTCTCCTCACTACGACAATGGAAGAAGGGTCTGATTCAATTCGTCAAATGAAACTCGGTGAATTTCACAACAAATCTCGAGCGAACGACGACATAACGAATAAATTGCAAGGTGAACTCCAGCGTTGCATAGCAGGGCAGGCTGTAAAACGAAAAGAAATTACACGTCTCGAGAACACTATAGCTCAGAAAGACAAGGAGCTGGAGAAGACCCAAACCCTCGCCGAGACCTGTCAGCAAGAGGCAGCACGTTATGCAAAACGAGTCAACGAGCTGGAGCAGGAATTAAAATCACTGCTAACAGAGCACACAGTCAAAGCAAACTCCCAAATTCAAAGATTATCAGAACATCTGACAGAAATGAAGAGTATGAACGAAACTCTTCGTCGAGAAAAAGAAGATTTGGAACAGAAATTGGAGGAAACTTTGGCACATCAGGAGGAGACATTGCAAAAACTTCATCAGGAGACTCTTCACCAACGCGAAAATCAAATGATTGATGAATACAACAAAGAGTACCTAGAGATGCATGACAAAGCTATTGAGAGGGTTCGACAAGAGGCTCAGGACGAGATCCTTCAATTGACAGTTCAACTGGAACAAACGCAAAAGGAACTAAATCGAGTGAAAGAAATGTATATAGACGTGTGTGGAACTAAAGAGCAATTGATCAACGATCATCGAAATGAGATTCAAGAGTTGAAATCAACTTACGCCAAGTTTAATTCTCAAAAAGCTGAATTGGACAGAATAAAACGAGAATTCGAGGGGCAAATAAAAATCTCTTCGAGATTAACACATGAGTGTGAAGCGCATAAAAACAAGATAATGGAATTGGAAAAAGACTTGAGTAGTGAAAGGAAACATCGAGTGGAGTATCGTAAGAAGATTGACGCTGAAATTGAAAGAGCCAAAGAAGAAGCCCTGGCTGAGTTACGAAACGCCCATCCAAACCACCAAATAAGTGTTCTTTTCCCTGATCACTGTACAGAGCATTCCGAGAGAATCGCTGAGCTCGAGGAGGACTGCAAACGTCTAGAGCAGAAGTTGTCAAGTGCTGTTGAGGAACAAAGAAAACTCCTTGAGCTTCAGAGTGAACTGGACAATGCAAAAATTAAAATAGCACAAATGGAAATAGCCCATGAAACTATGAAGCAGAAATGCGAGACTGTTAAAAAGGAAAAGCAAGATTTATCGATGAAACTCGCAAAATCCGAACAAGAACTGTCCAATTCACGAACTAATAAAACAGATGATCCTAAATTGCACAATTATTCTATTAAAATCCAGATGGAGAACGAGACATTGAAGGATAAGTGCGACAGTTTACTGAAGGACAAAATGGAGTACAAAAAACGATTATCAGAAATGCAGATGCATCTCAATGATAGCAAGAAAAAGATAGCCCAAGGGGAGCATAATGTTAGTCGACCAAATGACAGCCTATCAAATACTCGAGGTGATCTGGAGAAGGAGTTGAATCAGTATAAAGATATTGTTAAAAAATTAACAGACCAATTAAACACTAGTAGTGACGGTAGGAAGAGGGACATGTACCTGGATGTCAGAGTAAAGCAGTTGGAGCTGGAACTTCAGGAGAAGGATGCCCAGTTGCAGAGATTAAAGGAGTTGGATAGGATCAAAGCTGAGAGGGACCAATTAGTGACAAAACTGAAAACTCAAGCAATGCAGTTTGAGCAGTATGTTAAGAGTCAGAGGCAAGTGTCGGCTGAGTTGAATCTCTCTCCTCGAAGTATGCAGGATGGGATTGACTTTCAGAAGCTCCAAGAAATGCCAAATGAGGAGATACAGCCGAAAGCTGAAGAGTTGAGAATGATTGAGGATCAGCATAGGGAGAAGCAGAAACATATTGAGGAGAAGTATAAATCAGTTTTAATCGAGTTGAACAAACGTTATGATGAGAAAACAAAGGAATTAGAGGCCGCGAAGGAAGCAATAATGGCGGAGAAGTTGAGGCTGCATAATTCGTTCAAGGAGCAGAAGCAGTTTGTGGGGCAGATGATTGAGGCAAAGCTAGAGGGATATAGGCAAGAGCTTTTAGCGAGAAAATTAAAAATCGAGGAGTTGCAAACGGAATTGAAAAAAAAGGAAATGGACATGGAGGAGGAAAAAAATTATATGGCTCAGATGATGGCCCAATGGGCTGCTGAGATTGAAGGGAGCAAGAGGAAGGAGAAAAAGATGCAGGAGGACATTGACAGGCTCCAGGAAATTGAGAATAGCTTGAGGGAGGAAATTAAGGGGCTACAGGGCAAGGAAAAGAAGCTTAAAGAAAGCTTTGATACGCTAAAGCACAAGTATCAGGTAGCGAAAACTACTGCTCAGAATTACAAGGTAATTGACTTTACATTCATTTAAATTATTAGTCGAAGAGTGAAAGGACTGTTGAGTGTATTTTTGATAGATGAGCTCTTGAATCTGGGGAACTGAACGTATTTTTATAGAAACTTTTTTTTTTCTTTGGATTTGAAGCATTCAAACCTTGTGGTTTATTCTGCTAAAAAAATCCATAAATCCAAATGTATTTGCAAAATTATTTTTCAAGTTCTTATGTGTAAGAATTTCCCTTGTATTCTCAAATATTTAATCCAAAGACGTTCAAGAACGAATCAATACGAACCTTTCTATTCAATTTCTTCAAGAAATCACTAATTTCGTACGGTGAGGAGAAGTATTTTAGAATATAATGAGAACTCTAAAGAGCATCTACTAGAATATCGAAATATATATTGACATTTACTGAAAACTAAATCATTATGACGAAAAGTGTAGCCTAATATATGTTGTTGAAAATAATTTCTATATTTTTATTTTTAAGGAATATGCTGCTAAAGAAAAAGAATTTTATTCTCTCGAGTGCAAACGCATCGACGAGGGATACAAAGAGGCCATAAGTCGAGTACAACAGAACTTTTATGATATTCTTGAAACACAGGAAAAAGAGGCGAAAAAAAAAATTGAACAGGTAGAGAAAGAGCACGAGGAGCAACTGCAGAAATTGCGACAAAAAAAGAAGTACAAAGAAAAAAGTTGAAGTACGTATTGACTAATATTTTCATTCATATATTTAATAAAATTTCACATAGTTTGCAATATAGCTTTTAAAGGCCCTTTCAGATACGAAGTTAATAGAGGCTGGTTTTATTATATAATGATGTGAACAAATGAGAGGAAATGCACTTTATTGTACAACACATTTTTAGTTTTAAAGTGATCAATAATGTTCATGGAAATATTCGCGTCATGTTGAGAATTTTATTATCTTTAACGTTAGTTAGAATTTTCGAATAATTAAATTTTAGATATCAGAGAATAGTTTATTATTATAGAATACGACATTAAGTTGCCAATGTGGGGACAAACTCGCAGAACACACGTTTGATATCAGGTCTCAAATGAGTTGAAAAATTTAATGAAAATAAATCCTTTGACTGCCCGGTTGAGAAATTTAGTTTTATCAATTTAACAGTTCTATTTTATATTTTTTTATACTAGTTAAATCCACAATGCTTGCCAAATTACTACCTTTCATTTTGTGGTTAAAAATATTAAGTTTTCATGCACAAAACTTTTTCAGTATTGCTTTCAAAGAGGCCTCAATAACCTGAGGACGGTTCAACAGCCTTTATGATTGAACAGTATCAAATTTTCTTGAATGAGGGTATAAGGAGGTCTATATTGAAGTGGATAAATGTAATAAGTCAAATATGACGTTGTTATTGATAGTACAATTATCTTAGAATTCATTGAGCTTAATGTAAATTATCAGCAGACCTCGTTTGTAGCAAAGACAATTTTTCACAAAAAAAAAATTGATATTTTGTGCTGAAGTCACTCATTATTAGAACAATTCTAAAGTCAACAGGAATAGATGAGCCGACTCATGACATTTTATCAGTTTGATGACGAATTAAACGTGAAATTTCTATGATCAATTGTATTGTATAAAATCGTCAGATTTCTTTAGTTTTCATTTTTTGTACAGAATCTAAGTACAATGTGCAAGATTAAGCAGCCATACATTAGAAAATATCATAATATATTAGAAGCAGGACTGATAGAGTATGATTGAAACACCCCTGTGGGCCGGTTGCACCAAACTCTGTTCGTTATTTACACCCTAGAATGAATTTATTCCTGTGTGAACATTATGGAGTAATTGGTCGTTAACTGGCGGTTTATTCGACTGAAGCTGGTGCAACCGGGCCTGAGGCTTTTTTTTTATAGAGAACCAAAAGTTGAGTGAAATTATTAAATGTAGTGATGGTTCGCATTATTTAAACATGAAGAAGGGCATAAGTTTTCCGTATACTTTGATACCTTTAGACACATAATAATTCCTTCATTAATCGCGTTTATGTAATTCAAGCTCTCTTATAACTGTATAAAATAATCGGTTCGTACAATCCATATTTTGTGTTTTTAGTGCAGAATATCCAATCTACTCTCATAATACGTTCATAATATATAAATTAGTAAAAGAAAGATTGTAAATTTCATCGTACTGGGCCCAATTTCGAATGTCAGATTTTCTAGTGAACGACGACATTTAGGATGACTAAAATTTCGAGAAAAAAAAACAAACGCAAAATTTTCACTGACGAATTTTAAATTGTAATAATGAATAAATCATCACTGAATAGAGAGTATTATTAATATTAATCGTCAATGTATTTTTGTATTTAATGTAAATTAATTTATTTTTTGTAATAAAGATTTTATGTCATCTTTTAAATATTAACTAATGCGAGTTTTACTAATTTATATTAAAGTCATTAAAGAGCCTTTGATATTTTTTTATAGGTCATAATGTAGTGTTATTTTTCGCTTGACAATCATTGAAGACTTTTCATGAATAGGGAAATTCCACTGAACTAACGCGTGAATCCATAGTTATTGAAGAGATGAGGGTGTAGGAGCTTCAAAAACTCATAACCAGCTGAGTTATATACTATTCAACTGACTTGAAGGAAATATCATCGACAAATGAGATATTCCGGACTAATTGAAATGCTCTCATTTTTTTGTGTCTGATTACTTTTTTCTCAGTGTTCATAACTCAGAGACAAACTGATCAATTGAGTTCAATCTGAGCTTATCACAAAGGGAAAATATGTATTTTGCAAAGGACAAAAATTATCCCACTTCATTAGTAATTCATTTCATGAGGTATTGAGATTTTTTTAAAATCTTAGGGGAGGGTCGGGCAAAATGGGACGTATCCAGATCTTTTCCAATTGTCAACACGGAGAGAAATATTCAATAAAAATTACGTATCTTTGCCGTAATTCAGGAGCGGAATGTGGTTTTAGGAAATTTAACGGAACTGTCACGGAATTTTTCCAGAGCGTTCCGTAATTTTTATCTGAATCTCTTGTGAAAAATTACGAAACCGTCCCTTAAATTTTCTGAGTCGATTACGTAATCGGTGAGCGAATTGTGAGTTTCGTAATTTTTACTGAACATTTCTCTCCGTGAATATCTTCATTTATACGTGAAAATATTGACAATTAGAGAAAATCACGAAATGTCCCATTTTCCCCGACTCTTCCCTAATTAATCTTATGTTTTATAGATGTCAATTGGCATGCTCAGAGTCAAGTACCATATAGGGTGTCCCAAAATTCTTGATTGAAATTTCAAGGGATGAAAAAGAGTGAAAATCTGTGGCGCAAGTTTCTCTTTGATTTCGGCTCCCGGTGATGGTTAATGAGATATTAACTAATAGAGGCGACCGGTGACAGCGTCGATGAACTCGCATTACTAAATTTTGATGATCTTATTTGGAAATTGATGAAATCATTTGAAATTTGAATGTTTGATTAATGATCAATATATTATTAAAAAATTTGAAAAATTGATTAATGATTAATTTAAGAATGGAAATTTGTTTAATATTATTAATTAATTATTCATATATGTATTAACATAACGTTATTTAGGGGAGAGTAGGGCAAAATGAAACAGTCAAAAATACGAGTGTTCGACGCACTTCGAGCAAAAAACATTTTTTTCATTAAAATTTTTTTAATTAACTTTTTTTATTCTTGGGAGTACTGATGAGAATAATAATTTTCCATTCAGTACAATAGAAGATTATGGAGAAGATTTTGTCAATGGATTAATTGAAAAGAAAATGAAATAGCAAAATCCAAAGTCCAGAGCAAGGCCCAGGGGGAGACCCAGAGGGGGAAAAGGGAAAATGTGATGCTGAATTTCAATCGAATAATCCATTGACAGAATCTTCGCCCATTAAAACTTCTCAATAACTTTTCATTCTACTGAATGGAAGATTATTATTCTCATCAGTACTCGCAAGAACAAAAAAAAACAAAAAAATATATAATAAAAAAAAATTTTTTGCTTGAATTGCGTCAAACAGTCGTTTTTTTTACTTTCATTTTGCCCCACTCTCCCCTACGTTTTGTGTTTTCGGCGATCCCTGGTACCAACAAAAAGTGACATTGAAACATACTTGAGGAATTTACCCTCCATCAACTTTTCTTGTAATTTTCATTTTCTCCAGCAACTCTGAAGACAAAATGACGTGAGCAAACATATGAGAGTGATATACACGTCACTAATTAAGGCTCCCGTTATGTATGTGAATGCTTACACTTGAGCAAAAGCTGTGTGTCTAGATTGAATGAATGAACAAGCCAACCAAGATGCATTACGCATTGACATGTCGTATATTTATTATAACAATGTTCGAATACATGGCAACTTCGAAGCAACATAAACAAGATGATTTAAAAGAGGCTTTAATGATGCAATTTATAATCCAATGCGTTGGAAAAAAAAACTGGAAAAAAAAGTTACATCAGGAAGGAAGGTCGCGTGGATGATTATCACGGGACAATTATAAATTGCGATGAATCGCCGATAACGAGGTCAATTATGAAATTTCTGACAGTTCAATTCTGTTGAGGTGGGTCAGGGTCATTGGGTCCACCGCCCATCTGTCTCCTGAGGGACTCGATAAGTTCGGGATTAGCAGTCTGCATCTGCTGGGCCAATTGCTGTCCTCTGAAAGCCAAAAATCAAATGTAATATTCGTAGGGAAAATGAGCATCAAAATAACAAGCCCCAACAAGTCAATTCATCATATGGGACATTCCATGCCAAATCAACCACCATGGCTATTAAAGAAATATTGACTAAACTCGAGTTGAGTCATTCAGTGTAATTCCCTTCCTTGAAAATTGAATTTAAGGCCCGGGTGGACTATCTTTCGAACGTTATCGCGATGTTTTTTTTCATCTTTAGTCATCTGAAATTGTCAATCAAGTCCTGCATCATGCAGAAGTTTCGAAAAATTATGAATGAATAATCAAAAAAAAAGTAGAAAAAATTCTTAATTTTTTCAAAGAGCATTTTTAATTTATATTCAGAATAAGTTGAATGACAAAAAATTGACTAATGTATCTGATTTACGGTGACAAATGGCGGCCTGTCACCCAATATCATGCAGGGGGAAGACTGATTTCGTAAATCTTTTCCCACACTGCACAGAGACATTTATTACGGAAAAGGCTTTTTGAAAAGAGTTGTAATATTTTGGAGAATTTTGTAATCACACTTTTATCACATAAAAATGCCAGATGACTATATACCACTGTTTTGAAAATTGAGATACCTAGCTGTCACTTTCCATGAGGAGTTAGTGTTTTATTATCCACCATAGAAAATGACAGATAATAGATAATTTGCCACAGCGAATCAGATATTTGTAATTTCCACTTTTTTCAACTCATTCTGAATCTCAATTAAAAACGCTCTTTGAAAAAGTTTAGAATTTTTTCTATTTTTTCAAATCATTTTAACATAATTTTTGGGAATTTCTACATGATGTACCATTCAATTGACAATTTTGGATTACGAACGATAAAAAAAAACCAGATAACATTCGAAAGATAGTACACCCGGGCCTTAAAAGAGAAAAAAATTGAAAAATGTGTTATTAAGATACTGGAGTATTTTTACTCGGAAAGTCGTTGAAAAAACAAAAAGAATAGTTTCTGATTTATTCAAATCCTCTTATTACTTTATTTTACTGTTAACGGAATTCGTCATAAAGAAGCTTGTGACTGGCAATCGCCTGAGGGCCTTCAGCCTGGTTTTTACATATTGTGTGCAAGATATTAATTATAGTGTAGAAAATGAAAGAAAAAAAGGAAGGCAAGAAAACAAAGATAAATCAATATGTGGATAGTTAATAGCATAATATGGTTGAATAGGAAAAATAAGATGTTTTTTGAGGGTTAAATCCTCTTATTTGTTCGCAAGATGGATCTTTAGAAATTTGAGCGATTAACATGGATGTTAGGCAAACTATTGCTGCTAAGATGACAAAAGTTCACAGGAATCCCTTATTTACATAATCCTTGGTTTTAAACACTCCATTTGAAGTTTATAAGACACAAAAAATGAAGGGGAATGAGTTGGCCTGGAATGTTCCAAATATTGTTAAATATTAAATTATTCGTATGATGTTATGCCAAAATTTTGGGAAATATTTTTTTTGTTAAACGTCTTCGAAACTACAAACCAAAATCCCCTCACGGTTCCCCCTAAAATCATAAATTGTCGAGATGATAATTAATTTTAGTTTCTAGTTGGAATGAAATAATAATTACGCTTCAATTAGAGCCTCCATTCTTCCTCCCTGCTCGATATTTCCACTCATAAGATCTCCAAGCATATTCTGCATCCCAGGATTTGACAACATCTGTCTGGCCATGCTCATCAGCGCAGGATTTGAGAGCATACTGCTCAAATCCATTGGAAAACCTGGATTGTTAGCCCCAAGTCCCATATTACTGACTCCCTGCTGCGCCAACTTCTCCTCAGCCAACTGAAGATTATTTTTGTAACTCTCATTATCTGGCTCCATTTCGAGTGCCTTCTGGTAACTCTCCTTCGCCTCCTTGTGCTTTTCCAAACTCGAATATGCCAGGCCAAGGCGTCCGTAGGCTTTGCTGTACGTGGGGTCGACTGTAAGCGCTGTCTCGCAGTCTTTTATAGCACGTCGATGATTTCCAATTTTGCTGTATGCTGCTGCACGGTTCCCGTAGTAAACTGCGTTGCGTCCGTCCAGTTCGATCGCTCTGAATAAATCATAACGAGTTGTGAAGAATATTTTCATCACTTGTGCGTAACGTAAAACTTTCCACACATTGTGATGAAAAATAGGGCTTGACACTCGTGGGAAAAGTGTTTTATGACCCTTGGGAAGGTTGGCTTCTCCTCAGCCCACTGCACTCGAGCCCGGGTGAGCGCTACACACCTCCCACTGGTCAAAAAACACTTTTTCATCACGCTGTGACGAAAAGTGAACTTTTCGGCGCGCTCCGCGTGCCTAAAAGTCCAATTTCCGCCACATTGTGATGAAAAATATTGTTCGTAACTCGTGAAAAAATGTTTTTTAACTCGTGGGATTATATCACGAGCCGAAGGCAAGACTCGCCAAAAAACACTTTTTTGCACTTGTTACGAAATATACTATTACATCACGCGTATCGAAATATACTATACCGCTTTCCTCTCCAGGAAAAGAATCGAAAGATAATGAAGATAATTCATGCAATTACATCGATCTGTATCCTATTTGATTCTTTCTAGCGGTTCATTTTAAACAAGAACAAAAAAGGTTGAAGCGATCTTCGCATAAGAATAGTATATTCCGAAACGAGTGCATAAAAGTGTTTTTTGACCATTGAGAGGGCAAGTGCTGCCCTCTCAAGGGTCAAAAAACACTTTTTAAGACAGCACTTGCCCTCTCAAGGATCAGAGAACACTTTTCCAATGAGTGTTGAACCCTATTTTTTTATCACAACGTGTGGAAAGTGGGATTTTACACACGCGGAGCATACGTTAAAATTCACTGCACGCACAAGTGATGAAAAATTTAATTATTTTATTCAACGAAAGCATGCATAACGAGTATAGTTCACAAAATACAGAAACTTAAACGTTTATATATTTCTTTACAAGCGCCAATAGATAGAATTGTAAAAATATCCACACCTTAATACCAGACAAGCGTATCTACGTGGGGAACTTGTAGCACTTACGCTTGTCTGTTATTAAAGTGTCGATATGTATTCTCTTTTGATTCCTCATTAACGATACTTTTTTTTACTGTGATAGAAACAACTTTTGCGCAATGAAGCAGTAAATGACATGTAGATCATTTTGCGAATATTTTCGAATTGTTTTATATTTTTCGATGGCTCTGAATCATAAAGAATTGTGAAGAATATTCAACATTTTCCCCTCCGGGAAAAGAATCAGAAGCCACTGAAGACGATTTATGTAATTATATCGATCTGACTTGTTTGATTCTTTCTATCGAATTTCGAGACATTCGCACAGTTGTTGATAATTACTAGATGAGAAGAAGAATCGTTATTTCACGAAATAATTTTTGTCAAATGCTTGATTCAGTATCACAGAGGTGGAATGAGATTTATCGATTTTGAAATGAACTATTTTGACATTCAATGTATACAGTAGAATAGAATAGAATACTTTATTTTTTTGATCCTAATTTTACAGTTTTACATTTACACAAGCCTGTATAAAGTATTTTCCAATAGAATGTTCTAAAGGAGAACTTTTGATATTTTGCCTCGAAACATCAATTAAATCATAAAATATTTAAATAATAATTAAGAAAAATTTAATGTTGAACTCATTAAAATTTTTACATTTTGTTAATTTTCATAAATGGATCAAGCGTAGGAAAATGCAGAAGATAACGGAAGAGTGAAACGAAAATCTGCGTTTTTTTGTCAATATTTCAAAATACTGTGGATTTTTATTTCTTTTGATGAATCTCATGCAAGCGATTTACTGTTCAGCTGAATGAATTTTTATAAATGATTCATCTAGGTAGGGGACGATGAGGCCAAATGGACACTTATTACCGTTCTTTTAATGTTCTAACTCAGGGAAAATTGATTGAGTTCAATCTAGATTTTAGACGAAGGGAAAAGATTGTACTTTCCAAAGAACAAAAATTATCCCATTTCATCAGTAATACAATTAATGACTTATTAAGATTTTTAATGAATCTTGAGTGTCCACATTGCCCCAATGGCCCCTTCATCTGCAAAATTGCTGTGCTAATTCAGTAGCGAAGCGGTGCAAGTCACTTTTCACTATTGGCCAGTTTTCAATGAATATCTCAAAATCTAGGGAAGATAGCAAAATTTTTGTCATGACCTTTTTGTAGCCCTCAATTCGCCCTACAAAAAAGGTTATGACAAAAATTTCGTTATCTCCCTTAGATTCAGAGATATTCCCCGAAAACTCGGCTGAGGGCTAAGTCGATTTGAACCGCTTTACCGATTCGCTACTTAATTGTCGTTTTAAGATGATTAATCGAAACGTACTTGGTATATAATGTGATAGCCTCATGAATCTTGTCCTCTTTCATGAGTGCATTACCCTGATTCTTCAACTTCTCAGCTTCGCTCTTTTCTTCAACAGTTGCTTCGTGACTGGGTAGGACAGTGCAGCCCTCCATGGCTGCTTCACAAGAGCTCAATAAATCAAAATTGGCTGGTGCATCTGATGCCTGAACGTTGTAAGCACTCTCTAAACATTGTATCGCCACTTCCAGGCTCTCACGGGAATCTTCTGTTATATCTCCCTCCTCCAATTGCTTTGTCAAAAAGCGAATAATACTAGCAACCAGACCTTTCACTGCCATATTCCTGAGGGATCATGAGATGTTTAAAAATTGCTCCATCATCGCAGTTGATACGTATTTTATAACCTCAAAATATCGGAGCATCTTGCTCCTCTCAAGAGGAAATTAGAGCGAAACTTAATTCAACAGCACTTCCTTCTGATTTTGGTCTGACGTATTTTTCGTTCAATTCAAAAATTAGAATGAAAATAACCTTATTTACCTCAGCTATTAATTCGTTAAAGACACTTCCAGATCTCCTATCCCAGGGACTTCAATGCTCGGCTGTTTATCGGGGGGAAACCCTACGCGGCTCAAGAGAGCACTAAAATATACACGTAATTGTTTATTGTTAACCGCGTGGAGGAAAAAAAGGTCTAACAATTTTTTTTCGAGACTGCACCGGCGTAGAATGCAACATCAACACGAGCGATCAGTGATCTACGTGGGTATAGGTTATCTTCCAGAAGAATAGCCGTGGATTTTTGGAGTGGGGTCCAAGCAAGTGAGTGGGAATTGCGTAGAGTGGGGGTACCCTAGTTGATAGCCTATATTTGTTTCGGAGAGTTTCGGAGAGACCGCCACGTTAGCTCTTTGGGGTAAGATTTTTTTTCAAGCGGTTCATTTGAAAAATAAGAACAAAAGGTTGAAGATCGAATAAGAAACATGAATTATTTTATTTTATTCAACGAAAACATGTATAACGAGAATAGATCACAAAATACAGAAACATGAACATATATATATATATATATATATATATATATATATATATATAATATTGCTTTCCAAGCTCCAATACATCGAATTGGAAATATGTTTTCTCTATTTTTACGTATGAAAAAATTCAACAGAAAACCTTAGCAAATTCGCTAGAAAATTTTATTGAAATTCTGTAGAAATTGTGTGGAGATTCTATTAAAATTCTATTTGTTTTTTAAGCAGATTCTATTAGATATTTGATAGGAAAAACTCAATAGATTTCGATTTTTCTGCTTGAATTTTTCAAAACTATTGGGCACGGATTTTCCAAGTTTTTTCCGCTATATTCTGTTTTGTTCTGCATTGCAGGACCCGAGTGAAAAAAACTTGGAAAATTCATGCTCAATTATTCTTATAGGAAAAATTTAAAAAGAATATTCATCATTTCATATAGAAAAATCGAAATCTATTGACTTTTTCCTATCAAATATCAATTTAACGAGAGTTCCCTAGAATTTTAATAGAATCTCAATAGAATTTTCTAATGAAATTCGGTAAGTTTTTCTATGAAATTTTTTCATACGTTTTTTCATTAACGACACTTATTCTATTGTAATATAAATAACTTTTTCGAAATGAAGTACATCACATGTAGGTCATTTTCAGAATATCTCCGGAATTTGTTTGCGACATTTATCACAAGATCATTCTTGAATATTCTATAATTCAATCAGCACGTAATTTTTCGACTTGTCTCCTTCCCGAAATCTCAACAAGAATTCTCAGGTATGAAAAAATTAAGTGGAAAATCTTGCGCTTTCTTCAAGAAGTACTGTTGAATAATTCGTTTCGAATTCTGTTGATAAAATCTTTTTTTTTGCGCCAATTCTATTAGAAATTATAAAACACACTTTAATGGAACTTTTCCACTAAGAATTCTTGGATATGGATTTTTCAATGAAATAAGAATAAAAATACAAGGGAAAAAACTTGGGAAAATTATGCCCAAGAATTTTGGAATTTTTGAAAATTCAAAACCTATTGAGTTTTTTCTATCAAACATTTCTTGAAAAAATATCACTCATGTAAATTTGTATAATCTTCAAGAGAACTGACGCAAAAACCAAAGAGATGTTTCAAATCGAATTCTAATAGAAACACAATAGAATTCCAGATAGAAATTGAACAGAATTTCTTGCGGAAAGCGCCAGATTTTTTCGTACGTACTACTTTATAATAAACAAAATATACGAGCAATTAACGAGATCCCTGTGAAATACACCTATAAACAGTGCTATTATCACGCGTGGTCACCAGGAGATACTGCGCCTCGGGCAAATGAAAGGGAGTAACAGAGAGGATTCCCTGCAGCCATTTACTCATCCTCTTCTCAAATTTGCCGACCATCATATATTGATACAAGAAGAACCTACCGTCCTCAGTCGTGACCAATATATAAGCATCCCCCCACCTGAACTCTCCCGAATAATAAACCTCAACATCCCTAATTCTACAATCGAAATAGAGACTCTGATAAAGATAGAAATTATCGAAACTGTCCTTGTAATTGTAAATATGAATAGCGTTCGTCTGGATGTCATCCACGAGCACAAAGTCTTGGTGTCGATGGGCAAGACTCTCAACTCTTCTCGTTCCACCAGAGTAGAAACTTCTGAGCAACTCAAACTCATTCTCCCCCGGCTTGATCCTGTAAAGAAGAGACTTCGCCGTCTCCCAGGGGTTTTCCGGCTGGCCAGCAGCGATTAAAATGTGAGAGCCCCTCTCAGGGATCTTGAATACCTCAACAGCAGTTGCACCGACCGTAGAAACCTTCAGCTCCAGATTCAGCTCATTTCTCCGCAAGTCCAGCTTGTAAATCAGCGAATCAACTTCCCGTGTGTTTTTCTCCACATCATAAGACATAACCAGAACGATATAAGCAGCCTCCCCATGCACAAAGACCTGCGCATCACTGAGGTAGCCAGGAATTTTCTCAGGATAATGCGTGAAATTCCCATAAACACTAGAATTATTTCGTGCCATCCAGTTAATCGCAGTGAACTCATCGCTCTTCTGGGTCGACCTACATTCCGAGGAGCTGGAGATTGTGCTGGTGACGATGCTGATGGTGAACAGATTATTAGTCTCCGGAAAGTTGAAGACCACCCACGAATCTTCCTCTTTTCTCGATACAAATCCATTCTCCGATAATTCGATGATATACTGAGTTCTGCAGGGACAGCCCTCGGGTAATCTTGGGCAATGCTCCCCTGATTGCACTGCATAAACATTGAGCCTCGTCGTATTATCAATTACAGTTGGGATGACCCTGTTGACACTGCCAATGTGAGAGGTTTCAAACTGCTGCTGAAGTTCGAAATAATAAAACACGTGTGGAAGATGTCCAGCAGTCACGATTCTGATTGAGTTTGCAATTAAAGCGTCTATTGCTGTGATGTTCCCCTCAGCCATCCTCAAATACTGATCTGCAGTGTCATCAAAAGTCCGAAGGACCGAGCTCAACTGCAGTCCGTTGATTCCACCCGAAACCGTAGTATTTTGCAACAACTCGATGTTCCCCTCGATGATTATGTTTCCCCTGATGAGTGCTGACTCGTCGTTTAAGACCCCGTTATTGTAAGCCTCAGAGATGTTCACTCCATTGAATAATGGAGCTGCCACATCCAGCTCGACTACTAAATCCTCCCGAAAGGTCTTTGTACCCTCGATTATCTGTGGTTCTGGTGAATCTTTCAGGATAATATCCCTGAGATCAATTCCATTGACTCCAGTCTCAACTTCGACATTTCCCAGGACGTGAATGTGACCGTTGAAGCGGACGTTCGATGGAATGACGTGATTTCCAGCCAGCGTTACTCGTTCCTTTAAAAACAGGTCGATGTTAACTCCATCCAGAGAGAGGACTTCCACAGCTCGTTTGATCACCAAGTCCTTGAAGTGGCTTCCATTCGGACAATAATCATCTTCGCCTTCGGATGCGACGAAGAAAGATGAAATGTTCGGCATTCCTGGACCAAGCTGTGGAGTCTCCAAATGAACTACTCGTATTTCATCGCTGAACGTACAAGTCCCATCGATCATTTTGATGTCCTCGAATTTTCTAACTATCGAGGCATTGAGATCTCTGACTGTCGTCGTCTCCAGTCGATCCATCTCCAGGATATCAACGACAAGTTCCCTCACTTCTACATCACTCAAGAATGTTTTTATTCCGCTGAATCCAATCGCAGAATTGTTGCTGGCGAGCAGAGCGTCCTCGATGATCCCCTGAATCTTCGAGAAAGAAGACTGATCCGAATAGAGCGATGATATCTCCACGTTTTCGATCGCTGATAAATCGACAGGAGTTTCGATGATTTCGTCGTTATCAATCCTGACTGCATGCTCAATTATGTCGGAGAGAATCCTTTGGGTTTTTGAGTTTTCCCAAGTGATTGTTCCAGTTAATGTCATATGAGTGATGTTCCTGGAGAATATGTAGGACAGATCCTTCTGAATCCAGTTGGTGTCAATGGTATTGACAGTCTCTGCAGCCACATCGGCGGAAAGGTCTGTAAAGGTGACGTTACCCTCGAAAACTAAAGGATCACTGACAAAATACATTCCCTCTATTTTATTATCATTGATAACACTAGCATCAATATTGCTGACAATCACTCGATGAAACGTCTTGGTTCCAACTAGAGTTTGCCCCCTGGTCTTTGAAAAAATATTCTCCACGAATTTATCAAAGTCGATGCTGTGGAGACGGCGAATTGCGACGTCTTGCGAGACATTAACTTCGTCCAGAACGAAATACGGATCATAAACTTGAATATCTAGCTTAGATAATTGATCAAAATAGTCCCCTACGTTCTGATCGTTTATGGATTCCTCTATACGTAAATTCTCCTCGACAATCAGTTGTCCTTGGATGATTATATTCATCTTTGTAGGGGGGATGAACTCACCCGCAGCTCTTGCAACTTTAGCACTAGGAGATGCCGAACGAAATTCAGCTACTCTCAACTTAGTTGTCTTCACATTCTCCACTTTATGATTTTGATCGACAAAGAGGAAAGTCGAAACATCTCGATCATTCAGGGCTTCGAAGTGAAGATCAGTGACGCGTAGATCATCATTCACAACAACTTTGTGAAATTCGAAGTCGTCTGGAAGAGAAGCGTGTATAGAGTCGTTAGGGTTTCTGCTGTCATTCATTATCTCGTGAATGGGAATTCCGTTGTACTCTGTTGTGAAGATGTTTGAAGCAGCCAATTCCTCGAAGAAAATCCTCTCATTGAATACCAAAGTGTCATCAGTGATTTCGACGAAATCCCCAGTCTGATTATCACGGAGAACACTGCCATTTACAACGAAATCTTCGAAATGAAGGCCACCAAACTCCGCTGGTATACTTTGAACTGTCGTGTAGAGATATTCGCCCTTTCGCATGCCATTCAAGTACTCTGTGTTCAACTCATCGATTGTTAAGCCATTTTCAAAGGTGATCCTTGGAGCAGTGATCGTTTGATTAGTAGACTTCGTCCAGCACGTATCGATCAGATTGTCCACATCACTTCCGAGAATCTTCAAACCCCCAAGTTGAATATTCGCTCGATTCACCAGCTGCAGTCGTCGTATTCCAACGCTTCCAATTATCGTTACGTTCTCATACACCTGGACGTGCTCAGGCTTCTTGAATAAATCGCATTCTTCGTCGACAATCAACTCATCTGTGATCTTCAAATTATTTACGATGAGTTTACCCTTAATAATATTTTCTTCCGAGACTCTGGCCGCCTCTGTGGGACTAATCCCGTTGATTTTATTGACATAAATATGCTGGACGTCCAGGGAATCAATGTACACTGAGTCTTCCACGTCTTGATCTGTCGTGGTTGTCAATAAATTTTCTGCTGGAATTCCCCTCAATTTCTGAAGGCTCAAATTATCAACAATCAAATGCTCAAAAACTACGTCAGAATTGATGACTTGATTTTTCCCAGGCCTAAAACAATTATCCAGGAAGTCTGATAGATTCACGGAATTCAAGACGCTAGTGTAAAAATTCGGCAGGAAAATGTTAGAATTCATGAAGACCGTATCGTTTTTAATATCGACTTGAATCTGCGAGCCCGCCGATCCGAAAAGGGGCTTCAATGGCGTCATCTTGAATTCGTTCTTCAGGAGCCAGAAATTTCTAGGAATTCCACACAAGGATTCCACTTCTAGATTATGGATCGTTAAATTACTCCCTCGCAAGGTTTCGTTGAACAGTTGGTCTCTCTCATTATGGAAATGCTCATTAGGACCCTCATCGTTTATCAGATTAGTCTGCAGTGCAGGTGCGTCTAAATCGCCGAAACTTGCCTCATTGGTGATATGTAACGATGGAAGAACTAATGTCTTCGTGCTTTCATCAATTCTGAGCAAATGCTGTGACTTATTCAACGATTTTACGATTTCAGATCCTAAATCCTCCATCAAAATCGCTAATTTTTTAGGTGGGATGATCTCTTCGCTCGTGTTACTGATGATTCCGATATTTTCGATGACTGTAGATCCTTGGAATGATCTGAGGATGACGTCTGCTTCAAGTGTATCGATTACAAGATTTTTCGAAGCTGAATGCAGGTGCTCCCACATGGCTCTGCTGTCCTCAACATCCTCCATCCTCTTCTGCAATTTTTCCCCCAGTCTATTCAAACAAGTCTCAGTGGCGTCAGATTTGTCCTCAATGATCTTCGTATGGGCCTCTCCCTTTTTCATTTCATTCACCAAGTACTGCAGTGGCTCAACTCTGTAGCGATTGGAACCTATGTCAGATATTAGAATGACCGAAATAACGTTTCCATCAGTCCACACGCCTATATCAATGATCCTAATGACATCGGGAAACTGGCGTACGTCTAACAGCTCATACTGCATGCTCGTGGCTTTGTATAAACTCAGGAAATTCCCCTGAGCAATGAAGAAGAAGGTGTTGTTGCCCATTTGGACAGAATTCAGAAGACTGTTACCGTGGAGGTTCTCCACTTGCATCCAAGGGAGGAACTCTGTACCGTCCCACCAGAAGACCTGACTTGGTCCGACCTCGTTCACCACCAGAAGGAAGGTGCAACCGTTATTGGGGTAGAGACGCATTGCGACCGGTCGATTTGTCGGGAGAAACTGGGTGACCTCCAGGACTCCCTGGCCACTCGCTTCGTCGATGATTAATTTGTAAATTTGAGATCCCATGTACGATTGCTCATCGCTTTGGCTGAAGATGAGGACTCTTGAATTTTTGTGGCTAAAAGTGACGACAGAAATGACAGACTTCAGGGAAACTCTGGCGATTACGTCCATGTATGTTCCTGTCCAACGGTAGATCACTGAAGAGGATGGGTAGGCCTTGAGATTAGTTGCAATCACCAGGTACAATTGATTGTTGTCGATGAAGAAATTGGCGTCTGTGGGTCTGCCAATCTCGTGTCGTGTCCTCTGCTGATGGTGAAATTCTGGGGTTTCTTGGGTATATGTGCTTGTGTATATGTTGCAGAAGTCTGAGTCATAACAGATTAGGAGGTAAGTCGTTCCCCTCCAGATGATGCTTTTTAGAAATTTCATTGGGGCTCCCGAGCGCAGGGTCGAGACCTCGTGAAGGCGGTTCGTCTTGGGGAGTAGTTCAGGGCGATTCAAGTCGATCCCGATCGGCAACACTTGGTCACTCTCCGTCAAAACAAACATTTCGCCTGAGAGACTGATGGTCAGAGCCTGGGAGTCCAAATCTTGAGTCCACAGACTCTTCCATTCTATGCGATACTTCACGGTTGTAACTGAAATGAAGGAGAGGAATTAGGAAATGCATTGACAAAATTTCAGGAGAGTAGTTTTTTGTATGCACAAAATAGTATATTTCATCACTTGTGCGTAAAGTGAAATTTGGGATGCACAAAATCTTACTTTCCACACATCGCGGTGAAAGTTAGGGTTCGACACTCGTGGGATAAGTGCTCTTTGATCCTTGGAAAAAAAAATTCTGCGCTCTCGTATCGGAATATACTGATTTCGTCATTAGACCGAAATAGTATATTAGAGTACGAGGTGTGGAATTCCGTTTTCGACGGATGTGAAGTTTACAAGCCGAGCCGAAGGCGAGGTCTGTATTCACATTCGTTGAAAATGGAATTTATCGCCGAGTGCTCTATACTGTTTGATGCCACCTCGTGCGGTAGTCGGGTGTCGAGCAGCGTGCTTTAAACTTGACTTATCGCACAGCGTGGCATAAAAAACTTTTTCGTGTCACGGGACCTAAAAAACCCCATTTTCGTGGCGCTGTGCGCCACGAAATTGGCGTTTTACACGTCCCTCGACACGAAATAGTACATTTCATCACGCTGTGACGAAAAGTGAACTTTTCGGCACGCTCCGCGTGCCTAAAAGTCCAATTTCCGGCACATTGTGATGAAAAATATTGTTCGTAACTCGTGAAAAAATGTTTTTTGCACTCGTTAGGAAATGTACTATTACATGCCCGAGTCTTGTAAAACAGATCACCGTCCCCCACGTGCTAATATTTTATTACGGTTATTTTTGTAGCCCTTAATTAGATAACATCACTCTTGAAATTTTTTGAGTACTCAAGTATCATCAATTCAAATATTCAAATTTTTAACTATCTTATCAATCAATAATTTGAGGTAGAAAGATTGACGATTACTTGTGAAATCGAAAATCCCCTTTCAAGAAATTTGAATTATTCATTTAGTAGTCAATTTACAGTTTCATATTAACAAATTTTAAATATATCATTATTCGTAAAAAATCAGATTATTAATATTATATTGTTTGAAAAATTGAATCAACTTATTTTAAACCTTCAATAATGTAAGGGTCAAATCCTTGTAATATTACAGAAATTTAATATTGATGGGGATCCCTGGTAACACAATATACTATTTCGACCTTGTAACGAAATTAGCTATTTCTTGCGAATATAAGTTTGAAGGCGAGGGCTGTAATCATATGAGCTAGAAAAGTATTTTTCAATATTTTTTGTCGTAACGGTCGTAGACAGCGATTCATAGACGCGTATCGTCGGTATGAAGAGCTGCCTCATGATCGGAATGACAAAAATAGTATGTTTGTAATAGTTGCCTGAAAAGTGCGCTTTTTCGAAACGGTTTAGTGTGCGTAAAGTGGTTGTATTCCACATGGTGTGCGTAAAGATCACTTTACGCACGCTCTTGAACTTTGCACACTCGCGCACAAAAACATCTACTTTACCCCACTACCGTTCCGAACAGTGAACTCGGCAAGTATCACAAAAAAAGGTGTTACACGTTACAGGTGTGCGTGCGAAACGGTGAAACTTTACGGGCTATAGTAACACAATAAACTATTATCAATAGACTTATTAACAATATTTGTAAACCAGCAATTGTGCCTATTTATAGATTGGTGTGCTAAAAAATACTATTTAGGCCGTATGTCGAATGATTTTTTTGTCATAACGAGCGTAGGCCGGAGTGACGAAATTGGTATATTTCGATATGAGTGCGTGTTTTTTTGACCCGTGGGAGATATTTCTACCCTCCCAAGAGTAAAAGAACACTTTTCCCACAAATGTTGAATCCTATTTTTCATCGCAATGTGTGAAATAAATGCGTAAACTGAAATTTCACTTTACGCACAAGTGATGAAAAGTGAACTTCTTATCACACTGTGTGTAAAGTGGCTTTTTCAGACAAATATTACAAAAATGTTCAATGCTCGTATTCAAAGAATAATTCAGTTAAACGTTGCATGTTCGTTAATCATGCATTCATTTTTATGATCGAGTGGGAAGATATGTATTTTTTTTTCAAACTTGATGATAATCTCTTCAAAAATCATCCAAATAATTCCAAATGGCGAAATAATTCCCAATTTCATGCACAAATAACGGTTATAAGCGTCCTTACCTGAGTCAGGATCGTGCATAAAAGTTTTCGCAATCTCTACTTTACTGTTACGTAATTTTCCATCGATATATTCAACAGTTTGTTGGCATAATGAGGCCTTCGTTGAGCTCAACAATATTGAAATTATTATTGTGAGGAAAAAAATCTGTAAAATAATTCGCAAAAAAAACAATGAGAATATAAATTTTATACTCCAATTTTGACATGAGAAATTACACTCACGATTGTTATTTGAGAACCCATCGCTTTCGTGTAGATTACTCAACAGTCAGACGCGAACTGAAGGGAAATTTGGATGAAAAATCATTGGAAGGAATAATAGATTAATCCTTAATTATACGTTGTATACAAACAAACGTGGAATCACAGTAACATGTATTGATATTGTCACGGTTTATTGGTTTGAATCTTCGGATATAAATGTCGATTACAATTGGACAAAGTTGAAGTCATCTAATATTTTATATCGATCCTCTCGATAGTGTACCAGATCATCTAGGAAACGCATGCTACTCTCGTTGTGGAGTTTCGCGAGAACAGGGGGGAGGGGAGTGAGTCCAGCAGTGTTCGCTAAATCGTCGAAATAAGGCCCCTGCTCAGGCCCCATCATGTGGAAATGACGTTTCTCCAGGCCTTGTTTCTTCTTTTTTTCGAATTCTTGAGTCTCTTCAGCAAGCATTATTTCTTTACTCGGAAGAGTCTTTTTCCCGGTCCAATATTTGAGAACAAATCTCACCTTGAAATAGATCGTTATTAAAAATTGTTCGGTCTTTACCGTCTTTACCTTCACAGAGAAAACAAGGTTCCGGTTTCCAGAACCGCGATACTAAAATGCAGAAACTCATGGTTCTATATAAGGCATGGCATTGAAATCCAGAAACTGGTTACTTAGTTTCAGTGAAAAAACCACTGAAATTCAGTTCCAAAAACGGACTAAGTTTGGTGAGAAAGGTCATTACACCAATTGTTGATCGGATTGATGTGAAAAAATATACCGTTTTTGCGTTTTATCGTTACACTGAGAAAAAAATTTCTAATATCTAAAACATATTTTCGTGAGAGAAGTAATTTTTCTTCAATTGCTCATTTCTACCAGACATCTCAACACATGTGGCCCGAGAAAGGTCTCATGCTTTAAAATATTTTTGTACTCAAGTATGATTTTGTCGTAAATGAACGCACTCAAATCGCGTAGAAGAATCGCCAATCGTCAAGTATTTATTGTTTTCATAATTTTTTTGTTATGCAGTTCCACTCTTTCGATGTGTAATATATTCATGATATAATGCGCAACGATAGTGATAAGTGAGAGTTCATTTGAGCTCCGTGAACCACAAACATTCTGAGATTTAAACCATTGAAAATAATATACTTCTCTCAAGTATAAGTATAGTATATAGTATTAGGAAATTTTTCTCTCAGTGTACTTAACGCCTCACGAAATTTCATGATCGTGCAATCATTTTCCTGCGGTTTTTCTAAAACTTATCGGAAATTCACAGAACTTTGGAAATATGCAGGAAAATGATTGCACTACCATGAAACTTCGTGAGTCAGTCAATAATGATAAAACGCAGAAACAGTATATTATTTCGTATGAATCCGATCAATAATTGGCCAGAAAAATAAAAAAAACATGAATTTTGGCCGAAAGGGTGTAGTACATCCTTAACACGTCAGCACTCGGGCTATATGACTTTCTCTTGAAAAAATTTTCAGGGTATAGGGAACATTTTGGACTGAACTTTTTTGACTGCCTCAAATAACTACCCCTCTTTCCTCTGGGGTCAATAAAAATCGTTGAGGATATTCCAATAAATTATAAAATAGTATGTTTCGTCATTAGGCGGAAAAAAAACTTTTCTGGCGGATATGAGTTTGCAGCCCGATGCGAAGGCAACAGTTGCAATCATATGAGCTAGAAAAATTTTTGGAGGACGTATGTCGAATGATATACAAGAGCAAAGTGAAATAAGAGGAAATATGCCTCAATTGATGTGCCATGAGTACTGGATTTCAGTGAAAATTACTAAGAACTAGAACTTTTTCTCTGATTCTCAGAGAACCTTCTCTTAGAATGAGTGAAAATTCCCGTGAAATTCAAGATTTTTTGCTCTCTGGATTTTAGTAAGGGAGATTGGGGTAAAACGGACACTTTTGACTTTTTTTCAAATGTTAATGAAGGGTTGAAATGTTGATGAAATTTAATAATTTTTTTTTTCAATACAAAGAACAATTCTTTCCCTTTATGACGAGTCTAAACTGAGCTCCATCATGTGGAAATGATAAATAATCCTAATTATTTATCATTTCCATAAATGATAAATAATTAGGATTGATAAATTGATAAATTTGTTTCTGAGTTACGAATAATTTTAAAAAAGTAGTGTCCATTTTACCCCACCCTACCCTACTGAACTCCAGAGATTGTTACCAGAAACTAGAAACTTTTTTTCTCTGTTCGTTATTTAAAACACTTACTTGTAAGTCAAACATACTGAATGCACAAACATAAAACGGCAGACCAATAAGAGCTAATGTTGGGTTTTCTGTCGATATCAAATGTTTCCATAGGGGTGTCACCATGTTATCATCGACCCTGACCCCACATCGCGGTGACAGGAATGGGAAACTGTACTTGTACCCTTTAATCACCATGAGGAATTATCACATAGAATAGAGAATGCATAAAATTCCTTGAATTCAATTAAAAATTCGTGTTTTACTCTCACCAGTGCAGTAAAATATAACATCAGCTTCTTCTCGAGTATTGTTCGTGAATTCGACTTCTTTTTCGGTGAGTTTTTTAATGTCGGGAAGCTGATATACGTTTTCTGGAAAAACTGTGGCAATGGGACTTCGATTGTGATGACTTAAAATAACTTTTCGTGCTTTCTTCGAAATCTCCAGTGTCAGATCCATTCCTGACGACATCACAAAATTGATGGTAATGAGAACGTCCAGTAAATTTTAGTGCACACGTTTTCATTCTCAACACTTTTTACGTAAACAAAATTAGACCCCGAGACAATGAACGTGTTAGTTGCGCAAGTAAGGGAATTACGAGGGAGATTGGCACTCTACGCGACAAATCACCGATTAGTTACACGGAGAAAAATTCTTTAGAAAATTCTAGTGCTAGCAAGGGTAAAGCAAGGGGAATTCTTGTGCTAGGGGCGCAAAGTGCCAGCTAGGAAAAAATTGATATGAAATTTCCACAGAAATCTCCAGAAATTTCATCAGAAATCTTCATAAATGTTACCAAAAACGACCAGAAATTTTACTTGAACAGCACTAGAATTGTTGATAGCCGATATTTTATCATGCATAGTATATTTCAGGGCAAGTGTCATCGGGTTTTTTACTCGCGTGGAGTTGACGTCCGAGCCGAAGGCGAGGACTGGCCAACCACGCGAGTAAAACAGTCCCATGGTAATAGTCGTGAACGATATTTTTCCGTAGTGATTTTCACTTCTACGAGTTTGGGGAGGGGCCAATACCAATCCCCGGACGAGAAAAGTGAATATCAGTACGGAAAAAAAATTTTCCCAACTTTTCTCCTCGTGTAGATGAAATGGCATGGAAGGAATAACAAGGGCCAAATACATAAAATTGGATGCAGATGGAATTCAAATGATTCTTTTCTTGTTTTTACTTCCAAAAAGAGCAAAATCAAAAAAAAAAATTATTGCTAATTGCTTATTTTGTAATTGATAGATTTTGTGATTCTTCATTTTTCCTTGAAAACAAATTGAAATTTTACTCTTTTTTAGAAAATGTCTATGCGTACGTCCATAGGCGCGTGCTAAATTCTGGGAAGGTTTTATAAATCTTCACAAAAAGAGAACTGAAGTGATAGCTAAAAATCTGAAAAGAAATTGGTAGAAATAAAAAAAATGAGACTAATACACCAAAAGTAACCGTCACATGCCTTCTGTCGGATAGGCTCGAGCCCTTGTTTTTTTGAATGAAAAACGAATTATACCGCAGAATGGATTCGAACGCGATATGCGCTAGTTGGGTACTAAGATTATCGAATTACATCCGAAATGACAAGTTTTTCACGCCCACCATTATTGAATAATATACTGAGAGAAAAACGAAAAAGATCTCAAACAAGTCTTGTTTGGGCCAACAAAATCTTTAGTTGAAAATTACAAAAAAATAATTGTTTGTTTCGAATTTGAAACAGACTTTACCCTGGGGTTTATTTGGATAACAGGACTTGATGCAACCGGGCCTAAATCTATTTTTGCAATAAAAATTTTCAATCTCGGCGAACGCTTCGCATGTTTGGAACCAAAAAATCCTTTTCTGATAATTTTTAACAAATGATTTTTTTTTGCACAAGTAAGACTTGTTTGAGAACTCGGCTGTTTTTCTCTCAGTGTAGCCATAGGTCATTTTTCCGCACCTGATGGCCCTGCGCCTACAACAACGACAGTTTTATCCGCAAAAACCTCAGGAACTCGATAATCATGGCTGTGCAGCTGTTTTCCCTTGAACTCCTTCCGGCCTTCAATGACTGGTAGATATGGTTGAAAATAATGGCCATTGCAGACCATAACGGCATCGAAATGTTCTGTCCTCGTCGATCCATCTTTGAGATTCTTGACCGTCACCTTCCATTTCTTTGCGTTTTCCCCTCTAAGAGTGGGCTCTACTAGCTCCACATTATGGAGAAACTACGCAAATTCCTCAATTCTTAAATCAATACAATTAACCCTAGTCTGGTCACCAAACGCAACCCTGCGACTTAGTCACCTTCGCGGGGATTCGCCGCCGTGTTATTTAGGCTTCAGCGTTGCCGAATTCACTCTACACTGCCCGGGCCCGTTTAACGGGTTTCCAGCAACGTCGCGTCATGGGCAATTTCATTTAAGGATGTGCTACACCCTTTCGGCCAAAATTCTCGTTTTTTTCATTTTTCTGGCAAAATATTAATCGGATTGACGCGAAATAATATACCGTTTTTGCGTTTTATCATTATTGACTGACTCACGAAGTTTCATGTTAGATCAATCATTTTCCTGCATTTTTTCTAAAGTTTTGTGAATTTCCGAAAAGTTTTAGAAAAAAACGCAGGAAAATGATTGATCTAACATGAAACTTCGTGAGTCAGTCAATAATGATAAAACGCAAAAACGGTATATTTTTTCACGTCAATCCGATGAACGATTTACCAGAAAAATTTAAAAAATGTGAACTTTGGCAAAAAGGGTGTAATACATCCTTAACATGGGAAAAAATAATTCATTGGTCCGAAATAATTTTTTTTCTTTAGGAATTTTGTGAAATATGTTGTTCTAAAAACTACTATAATTTTTTAGACACTTCAGTTGACAAAGTCGATTTTTTTTTTCGGTTAGTCAGTCAATTGTAATTAAAGAGAAACGACGCGCGGCGGGGTTTCCATCATAGGATGACCAATCTAGGGTTAATCGTTCTACACCATTTTTTGGAACAATACTTGCATGTATGTATTGACGAACTCGGAAGTGATCGCAGTATCGCTCCAAGAATTCCAGGATTTCTGTACGCGTCAGATAACTTTTACTGGTTTCTACGTCATATTGGAAGTCTGGATATCCCATAACTTCTTTAGGTAAATTAGTTCTACACAGAAGAAATCAAAGCAAATGAAAAAAATCAATAGAAACAAATAAGGTGACTCAATATTTGCAGATTAATTTGCAATATAAACGTGGATAAAAAGTATAGAAAAATATGAAACTTATCAAATGGTCATTATTCAATGTTATATGGACAAAGGTGGGATAAAATGAATACTAGTGATATTTGTTTAAATGTTCATAACTAAAAAACAAATTGAATAAATGGATAAAAACGAATGGATGTGCTCAGTTCAGGCTCATCACGAAGAGGAAGAATTGAATTTTCCTTCAGGAAGACATTACAAAAAAAAAGGAACGTCTATTGTGACTCCCTTATCCATGCATGTGATTAAAATTGTCAGTGTTAAACTTTTGTAATAAATAATTTACGTTTCTACGCACCCGAAACGGCGTGTTATGTCGAAATATCAGTCAAACGTGAGACTATTGTTCAAAAATATAATTGAAGAAAGCATTTAACACTCCGTTGGTCACGCTATGAACGTCGCGCACTTCTTCCGATTTTTTAAATTACACTGCAGTAAAGCCTCAGAAAATTTTTAAAAAATTTGACTTTGACAAAAATTTGAGAAAAAATTTCTCATTTTGAAGTGTCTAGAAACCCTGTCAATGAAAATATCCGCTAAAAATATCATAAGTAGTTAGATTTTTAAATTTGTATTCCAAAACTGCGGGTCGTTACGTATGAAAAAATCGTATAGAAATTTTCTATACGGATTGCGTATAGAAATTCTATAGAATTTCCGTATATGATATTCGGATATTTCCATACGAACACTTTCCATACGAATTATTTCTATACATAAATTTTTACATAAATGTTTCTATTCATACGAAAGATGTCAAAGTATTCCAGAGAAAAACGTGGAGAAATGTCGCAATTCCATACGAAATGTTTCTATACATGTGGCAGTGGGTCGTATGGGATCAAACCTATAGAAATCGTATAGAAATAATTTGTATAAAAAATATCCGTATAAAAATCTTCGAATATCATATACGACAATCCTATAGAAATTCTATACGCAATCCGTACAGAATATTTCTATACGATTTTTTCATACGTGCACCGTGTATAAGGCGAATTTTCAGAAAACCATGGCAACTTTGAGCTTCAATATATACTTAAGAGTAACACTGAACACAAAAAATCTCACGGGACTTCTTCACGCATACGATCTGGATCACTCTTAATTTTTTTCAGATTTTTCCCAGATCTTTCAAATTTATCATTATGTCGATTTATGCTGGTGCGGCGTGGCGCTTACAGTGCGCCCAACGGAGTGTTAATTGGTCAATTCCTTACTCATCAAATTTAGAATTCACGAAAAAAATTATCAATGATAAATATTAATCTTTTTAGCGTTGATAAATTTATTTTTCCTCGTTACACTGAACGACTCAACTAGAGTTTATTCATGCTGCTTTATCCCGGATAGACCAGATATATTTTGAGTAACAAGAGTGAATATAATTACCTCAGACTGTCATACATGCTGGAATGAATAGGCAGCCCGTACTTGTCAATCCCAGTCTCCTCCGTATAAACCCACGTGCCCCCAATTTTATCGCATCTCTCATAACAAACAACATCACTAACTCTTCCATCTTCAATTTTTTCATTCTCCTTCGATCTCTTCAGATCCTCTGCACAATGTCTCAGAGCAGCAAGACCTGCGCTCCCGGCTCCAATCACCACCACCCGCATATTTAGAAAGATACTTCCTCTAAGAAAGTCGAATGACTGCCTCCCAACAGCTCAACGCTTACACTGATTTCACTGATCACGAGGCAGAGGAAAAAACCGGAGCAATTACTCCTCCCTTCTTCTTCGTGTCGTAATCTCCAAGACGTTAATGCACGATAGCCTGTCACTTGCGTGCTGCTCCCCTCTGATAACATTCTCACTTTTCAATTTCACTTGCCGAAGAATTTGTGAGAACAGGCGTCCAATAGGGTTTCACATAATTATGGATATTGTAATGGGAGAATAAGTCAGAATAGAAAGGCTGATTGTGCTGCAAAGGACAACAGAGATTGATATATAATCAACTCAATATCTGCCTCGGTGATTAACTACAAGTGCTGATAACGGGGTCGCGAAATTCAGTGGTACCTGACATGATAAATTCATTGACCTCATAGTGAAGAGAATTTCAGTTCTTAGATTATAGAATAATGAAAATTTTTATTATTCAAGACAACATTACCTCAAGCCGAACGAAAATAGATTTCGCGTGCGCTGTGCAACAAGGTCGTATAAACACTTTTTTGTATTTTCCGGAAAATTTGTGCAAAAAGGTCGTATAAGCACTTTCTGAGGGAATAGTAAATCTCCACGTTTCAGATGATTCTGAATTATCGGAGACTAACTTTTTGAGACCATTTTTTTGAACTTTTTAAAGGGATTTTGAAATTTTTTTGAAAAATTGAGCAAAAAATAGATATGTATAAAAAATATATATTCAGAAAATATCTTTTGAAAACGGAATATAAAACAAATTTTTGTATAATCTAAGATCTTAAGGAAAGATTATACTTGTTCCTAGGCCTAAGGTTATTCCTGGCGAAATAGATTGCTGACCCAAAAGATGACATCAATTTTTTTTAAAGAGGGTTTTTGCTAATAATTTACAAATTTGCTTCCATTCGGAAGCAAAAGTATGGAAATAAAACATTTTATGCCTTTTTTTAACGTGAAAAAACATCAAGTGACGGTATCCACTCCACTCAGACTTCACACAAGTCCCGCGTCAAAATCCGCGTGTTTAGAATGATCTATTTTCTTCTCATGAATGATGACTGGAATCCACATCGCTTGTCTTTCCGTTTGAATGGTCACTAATTGTTACGATATCGCTTCTGATTCAAATAGTTTTGCAAACTTCGGCTAATGAATTTTCGTGAGATTAACATTCTTACCCGAATTAATCTTCAAATGCTGAGGAACGACTCTCGTAAAGTTACTTGATGTTCCATGACTCATTGGCATTAGAGGGTTAAAATTATATTCATCGTATTCAATAACTCAGCGATAGCAATTTGAATATATTTGTAATTCTTTTTATTCCTTCATTTAACGAAAATAAATCCTTAACATTTTGGACAATAATTCAAACTTATTTATTATTATTTTCATTTATTATATTTCATTTATTATTATTGATCCGATTTCCTGATATTTTCTCCCAGGGAGAACTTTAGGTTCAGTTTCTGCAAATCCTCTCGCTGCTGTCAGATCAGGCTGAAGGTTGAAGACAACACTTGATGCAATCCGGCCAATAATGATTGTTTAGTTTTAAGTTATCCACAGGTATTGAGAACACCCTAATCTACAAATATAAGAATAATTTGAGACGTTGAGATGAGTAAATTCAACATTTTAAATGGAATCATACAGTTCTTCGTGAATTTGTTCGTTTCCACGTAAATTCCATAAAAATCTCATCAGATTCTATTGAAAATTTCCTATGAATGGATTTTCAAAGCTCTTTTGGTTGAATTTGCTGATAAAAACAAGGAAAAATTCAGTGAAAAAAGCTTAGAAATTGTATGCCAAAGAATTTGTGCACAAAATACAATAAATATTACAGAACAAGTTGTAGAAAAAGATAGGATTTCTCAATTTAATCGGTAAGGAATCGATAAAATTTTCCAAAGAATACAAAATTTTTTAGCATGTCTGTATTCTAAAATCACATTCTTCTCTGAAATGTTTTTTAACGTAGATACGTCTATGGTTTCAATATGGGGGGTTATTTTGGGAAACAGTTTTTATGTGCAGCGCCATCTATCGGAATTCTAAAAAATTCTAGACATTTCGAGATAATTCGAGAAGTTTCTTGAAATTTCTAAAAAATTCAAGGAGTTTCTAGGAAATTCGAGAAAGAAGGAAAGACCATGAACGTATCCACGTACAATTACAGCTGTATTGAAGATACATCCGTCTGTAATTTTTTTTCTCTCTAAAGTCTCCCAATATTAAAGAAAACTCATTTGTTGTTTAATTAAAATTACCTCCGCGTATGCTGTAAAGATCATCTAGAACGGATATCAGATTCCCAACGATTCCTGTACAACACGTAAAGCTGCATTGCAGTTCTGGCGTCCTCCACAGAATTGTGCTCACCACTCTGAATTTCAATGCCCAGTAACTCAGCAGCGAGTTTCTTCAAACTTGGAGTATTTCCTTTTGAGATCATCCTAAAGAGTTTGTACCTTGACGTGTCCCGCAGATTCTTCTTTTGGTGTGATAGAAAAAGAACAGCAAGGTCATTTTTAAGTGCATGACCAATTAGAATCTTTCCTCGTAAGATGTTAGCTACTTCCGCCTGAACTATGTCGAATTCTTCGCCATTTTGAAGGTGGTGTGGGCGGATTCCACTCACTGGAGTGCGGTAGTCTTGGACAGTCTCTCTGGGCTTGACATATTTGTCGTAAATACAGGCTCCATGGCGATTTACTATCGATATTCTTGCTAACATACTCTCGGTACCGTCACCGATACCAACCATTTCACAGTCTATTGCCACTTGATTCGTTAGCTCCGTGTTATTAAGGTCCATATTTGCCATTATATTGGTCACTTGCTGGAATAGACACGCAATTTGAATGATATTCGTGCTGAATGAAGAAAACAACCCTGGTAAAACAGTCCGATTATTTCCGACTGGGTGATAAAAAATGAATCGGCGTTAATGATGTTTCTGTCTTTGCCCGTTAAATTCCGATTGGCTGGTAGGGTAAACTGCCCAGTAGATGAACGCCTAAGAAAACCGCCCAGTAGATGGACGTTTGTTGTTTAGCAATTGAAAAAAAAAATTGATCGAAAACAAATCGCCCCTCAGGGGTTAAGAATCACAACAGTTAGTGAAAATTCAAAGCAACAATTCACATTTCAGTATTTTTTTGCGTAATTTCCTAGCCAAAAGTAGCTCGTCCATCTATAGGGCAGTGTCCATCTACTGGGTAGCTTACCCTAGGTAGAGTTTAGAGTTTGAGAAAATTATGAGAATTAATAGAATCAAGGGTATGTGGCCGTTATCGTCCGATTACTTTCCAAAAAAGTGGTTGATAGATCTCATATTGCTCATATAAATATTTAATATTTATTGCTCATTTAAATATTTGTATTTTGTTTTTTTTAATTATTTCTAATATATTTTTTTTTTTATTTACATTTAATATTTTTATTTATATTTATTTAATATTTTTATTTTATTTTATTTTTATTTTATTTTATTTTTTTTTTATTTTTTTTTTTATTTAAATGAGCAATAAATATTAAATNGTATTTTTTTTTATTATTTCTAATATTTTTTTTTTTATTTACATTTAATATTTTTATTTATTTTTATTTTTTATTTTATTTAAATGAGCAATAAATATTAAATATTTATATGCGTAATACGAGATCAATCAACCACTTTTTTGGAAGGTAATCGGACGATAACGGCCACATACCCTTGTTCCCATTAATTCTCATAATTTTCTCAAACTCCAAACTCTACCTACCAGCCAATCGGAATTTAANAACATCATTAACGCCGATTCATTTTTTATCACCCAGTCGGAAATAATCGGACTGTTTTACCAGGGAAGGATTGAAGAATTTCCAGATTGGTTTGCAAATTATTTTGTGGGTGGATTATCGGAAGTGGTAGGTGAGAAAACTGACCGAAAATGACCGGTCATTTTGTCGTTTACCACACAGACGTGATACTAGGGTAAACAGGTCAATTTCTGGGCGGGTGTTAGTTTCTGGGCGATTTCTATTTCCATTGCATATTCCACAAATAATAATATGAAAATTGCGCTGATTATTTCATTTTTCAATGATATTATTTGTGTATAGTCATGTGATCATTTTTTTTCTATTAATCGACATTTAATATGTAAAGAAAATATGGCCCGGTATAGTCGTTCGGAAATTAGGGGTTTCGTTAATTAATTAGAGGGGTTTTTGTTATTTTGACTTCACTTTTTTGGAATGTCCAGGGATGCTAGAGATACCCTTTAAGGTACCTTACAAATGGATAGTCCAGGCCGGGATTTGAACCCAGGACCTTCCGATCACATTCAAGGTCTAGGCAATTATTTTACTTGCTTCGTGCAAACTCGAATTTAACACTGTCATCACCTCTTTATAGAATTTCTAATGCAGTCAACGCCTGGGTCATATCTGACAACGCCATTGACATGTTCTGTGACTCACTGCCTACCTTATCAGTCAAGCTGTATCAATTCCTCACTGATCTTAGGCACTGATGTATGTAATCTATCAAGTAACACTTATGAATTTCATTGTATACTCCTACGTCATCTTGTTAAAATTACTTGACGAAAAAAAAAATGAAAAAGAGAAATTATATTATATAAGATTATATGATATTATACTATACCCTGCATACCAAATGCTAAAAACTAACGGTATATTCATTGGCTCTGTCATTGGCAATCTTGATGTTGAACCTCGATAAAGATAATAAATAGATAAATAGTAATAAATAACACCGACGGTAGTGGCCGTGCGGTTAGAGTGCTAGACTCGTATGCCAATGATCCGGGTTCGCTTCCCGGCACCGGCGGTCAAAAATTTATAGCGCTCTAATCTCACAGTTTCACTGCCGAGCGGTAGTCACGTCAAAAAGGACGACTGTACCAGGTCAGGTTTTTCCCTCGAATGAGGTTTTCCCTCCCTTCGGCAAATGCGGTACAGGGGGTTGAGGGGGGTGGGAAGGGAACAAATCGTAAAGACCCGAAAGGGTATGCGAGAAGAAAAAAATTAGTAATAAATAACTTCAAATAATTTTTTTCTGCTAATTAAAACATTCTTAAAGGCATGGAAACCATCATATCCCCATTAAGGTGATTCTTTTATTTTAGATCCTACTACGAAACTCGAATTTCCCTTAACCGTGTATTTGTCGGAAGGAGAAGATTCAAAGAAATTCGTCAAAACATCTTTGTTGGACAGATTTTTATGGAGTAAAAGAAAAGCTTCTTCACGTTTTATAATGAACTAAGCCCACATCTTCTGTTCTTTAACAGATCAGGAAAGAATTTTACATAGAGAAAAAAAATTCCGAAAACTCTTTGTGGCAAAACGTACAAGTGATGCGACATGCTCTTTCGGAAATTTTTACGTAAAAACTTGGAAAAAATCTGGATCGAAACGTAATTTTTACGTGACATTCCATAAAAATTCATGCGGAGAACAGTGATTTCTGCGAATCTGCAGCGATACGTCACAATTACGTCAAACAAAGTAATTTTTACGTGATTTCCATGGTACATTTTAACCAAGTTTTTTCGTAGTCTATGTTTACATAGAAAATCATATGGCAAATTAAATATTTAAAATTTTTTTCATTCAAATTTCAACGTATAGAATTGTATCATTCGACGTTAGGATTTGATCAATTCAATGATTTTATTGATTATTTTCGAGAGTCATAATCTGGCCAATGAGAGGGCGATACTCGATGATATGCATTATGTACATCAAAATTCTGTCATACATGTCAATTGAGTGAGATGTGATAGTGAGATAAATTGATAAATTGGTCCAAAAATTATCATTATTACAAAAAAATTGAGTGTCCGTTTCGCCCCATTTCCACTACATTCACATCATATGTGAAAAAATAGAGATTAACCATTCTACTGATTCATCATTCTCTTTCAACAAATCAATCTTCTGAACTAAGGGAGGTGAACATATTTTTTGGGGAATTCCCTGCAAAATTAGAGTTTAAAGTAGTATATCCAAACTCCATGTAAATCGTTGAGTGTAGTGAGCAAAAGTAAATTTAAAACGCCCGAAAACAAAATTATTCATCATTGATAATTTCTTACATGAATTCTAACTGTGACGAAAATACAAAATTAATCCATCATATTTTCTCTACAATTATCTCCTTAAATAATAGTTACTCGTTTGACTAGGACATCCTCTACAATGGGGGTACCCAAAACCATAAATTATTCATCAGAAAAGTTTGATAGTGATGACAATTTTCGTATTAGGCACCAAAGTTTTATTCATTTTTTTTTCTAATTTTTAAAAACATTTTATATTTCTGATAACACTCTGTGTTATTTTGGCACTTCTAAATTAATTATTATCAATAATGATAGACTGCCAATCAAACACGAACTCAACCAGAATATTTAGGGGAGGGTGGGGTAAAATAATGGACACTTTAGACTTTTTTAAAATTATTTATAACTCAGAAACAAATTGATCAATTGAGCTCAGTTTAGGCTCGTCACAAAGAGAAAGAATTGTTCTTTGTATTGAAAAAAAATTATTCAATTTCATCAACATTTCAACTCCTCATTAACATTTTAAAAAAAGTCAAGTGTCCGTTTTACCCCAACCTCCTCTATTTATGTTCATATCAACTTCCATTTAGAATTAATTTCACATTTTCATCTGCAAAATTTAAGTTAAGGGAGAGTGGGGTAAAACGGCCCCTTTTGACTTTTTTGTGATACTCATAACTCTGGAATTAATTCATTAATTGAGATCAGTCTAGGCTCATTCTAAAGGGGAAGTGTAGTTTCCATGGAAAAAAAAATATTCCATTTCATTTCAAATTGAATGAGCTGTTAACATTTTTGAAAAAATCAAACGGGGTGGTTTTACCCCACTCTCCCCTATATATATAAAGTTATCGACAATCCAACTTACAGATTGAACCAAATGTGGGGCCTTTTTCCCTTTGGCCACTCTCTTGTCCCTGTAAGGCACCTCAGAGTTCGTTGAATGTCGTTTAGAAGGTGATTTTTGTGTCCCAGGTGTATTAACAAGGTCTTTATATTTCTGCCAATTGGAATTCGTAGACCTAGATGAAGATTTAGCTTTTTTCGTGTCCTTCTTGACCTCTTGTGGTTGTATTTCATTCTCCTTTGATTCAACCGTTGTATTTTTTCTAGTACTTTTAACAGAATCGGCGTAGCATTTCGCCATTTCAGGTGCCATCATTTTCGACAGCATTCGACTTGATTGCTCTTTGTTGATGTTCTTTATATTCCTGCTCTTTATTGATCTATTTACCTCATTTTTTTACCTAGCATGATTGAACTTTAATAGAAAAAAGCATGACCATGCAGCCATTCACTTCCACGTGCTTCTGTTACGTTTTTTTCCATCAGTGGGCGACCATATGATAGCATGGAATGTCTTATTTTTTTTGTTTTCATATCTCAAATCATAGCTACCGTACTTTCTTCTTTGTACTGATATTGCCAAATGTTAGATGAAATTGTATCTGAATTTTGTTGATAATTCCTATGTAATTTTTCTCCTCAATGCTCGAATAAGCCTCAACGGATATATATGTACAGTTGTTTGTAATGAATTTCGAGGTTAGACTACAAATGTGGATATCATTATTATTATTAGTGCTATTATTCGGGTTGCCTTTTCAAAAGGCGACTTAGCTTGTGCGCTGTTGGATATCGGGATAACTACTATATCGACTGTAATGAAGCGGTAGAATTGAAAAAATCTGTTAAGGGGAGACTACTATATATGAATTTTAAAAGTCGTGGGTTATTGGAGTGAGACTTTTCATCCGTTGAAGATCGATTATATAGATCTGAAAGCGAATAATTCGTGCAAAAATTTTTTTTTCTATTATTCGTTTGCCCGAATACGCTTAAAATGCCAAAAACCGTCCGGGGCCTCCAATTTTTGAGCTACGAAGGATTTTTTTTTCAAAATTTTCGGAAAAATATGTGGAATAACAATTACGAGCTATTTTTTTTTAATCCGCCTCTTACATAGCTAAATTTGCTTTTTTTGTATTTTTTACACAAATAGTGAATTTTTTTATATGAAAAAAACCGAAATCGGCTGTGTAGGATTCGAATTTCAAAAAACTGGCTCATAATTGTTGTTCCACACATTTTTCCGAAAATTTTGAAAAAAACAAATCTTCTGTAGCTCAAAAATTGGAGGCCCTGGACTGTTTTTAGCATTTTAAGCGTTTCCGGGCAAACGAACAATAACAAAAATTTTTTTTTGCACTAATTATTCGTTTTCAGATCTATATAATCGATCTTCAACGTATGAAAAGTCTCACTTCAATAACCCACGACTTTTGAAACTCATAGTAGTCTCCCCTTAAATAATTTTATAATTTCAAGACAATTTGGTTATAATACACCTACGAATTTTTTTCATGAAAAAAGATGAAGAATTTCAGACGATGAACTGGACGTCCGCGTGAGAATGTTCAGTATGTCAATTCTAGTTTCCAAGATATTCATGTTTGTATTCTATTCTATTCCATAATAATAACGGTCATATCCTTCAATGTATAATTACTATTACGAGTGCCGAATTTTCTTTGCACATTATGACGTCGGCAGAAGATATTCAGGTTTTTGTCCCCGCAAGTTCCATTTCAAACAATATATTAACTATTTTCATCACATTGTCCGTCAAACGGCGTTCACACTCTTATCTTGTCTAGCGACGTGATTTTTTGCACGACTGCTTGCTATTGTATTTGTAGGGGATAAGATTTTCTCAAATATTAGAGAAAAAAGAATTTTATCTAATACTGTGGCGGAAAACTGATACATTTTCTGGGAAAAGATGTTGCGTATCAAAAATGTTTTTTTTAGTACAAAAAGGAAAAAAACATCCTCATGCCCGTGGTGCAAAACTGAGAGAAATCCCTTCATTTTGCGTCAAAATTTTTTGAATGCTATGCGAAGAAAAATCTGGAACCGGTACATACCGACGCTTTTTTTAAATTTTTGATAATTTTTTTGGTTTCTGAGGGTGACACGACATTCAACTGTAATCGAAATTACTCTGTCCTCATTGTTTGTTGCTCGAGTTAAAGATGTTTATCCATTTTCAAAAAATGAAATTTCTTCACGTCCTCTATTGAAAAATAGGTGAAACATTTTCGGTCAGCCGTCTGTTTCTTAGGAATATTTCAAGTTTATCTTAGCTTGGAAAATTTAATTCTCAAGACCTTTTTCCAACTTGATTCAAATTAAAAATTATTACATCATACATTTTATATTAAATTGAAAATTACTAGTTACAATGAAAACAATTTTTCGATGTATCGAAAAAAAAATTATCATTATAAATTATAATTTAAATGAGAAAATATAGAAATCAGATGAAAAAGCAAACGAATGACCAAATACATAAGGATCATAAATAATATGCATAAAATACTCGTCAACGCATACGCGCGCGAAGCGCGTCCCCTTTCCTACGAGGAAAATTCTGTAATTTTTTAGAGTAATAGGCAACATAAAAAAATTAGTTGCAGGAGCTTTATCGAAATGAAATAACCAGTGACGAACAGTTGTTTCATTTCGATAATATTTTATTCAAACTCATATAATTTTGACCTCGCATCATACGCAAGTGTTTTCTGTCAACTATTTTCTTTATCTTACTAAAAGTAGAATATGGTGAAAAAGCACACGAATTCAATTATCAAAAACAGTATAGCTATTTTCCACTCACTCAAAGCAATAGGTCGCTGCGTAATCGCGAGTGTAATATAAGTTCAAGCTCATAAATTTCCAGCAATAAATTATTCCTTGGAAAAATTATAATTTATCATGTTCAATATTTTTTTCTGAAATATAAAAACACAAGGCTTTGACTTTTCGTGCACATTTTTCCAACGGCCTTGAGTTTTATAACTTGACAATTGTGGTGGAAACATCGGTAGATGGCGGAGCATTCCAAAAACACCACTCATTTTCCACCTAATAGAAACGTTACGACTGCCTATTGGTTGAGTAACCAATAATGATAATACCCCCATTAAAAATAAAAATATTAGCATACTTCTCATGTCACCTGGAAGTACATTTCAACGAAATATTTTCATATGCAGTCATGTCAGAGGAGTGAAAATTGTGTATTCAGGGAAAGTACTGTCACTTCTACAACTCCATAACGAATTCAATTGGATTGAGTCGTCTATTTGCATCATGTCAAATCGTGTTCGCGAACGATCCAAAGTGGCTTGAGCTCAATGTCCACGCGAAATTCAAGGTGTCGAGATGATATTACTGGTGATACTGAGATCCTCGATAATCAGGGCAAGCCAACGATTCGTGGGTTTTCACTTGTCGGTGCAACATTGAGTGATAAACATTGTTTCATAGGTCGACAAACAATGCGGTAAACAAGTGACGCAATATGTCAGATTTTTGGGTGTCTAGAGATCCACGAGCAGTCTGCCGAGATCCCAAGTTGATTGTCATCAGCTGAGTAGCATAATGATAAGAGACTGCAGTTGTCGGCGCAGTTTTAGAGCACCTGAAGAATGTCTAACCTAACTGTGGAAAATAGAATGCGGAGAATGACGACATCAAGAGTCTTGAAGAATATGCTTCATCTGTTTCTATTTTCTCTCATCCTAGGAGCCTGTGCTCTGAATCCCCGTGGGAATGAAGTAAGTTCGAAAATTGGTTTTTAGTGTTGAAGTTACAGAGAGAATAGTGTATATTTCGCCTTGGGAGGTAAAATAAAGGTGTCGTGCCCACGTGTGGAATTATCAGTCGAGCCGAACGCGGGGCAAGGGTCCTTTCAGGTCCTTTATTTTATGCCTCGTGGTTGGAAGTATAAATTTCGCCCCGGCAGGCGCAAAGTACACATTTCCCTCCCGAAGCGGGAAAAGTTTCCTCTTTCCAGAGACAATATCTACATTTCAGTAGCGAAGACGGAAAAACAATCGAGATAACGTTCGAAAGATAATCCACCAGGGCCTTAATAGTATATTTCGTTACGAGTGCGGAAAAGTGTTTTTTGTGGTGTTCTCGCCTTCGGCTCGTGCTATAAACCTCCCACGAGCCAAAAAACACTTTTCCCACGAGTATCGAACGATATTTTTCATCACAATGTGTGGAACAGGGACGTTTTAGGCACGCGAAGCGTGCCTAAAAAGTTAATTTTTCGCACAGCGTGATGAAAAATAAAAATCGTTGGGTACTGAAGTCGAGAATGCTCACCTGCGGTTTTTTAAATAAGAATAACGATGTGTAATTTGAGGATTTTTCACATTAAAAACTCAACAATTAACAATAAAAAAAAGCAAACTCATTGACACTATGTTTTTCGGACTTCTGTCCGAAACTTAGTTTCACTGATTTTTTCACTGAAACTAAGTAATTTTCAGGAAACCAAAAGCTTTGTTTCTCAGTGATATTGCAATCAGATAAATTCATAATGGATCGTACATCATTTCCGCAATAATGTCGGAACTATTAAGTCGAGGAAGAAGTGCCAGGAGTATTTTTTTACAGATAATTTGACGAAAAACAATGTTTTCTACATTTTCATTGCAACAAACTACTCTCAAAGATCCTTTCAAAATAATCTATAGCAAATTTTTTGCGTTATCTCTAAATTCTGGTTGAATATTCTCTTTCCACCACAAACTCCTTGTAATATAAAATTTGATCTTTTCAGGATCCAAACACAGGTCTCATTCCCGAAGGGGATGACCCCCTGCTCCTGATTTCGACCCTCAGCGGTTGTTTTGTGGGCGTTGGCCAGAGAACAGGCGAGATTCGTTGGCGCCAGGACAATGAACCCGTAGTGAAAGTCCCACACGGCGTATCCGAGAGGCTGTCCCCAATGTTCCTCCCCGATCCCAAAGACGGATCCCTGTACCTTTATGGAGCTGAATTTGATGTCCTGAAGAAACTTCCCTTCACAATTCCCCAACTAGTAGCCAACAGTCCCTGTCGTAGCAGCGACGGCATTCTCTACACAGGTCGTAAAATCGACACTTGGTTCAGCATAGACCCAGTTACTGGTAAACGCGAGCAACTCCTGGGGTTCGAAGAGGCCGATAGTACCTGTCCCTTAGACATTCAGGACGCCATTTCCGTTGGGCGTACAGAATACAATATCATAATGATAGACAGCAAGCAGAAGGAGCGAAAATGGAACATAACGTTTTACGATTATTCAGCATCGAAAATCGACGATGCAATGGACGATTATGACCTCGTCCACTTCACAACGAGTTCCACTGGTCGAGTTGTTACCTTGGATCGAAGACTAGGGATGGTTCTGTGGGAGTTGGACCTTATGAGTCCAGTCATTGGCATCTACACAATGAGTAAAGATGGCTTAGTAACAGTTCCCTTCACCAGTGTGGCCGAAGGTACCCTCGACAATCTCCTGCAGAGATTCAGCTCCAAGCCCAGTGACATTCAACTGTTCCCAACGTTATACATTGGTGAGCACATCCATGGACTTTATGCACTGCCATCCCTAGTGGACTCTTCGACAGCCACAATCTCCAGCAACAGCGGACATCTGCTGCTCGAGGGCCCAGTAGTCGTCCCTCAAATTGGCAAGAACAATAATGGAGTTTCTCATGAAGAGAGTGCAACAGTTGGCAATGAACCACCTGGGGATCAATCAATGGATGAAGTGACTCAAGAGAATAATATCATTGTTCTTGGGCATTATAAAGTGCCTTCAGAGTATAAACATCAGAATCAGCCTTTGCAGATCACTGGACGGTCTGATCCAATTATTAGATCTTCAGAAGCGCGGGGTAATGAGTCGAATAAGATTACTATTGTTGTGCAGAGCCTTGATGAGCTTGACAATAGTACGGATCACAGAGGATGGAAGAAGACGTTTGGGGGAGCGTATAATGGGGCGAAGAAGTGGCTGAATCAGCAGGAGAATAAAGGGTTGAAGTTGGCGCTTATCATTCTTGTTGGATGTGTCATTACCATGTTTTGGTACTTGAATGCCCAGTTCAAAGAGTTTCAGCAGTTATCTCAGGGCTCAAGGGAGAACAGCAGAACCAGCAGCACTGGGGGCAGGAGTGGAGTGACCACTGCGCCTGAGGAGATTGGGGAGGGGACAGTTAAAGTGGGAAAAATTATATTTCACATCGATAAAGTATTGGGAAAGGGGTGTGAAGGGACTTTTGTCTACAGGGGAGAGTTCGATGGACGATCTGTTGCTGTGAAACGACTCCTGCCTGATTGCTTTACTTTTGCTGACAGGGAGGTGGCTCTGTTGAGGGAATCTGATGCTCATGCTAATGTTGTGAGGTACTTCTGCACTGAGCAGGATCGAATGTTTAGGTATATTGCACTGGAACTGGCTGAAGCGACTCTGCAGGATTATGTTATTGGGAATTATGATAGGCAGACTATTTCTGTTAAGAATATTCTGGCTCAAGCGACTTCTGGATTAGCTCATTTACATTCTCTTGATATTGGTGAGTTCATTGCCATTGATTATTATCGATATTGATCGCGTGATTTGAAAAACACATTATCCATGCAACACATGGAACACATTCAGGAGGAGAATAAAGGGATGAAGTTGGCGCAGGGTATTCAATCCTTTGTTCTCCTGCACAATCGTGAAGCGTTCCACATTTTTATGTTAAAGAAGGGAATTTATATAGCGCTCCACATCTTTGTGACGTCATAGGAAATGATTGGATGGGATTTGGATGAGGTAGGAGGGGAACCGGGATTATTCTCAATATGAATAATCAGAAATTTTTTTACTGAATAAAAATATTCAAATATTCAAACATGCAAAGATTCAAATTATACAGAGTAAAATCTATGATGAAAACTTATGTTGGTTTTTTAATGAATGTTAGTTCATTGCCATTGATTATTATCGATATTGATTGTGTGAATTGAAAAACATTGGCACGGCAAATATTTGTTGCTAAGTTGCTACGTTGTTGTTTTCAAATTACGCAATTTTATCGCAAGTTATTTTAGGAGAAAATAGGAAGAGATTGTCACTAAAAATATTTTCACTTGATATTTTCAGTGATAATCATTTCATCTGAAGATACCGATGTAATTGGAAAGTTGCATGATTGATTTTCAATTGATTACCATAAAACATCTAGGCAATATTTGTCCATAATTTTTGCTGTTTGCATATTTATTTATGATAAAGAATGCCTGAATAGGGAAATTAGAAAGGATTAACTTCATGGGAGGTCCCTATTAACATATATAGCAGACTCTATGCAATAAGTTTTCATCACAGATCTTACTCTGTATAATTTGAAATGTTCGCTCTCTGAGAAATATGGAATGTTCTAGAAAGGTAGCGGTCTCGACCGGTACAAAAATCTTAAATCAGAATGTTCTAGAAAATGTCGAGAATCATTGCGAAAATCCTCCAGGGTTATTTGTTTTTCATGAAAATGATTGGAAGTTGTAGAAAATTGTAGAAAGATCCAGAGCTGTACAGAATCTTTTGTTAAATTCGACAATCGTCTACAAAGCTCTCCATTTTTCAAAGCTTTGATAGTTCTATCTAGCATATACCAAACCATTCGGAAACTCCCGAAAAATTTACAAAAAATTATAAAAACTTCACGATTAATTTGAGATTTCACCTACGAGACCCTTTTGTCATTGATGAATCTAGAAAGCTCTCCATTTTTCCAAGCTTTGATCATTCTTTCGAGCATATTCCAAACCATTCGGAAATATTCCTCAAAAACTCAACTGAGAGATAAGTCGACTGAAACCACTTTGCTACTGATTTGAGAGTTTACTTACCAGACTCTTTCACCATTGATGCACTCTCTAGGTGCTTCAACAATATTTCAGAATATTCTAGAACTTTCTATCACTTAATATCGTCTGAATGCAAATATCAATGAAGAAAAACTAAACGCCCTCTTATAAATTGAACATCAGCTTTTCTTCCCCTTTGTGTATTCCCCGAAAACATTGACTCCCGTAACATATTCGTATTTTAATAGTCCACAGAGACATAAAACCGCACAATGTACTGCTGTCAACTCCAGGACCGCGAGGTGAGGTCCGCGCCATGATCTCGGACTTCGGTCTCTGCAAGAAGTTGCAATTGGGACGCATGTCGTTCTCCCGCAGATCAGGAGTTACCGGCACCGACGGTTGGATAGCCCCGGAGATGCTAAACGGTGAACGAACAACCTGCGCCGTCGATATTTTCTCCCTCGGCTGTGTCTTCTACTACGTTCTGTCAAACGGAAAGCATCCATTCGGCGACACCCTCCGCAGGCAAGCGAACATCCTCTGCGGAGAAAGTGATGTGTCCTCCCTCCAGGATGTCCATGATTACGACAAAGAATTGGCTCTTGTTCTGATCCGAGCAATGATCGACAGTGATCCTACCAGTCGACCTCCAGCTCTAGCTGTTGAGCGTTTTCCCTTTTTCTGGAACTCAGCTAGAATACTCAACTTTTTCCAGGATGTTAGTGACAGAGTGGAGAAGGACGAGCCTGACAGTGTGGCATTGATGTCCTTGGAGACTGGAGGGAGCCAGGTTGTCCACTCTGACTGGAGACTTTGCATTGACCTCGAGGTGGCCAACGACTTGAGGAAGTACAGAAGTTACAGAGGAGAGAGTGTGAGAGATCTCTTGCGAGCTCTGAGAAATAAAAAACATCACTACCGAGAATTAACAGCAGAGGCTCAAGCAAGCCTCGGAGAAATTCCCCGAAAATTTACAGAGTACTGGCTGTCGAGGTTTCCCTGTCTGCTTTCTCACAGTTGGTGTGCAATGCAACGATTCAGGAGGGAAGCAACACTCCAGGATTACTACGTTCCCGACTATGAATTCACAACGTATTTTGCTTACGAGCAGGTACTCGATGTTTTGAGTAGAGGGAGTAAGGAGGAAGTGCCTTCGGTGAATGATTCACCAGCCCCTCGAACCCCCAATTGGAGGTTCCGAAATGGGGTCGATTGGAGTCCCAATCGTACTCGGTTCAGGACATACAGGAAGAAAAATCAGGAGAGAAGAAAAAACGAGGGAACACTTGTGTGGACATTACCACCCGCCAGTTGAGTTTTTCTTTTCTTCCACTTGTTTTATGTTATCAAGGGTTTTCTGTGAAAGTAACTTGTGATATTTCTTATCGCGAATGGCGTGATCTATTTTATTTTATGTACAATATAAACGTAAATGTGGACATCCGTATTTATTCAGTAAGCGGTTTTTTTCTTTTTTGTTTGTTCTGTTAAGATACGGAAATATTTACTTTGTTTCGGTTCTAATGTAATGGGATTATTCTCAATTTTTGTATGAAATAAATTTCATTTTAGCAGAGTTGAATAGGACAACGTTAGATGTAAGCGATGCCAGTGGGCACACACAGATTTATTGTTACAAATTGAAATATTTGATTGAATGTACATAATATCAATTGTATATACTATATTTCTGTATATTTTACATATTGACTGTATCTCACTAAATTTTAGCTAAATATATTGTAACTAAAAATATCAACAAAATATGAAGGATGTTCGGGGTAAGCAGGTCAATAGATAGATGGTTAAGGGGTTGAATACCGGAAAAAATGGACTGAGGGAAATTTTTACGTTGGATGGGTTTTAACATGTTTTGGATGTGTAGGCTATTTTTTCCGCCTACCGGTTAGGGAAATACGTCGGTGAAATTTAAAAGTCTTCACTGGGCCTGGGGCCCTTTGAACAGTTTGTGATATATGACGGAATATGGGAATAATTAGGGAAAATCGCGGACCCGATCGGTTTTACCCCATATAATTACTAGAAACTTCATTTTTTCCTGTTTTTACCTTCAAAATGCTTCTTGCGCCGTAGTTTTTATCCGATTTTTGCTCTTTTTTTAAAGGTCGTTACACTCCAGAGAATAAAGTTAAGCATCCGTTTTACCTTATTCGCAATAGTTCATGAATAAATGAATATTGAATTTCATAATTTTTACTCTACTCCAGAGACGCGAAAAATTTATGAAATTCAAAATTCATTTATTCATGATCTGTTGCGAATAAAGTAAAATGGATGCTTAACTTTATTTTTTGAAGTGTAACGAATTTAAAAAAAAGCTAAAATCGTATGAAAACTACGACGCAACGAGCATTTTGAAGGTAAAAACAGGAAAAAAACAGGTTTTTCGTGGTTATACGAGGCAAAATCAATTGGGTCCGCGATTTTCCCTAGTTATTCTCATATTTCGTCATATATTATAAACTCTTCAATGGGTCCCAAGGCCCAGTGAAGACTTTTATATTTCACCGACGTATCCCCTTAAGGGGAATTTCAGGTGCGTCGAGAGATCAAAAATAGATTAGTTACCTAAATGAACCAACGATGGGTTTATAACTCATAAAATTAAATGTGGGAAAATAATTATTTGAAGTGGAAACAACGAAGCAATGAATGATAAAATGATGGAACAGTGGGACACTGAAGATAAATACATTCAAAAAGATCATCGATGAAAAAAAGTTCATCGTGTAATTATACATTAGTGTTATTATTAAACATTGAAATTAACAGTACTCCTGATATATTATTTATAGAGTACTCGGAAAAAGTTCAAAGCTTCTATCTTTTAGGCTGCTTACCCTACTGAAGGTCTATAATTATTTGTTAAACCGAAAAGATAAAGTTCCTGGGACAGTATAGATGTAGAGATTTTCAATCATCAAACTTGTCAATTAGATTGGGTAAAATAATTGTTGACATTGACATTATTTTTAAGGTGTAGTTTATTGTTCATATATGGTTGGTGCAACAAATGGTGAATTTCATTGATAATCGATATAAAATTATATGAATGAGTGCGAAAATTTTTCAATCTGCAAAACTTGATATTCTCATTTGTTTGAGGCTCTTGGAGTATCATTATCGAAAATTTCCAAAGTTGCAGGGGAAGTTTTTTCATATTTAACTCGCAAATGACCGGTTTGAAAATAAATAGCTGATTTTCGATGTTTTATTCCCTCGATACAAAATACTCAAATCGTTTCGATTAGAAAGTATATGAATGTGCCATACGAAATTCGTACAAACGTTTAAAAAATACATATTGAAATTTTTCAAATTTTCCAATTTTCTAGTCTTACTCCCTATCAATATTAATTATAAATTCAGTAGCGGAATGATGAAACAGAACAAAAAAAAATCTCACGGGACTTCTTCAAGTATACGATCAAGATCACTCTGGATTTTTCAGATTTTTCCTAGATCTTTCAAATTTATCATTATGTCGATTTATGCTGGTGCGGCACGGCGCTTACGGCGCGACCAACGACGTTCGTAACTTTTGCGCGACCAATGGTGTTTTCGAGGAAACGGTGGCCTTCGGTTACCCCTTAAGGGGAAACGGAACCCCTGCGTTTATATGAATCTTCAGAATTGTGTTTTCTCCTGCAATTATTATTTTTTATTCATTAAACTACTTCATTGACTCAACAATGCGATAATCGAGTCGATAAAGTAATTTCATAGATAGAAATTAATAATTGTAGAAAAAAACACAATTCTAAGATTTGATGTAGACAAAGGGGTTCCGTCTCCCCTTAAGGGGAGACTACTATGAGTTTTAACAGTCGCGGGCTATTGGAATGCGATCTCTCATACATTGAAGATTAATTATATATGTCTAAAAATGAATAATTAGTGCTAAAAAATTGATTATTTATTGTTCCAATCTCCCTTAGATTCCGAGATATTCATTGAAAGCTAGCCAATAGTCAAAATTGACATGAACCGTACTACCACTTCGCTACTGAAATGATCGATCTTCAACGTATGAAAAATCTCACTCCAATCGCCTGCGACTTAAAACTCACAGTAGTCTCCCCTTACATTAACAAAGCATCGTCGAAGAATGGTATTTCCCGTTCGGTAACGGGATACCCCGTATTCAGCAAGAGCTAAATGCACACCCTGCCCCCTCTTGACCCCTGAATCGCCTGTAACGCTTCCCAAGTCTCGTCCTTCACAAATAATCGGGAAGTTCGAGATAATCCTGATCCACCCACTCATCCCCGTCCCCCCTCTCCGCAACCCCCCCGGGAAGAATTTTCAGCAGTGGACTCCCATCGACACTCAGACTCAAATACTTCCTCATCTCCTCGGACACCTCATTCCCCCCAGGTCGCGCATTCTGCGGTCCCAGGTCGAGGTCACCACGATTATTCTCAAACAACGAATTCTTCGGAAATCGAAAATTGCCGGGTAGACAGTGATGCTGAAGACAGAAATAATCCTGATCGTTTTCATTGTGACACCACGTGCCATCGGGGAAGTAGGGATCAAGCCCGAGGTCATTGAGCTCGACTCTGGGGGTGTAGTAGGAGGCAATGTGTCTTTGTTTGCAGAAAACGGCGCAGGCTACCCAGGGTCTCTCGACCTCGTGGGGTGCCTGAAGACCGCTGGCCTCAGCGTCGAGTTCTGGAATGCGATCGCTGAATTCCCTGCACTTTGATGTGGCAAAATCCTCGGGTGTTATGCGTTTCTTGCAGAGTTTTGAGTCTTCGCAGAGGTCAACCGCGAAGGAGAGACCCTTGCACTGACCTGTGCTGTCGTTTCTGCAGGTTCTTCGTTTCGATTTAGCCCCCTTGGATTTTTTTATACATCCACTCGCACATTTCCCTTCGTTCCATTTACTCCAGCCAGTTTCCTTGGGCTTGGGCTTGCTCATCGGGGGCTTCTGCGCGGGGAAATGCAGGGCTGGAACGCAGTCCCCCCCGCGGCACTCCATCCCCTCCGCACAGAGTGTTCCCTCCAGGGCTGGCCCTGAATAGTAGTAACCACTTCGGTGCGGACTACTGCACTGCAGGGACTGGCAGGCGTTGGAGAGCGTAACTACTGACGCGTCTTTGTCTCTCAGCAGTAACTCGCACTGTTTCTTGGCTGTCCACTCGCGACCCGGGAGGGTGTAGAAGCGCTCGTGGTCGAGGAATTTGTCGGCTCTGAGGGTAGTTCTGTCGAGGAGACAGGGCTTCTTCTCGGGAAGGTCCAGGATTACTTGACGACTGCAGGCCGACCAGATTGTTTCTCCGGCTGTCCCTCTACTTGGGGACATTATGTAGCCGTCCCGGGGACAGGGGTTGCCGGTTGAGTCGTGGTGCATTCCCAAACTGGAAAATATGAGGGGTTTGATGGTAATCCTGAGGTGCATTCAGTAGGTCAGGCAAATTTACGGTAAATGTGCACTTCACCAACCTCTATCCATATTGGGTTTTTTGGGGTTCATACAGTGAGAGAAAAAATTATTCCTGCCAAGGATTGATATTCTCGTCAGAAGATAATATTTTTTCAGAACGAATTTTTCCAGGACAGTCATTTTCAGAGAGTCCAAGTCTATCCTCAAAAATTACAGTGATATTGAACAATCTGATTATTATGCTACATATGACCTTGACAAAATGTTCTCCGATATCTTCCGGATTTTACAAATTGGCGATTTTCTCAGGTAAAGAAAATTGGAATAATTCCAAATGTTAATAATTATTATTGGAGTTTCTTCGAGGTCATATGCAGAAGAATATTCTTATAGATCACCATAATTCTCACGCTTGGAACTGATTTCGGAGCACTTGGAAATGACTGGCCTAGAGAAATACGTTCCAAAAGAGATATTTTCTTCTACTAAGAGTATGAAAAAGATATCACCAATAACATTTTCGTGGAAGGAATAAATTTTGTTCTCAGTGTACCAGCCGCGTCCCCGTCGCGAACCCTGGGTCATGCTAAGTGCTGGTAGGGCTTGTTTAATTCGCCTTACCATGCATTTTGAATTTAATTTGAATACCTTAATATAAAAATTTAATATTTATATTAACATGCCTTTAGAGGGAAAGGTGCCGTTTGGGGACACTCGTTGATCTGTGAGCATCCATTTTATTATATGACATGACTCAAAGAGGTTCAAATTCATTAATAGCAACCTAGGTACGTGAGGGTGATAATGTGTAGGGGAGGGGAGGGTAAAACGGACACTTTGGACTTTTTTGAAATATTCATGACGTGTTGAATTGTTTATGAAATGGAATAATTTTCTTTTTCAATTGAAAAACAATGATTCCTCTTTGTGATGAGCAGAGACTGAGCTCAATTGATAAATCTGTTTCTAAGTTATGAATATTTTTAAAAAAGTCAAAAGTCGATTTTACCCTACCCTCCCCTACCTTTACCAACTTTACTTCGGGCGAATCTAGAATTGAGGTATATTCCAAGACAATACCATGCAAGTTAGTTATGGACTTCCGGAAAAAATTCGAAATAACTTAATTTATTAACACGGAAAGAACAACACTCCTAGAAAATTTGAAGAAAGGTAAAGCCTCAATAGGAAACTCTGTAAAGCCCTTTCTGAATTCTACAGATCCAAAAATCCTAAATATTCTACACAAGTTCGTCCAAGGAGTCAAAATAAACGTATGACTGTACAATAAAATGTACCCACATATAAAAGTTGACAAACAAAATGTTGAAATTGAACAGAATCGGCCAAAAACTAATAGAGCAGTTCAATAGAATTTTCCAACGAATTCGATAGGTTTTTCTATTAAATTTTTTTGTCCGTGTCAACTTGCGTCTTCTTTTGGAAATTGTGAATTTTCAATGGCGAAATTCCTTCAAATATAACTTGTTAAAAAATGCAAAAAAAAATCCTTACTTATGCCCGATTTCATGAGCAGCAATGTAAACCGATGTAAATCCAGCCGATGGATACGGTTTCCCCAACCGATTAGTCACACCCAGTTCAGCAATGACACAGGAATACTGATGATAGCATGAGCCGGATACGGTGGCAAGGCCCATCGTAACGCCATTCCTCTTTCCGTTCTCGTCTGCGTAAAAATCCAGTCCGGACACGTATAAACCGATGTCCCAGTGATTGGGATGCTCGTCGTCTTTCGGATTATTCACAGTCGTGTAATTGCAGAACGAGTCAAGGAGTCTCTCCCGTTGGCCGTTGTGGTGGGGCAGACTTGGGGGTTGTTTCTTCATGAGGTCCAGGCGCACAAGTGCGATGTTGACTCTTGAGCCGAGGCTTGGGTGATAGTAGAGGGCCTGAACAGCGTTTATGTAGGCTAGCAGCATATCTCGCATTTTTCTTTCGTCGTTGTTGAAGAATGGGGAGAAGAGCTTGTAGCCAGCTTCATCAAAGAAAACGGCCAGTTCTATTGTTAATTCGGATGAAGAACCTCTTCTTGACCTGGGGATCGCATCCAATGGGAGCTCCACGTAATTTATACTAGATCGAAAGTACTCTGAAGGCGAAATGTGCGATCGCTTCACCAAGTGGGGGATTCCCTCTCCAGATGTTGGGATCTCCTCCAACGGGGAAATTTCGAGGGTAACGTTGGGGTGTAGTATCACACCGTGAACTCCATCATCGCAGATGCTCAGGGCCGCTGTGCTGGAGTCGTCTTCATGAAGATAATGACAGGGGCGAGGCTTACTCAGCTCTGGAATCTCTTGGACACTGTTCGAACCCTCGTGACGCCAGACTTGGAAGTAGGGGGCCAGCAGTCTGTCGTTTCTCCTCAGTCTGAGGTTGAACTTTTGATTGAATGCCGTGAACTCTAGGGGAATCTATAACATAACATGCTCTTGAGAATGGTCACCGGAGTTTTTTTTTCCCGTTGAAAAATGCCCGGAATTGTTTCCCCCGTCAATTTTTCCCAGGTAGAATTTTCCCCCGGGTTTTTTTGCTCCGCTGAAAAATTCTCGGATTTTTTCCCCGTTGAGGATGTTTGTCCAAAATCGCAAGTACTTGAAATTTTTTTTTTAACTGAGAGATGAAGATATTTCCTTCACTTTGATACAAATTTCAATCCGCCAACCCATGTTCATTATTTAGGAATGAGATAGAGAAAATGCACCAAACTCATGCGCTAACATGCGCTTATATGGGATAGAATCATTCAAATATTTCCTCTTCTTCCCCGGGTACCCCGGATTTTTCTCTGGCCATTGGATTCAGTATGATTCTACACATTACCTTGTATTTTTATTTCTATTTTTAGAGTCTTCTAGTATGTGAATTATCAATTTGAACATAATTTTCATAAGAGTCCGTGTGTAAGGAAAATTTTTTTTTATGTTGGAAAAGTTAGTTTTATATGTTCTGCTGTCAGCCGAGAAAATTACAGAATTTTCCTTGACCATAAAAAAAAAACATATTTACCGACAATTTACGGTCACTGGTTAAACATCCTTGATCGTTTCTCAGCTAATTGTTCTCATTGAGATTAATTTTCCTTACGAATTTTTTTCATGTGAGATTTTGTTTGGACTTTTTCTTCAGAAAGTTAATTTCTTTTTTTTCTCTCAGAAAGATAAAAATAAAGAAATTAATGACAAAAATCGTTTTTTTCATTCGCGATTGTTTAGTTAATTCATTGTTTACCGACCAATGTTGATATATTGATAAGGCATGAAATCTATGACTTGTAAACTTCTGAATATGAATAAATTCATTATGATTCCGAACAAATGATTTTTATGGTGGGAAATTAATTGTTTATAAATTATTTGTAGAAAATACTCGGAATTTTAAAAAATGTCAACTTTTAAATTATTTCATCAATCTTCCTCCAAAACTTGGTAATTTTTTTTCAGATTCTTAAAGTGTTTTATAACGGTTCAATATCGAGATTCAAATTCAGACCTGCAAAGTGTAAATAATAAAATCATTATAAAATGTCTGAAAATATGGGGTCAAATGAGGCTCAAATGAAAGCTCTGATGTTCGACTACAAAAGTTGAAAAGAATTTCACTGAAAAAAAAATAGCCAAAATACTTGGATATCCCTAAACCTCTAGCTTCAGGAAAGATAAATTCTTTAGAATCAACAGATTACTTTGCGAATATCTTCGGAATAAAAAAATTACAGGAATTCATACATGAGACCTCCCTTGAAGAAGATTTCGTGAATAATAAAAAAGATCTTTAACCATTTTTCGGTAAACTTACAAGTTTCAGCGGTATTTTGCAATGTTATGTGTAATGATTCAGATTTCTTTCAACGGAATTCCATACAAATCAACAAATTAGTTCACAGAAATATCGTCGAAAGGAATGAATAAATAATTTATGGACTTATTTAAACTCTCCTCAGAATACTCTCTCCCACTTTGCAGTATGCAAAATATATTTTATCTAATTCTAATGAACGAATAATACCTCAGCACTCCTCGAGCTTCTTCTCGTTATGAAAACCACATCTAAATCCTCTTGACAATTACCAAAAGCAATGGAAATACAAACAAGCAGAATCAGTGAAACAATTCTCAAAAAATCATCCATGACGATAAATGCAAGAACCAAAGCAAAATGCAAGTGAACCCGCGAAATCGCTGCATTTTATAATCTCCAGGAACCCCAGCCAATGTTTTGTACCACCAATTGTCATAGAAACAACTGAAAAGCCACCTAAAAAAAAATTATGCTGGTGCCTCCAGGGTTATTAACCACTGTTGTGCATGGTGACTCCACTTTGTTGCACACGAGGCCAATTGCCCTCGGCGTATCATGAATTTAATTTTTTATATACATTAGTATCACTGTCTGGTCACACGAGTCCCGAATCGTGGCACCCACGTTGCCTGACTATTTTAGGAGCGCGCCGAACGGCCAATGAATAGAGGGGGAGACAAGGGGAGAGTGGACTCAAGGAAATGTATAAACGAATTAAAATCTTTGAAAAAAAAAGAATAAAAACACTGATAAAATAACTTAAAGTATCTTCATTATATTATTATTGTGTACAAATAATTTTCAATTGATTTTCATCTCGAATAACACTACATTTCACAAATTTTCAATAATTATGACGCATTCATCGAACACTATCACACAAATAACTCTCGCAACGTCGAAAAAAAAAATTGATCACGACAGTGACATCTCTCCAATAATTATTGTACCAATATCGTTGAATATTCCCTAACTCTCGCTTCTGAATTCCATCCTCATCCTTCGCAACTCATTACTCACGTGGCAATTAAATAAAACGATCCTCCCTCATAACTGCAAGACCGTGTACCTAGACTCACAATAATTTTGACTCACGCGACATTCACCTTGATATCCCGAAAAATAAAAAGGGAAAATGAGATAAAATTCAAAGCGCCAATACTACAACTCCTCCACACACACACGAAAACTAAAAAAAAAAAGAAACCAATCATCCCATGACACAACACGATATAAACTCTTTTTTCTTCCTCCTTGAAAATAAAAACCGGTTAAGAGACTTTCGATGAAAGGGGGTTGGCCAGTGCTTAATGCCAGGAACGTTAATCAGTCGATTAGCATTTATTGGCTCAAATCCCGTGTATTCGTTTCATTGTTACAATGTACTACAACGTACACCCTTCACGATTAAATCTACCTAGCAAATGTGTCAATTGATCGTCCTTGTTCATGTTTATTTTTTCCTCGTATAATTATTTTCAATAATTTTCATTATAAAATAAAAGAGAACCAAAGGAGTCATTCACTGTGGTAGTGTATCATACAAAATGTCTTTAACACTCTGTACCAATGTATCGGGAAATTTGATGTCAAACGATACCAGCAAATCACCTCTGCGCGATGGCTCTTTAGGGAATGGCAAACCCTGTCCCTGAATTCTCTTAACCATATTTGGTTTAACAACGTCCCTCGTCAAATTGAGTGATATTTTGTCACCATTTAACGTTGGCACATCAACGATAGTGCCGCATAATGCCTGTTTCAAGCTCAATTTGCACGTATACCTGATGTCACTGCCTTCACGCCTAAATAATGGATGTGGTTTGTCCCTGATGATGAATACAACGTCAGCTGGCACCTTACCACGTCCCTGATCGCCCTCCTTTTGGAAAGTTATCTTGGTTCCTGCTTTCCATCCTGGTTTAACATTTATCGTGAGCACTTTGTCCTCCTTCTTGGTTGTGCCATCTGGCTGAATGACTCGCCTCGATATCTTCATTTTCTTGACACAGCCCTTGGCAATGTCCTCGAGGGTGACGCAAAGATCGTGCTCAACGGGTGGATCCTGTCCTTGATCTTTTTGCCCTGGCATACGACCACTACCTGGTGCAAAGTTGAATGAGTGTGAACGGAATGCACCACCTCCAACGCCGGGCCTCTGTCCAGCCATTCTCAGCTCGAAGGGATCCTCCATGTCCATGTCGTCGCCAAAGGAGAATGCTCGACTGTTACCACCAGGTCCAAACTCGAAGAAAGTTGCAAATGGCGACGCTGAGCCGAAAAATTGGGCAAATGTTGCTCGAGGATCACCGTGGAATGAATAGTGAGCACCACCACTGCCTCCACCACCGCCTGACGGTGCTCCACCCTTCAGACCCTCCTCACCGTATTTGTCGTACACCTCGCGCTTCTTCGCGTCCGACAGCACCTCGTAAGCTTCAGCAACTTCCTTGAATTTTTCCTCAGCCCCCGGGCTTTTGTTCTTGTCTGGATGATATTTCAGAGCTAATTTACGGTAGGCCTTCTTTATCTCGTCGTCACTCGCACCCTTGGCTATAGCCAGAGTTTTGTAGTAGTCTTTACCCATCTTGGAAGGTTCTAGAACAAAAAACGGAAGGTTTTGGTAGTTGCGGTGCGCAATTAGCGATACGTCAAGTCGAGGGGGAATTAAAAATGTCGAAATGAGGGAAAATCTGGGGATTTTTCACTGTTGATTTTTTTTTATCTCTCTGTTTAGTTTTGTTCTCTTATTTTTAATGTGCCGATCATTCCTCAGTCCCTCGACAAAACCACCTACACACGCATATGTATCGTCTATTTCTGGGAATGATCGCGGGTTGTCTCTCTTTCTGTGAGAGCGTGGAGAGACGACAGGTACTTGTAACTGATGGATACTCAGCTTTCTAAACTGTATTATCGTGGGGAAAATATTAAAAATAAACCGAGTGGTTAAGCCAACGACTCATCGCTCCGAAATTAAACAATATTTTTGTTTTTTTTGAGGAACAGCAGCACGAAAATATGTACGAATCTGCCTGCTGACTCCCATTACGAGCTTCACGACATACCCCAACACGTCAATATACTCTAACACTTTTTTCACTCATTTTTTCAATCATATTTACCTTTCTTCAATCAATGCGATGAATAATATGGTGTTTGACACTATTCACAATCAATGATAATCAAAAAATGTTACGTTCTTTTCGTAACGAAAAAACAAACTAGGAATAACGTGCATAAAATCAGGTTGAACTCTCGGTATGAACTGAAAAGTGGACCAAGCTGCGCAGCCTCATATATACAATTTTCCTTCTAGTACATTCTGGAACCTTCGAGAACGAGTGTGAACGACGTTACCATCGACTTCCGTGGGGCTCGCACTCCGCGCCTATCGTTCATGGGCCTTTTAACCCGTTGCTGACGTCAGTCTAGAGACCCTATGCCTCACGCTCATGTATTTTGCAAATAAACGAGGGCGATGAAAGATCGGGGAGTCGCCAATGAGACAGAGATGAGATGAAAACCAATTTTGCATTGAAAATTTTCGATCAAAGTTTTCGGAACGCATCGCACGAGCCTGGCGCCATCTCCAGTTGTTACTCACTCCGGCGGAAAATTTGAAATTGCGATTTCGTTATTGAATAAAGTTTACACAATTGCGGAAAAATTTCGGGGGATTTTCTGCGGATTTTTCCACAATTTCTCGCAGCTCTGGAGATTGATGGAGATTTGCGTGGGGCGGAGAGGGCAGGGGGTAGCCGTTGGCGGGGACAAAACGGGAAAAATCGCGATGTTGAGAATGTGCATTTAGGAACACTGGTATTCTCACCAATCGCTGGTCACATCGACACACCCTCAAAGCAGTTCCTTTTTTTTTATTTCGAATGCAACCGATACAGTCAACAATTAAACAATATTTATCGTATTGTAATATTACGTTTAATTTTTATATTAATAAACAATTGAATTGCTGTCGGGCGAGTGAATTAACGTAAAATCGTAGTTGTAATTTGTAACAAAGTGAAAGTAGACACAATGGTGAGTCATATCTCTTGAAATATTATTTTAGTGGGTGTACAATTGTCAATTGCAAAATGACAAAAGCACTGTTGAGCGCTGGAGTATAAAAACGGGGGAGATCTGTCAGTGATTGTCCTTGATGATTGATGATGGTAATTTTATTGACGTTGAAAACATTGTAATTCGATACCTAACCCAAAAGGAGACAAAATGTCAAGATGGTGCATCGAGTTTACCCAGTCATTATCTCCAGAATTAGCCCAACCGTGACCGCAATCATAATTATATGAAGAGATTAACAATGTTAATGGGCAATTTCTGGGGGCAATATTGATATTTATTTTACTGTTCATCAGAGTGAACAACAGATGGACTGTGCACTTGATTTGATGAGGCGTTTGCCACCTCAGCAGATTGAGAAAAATCTGAGTGACCTAATTGATCTTGTACCATCGCTGTGCGAGGATCTATTGTCATCAGTCGATCAGCCACTCAAAATAGCCAAGGACAAGGAGTCTGGGAAGGATTATTTGCTGTGTGATTACAACAGGGACGGTGACTCGTACAGGTATTTTAACTCATGTGACAAAATCAACTTCATTGGGTAATGAATGAATGTTGTGTGTTTTTCTCATTGATGATGAAGATCACCGTGGAGCAACACGTACGACCCACCCCTGGAGGACGGCTCAATGCCCTCAGAAAGACTGAGAAAACTCGAGATAGACGCAAATCACGCATTCGATCAGTACAGGGAACTCTACTTTGAGGGTGGTGTGTCATCGGTTTATCTCTGGGACTTGGATCATGGATTTGCTGGTGTTATATTAATTAAAAAAGCTGGCGATGGCTCCAAGAAGATTAAAGGCTGTTGGGACTCTATACACGTTGTTGAAGTACAAGAAAAAACAACTGGTAGGAATGCTCATTATAAGTTAACGTCTACCGCTATGTTATGGCTACAGACGAATAAACATGGCTCGGGGACTATGAATCTTGGTGGTAGTCTCACACGACAGGTAAATTAATTATTCGTAACCACTTTTTGTCCTCAATATTTCACTTATTTAGCTCTTGAAATTATTTAATAGTGAAGTAGGGAAATGAGATGGGACAAATCAGTCTCAGAACTGCTTTTTTTTTTATCCATATACTGAATCTGAAGGGAATACTCTTGGGAGGGGTTTCTTTGTTGAGGAAAGTGGACACTGATTCTTATAAAACTCTCAGTATCTCCTTTGGGTTTCAAGATGTTTTCAAAAATCTGTTGATAAGGTGAATTTAGTTGACACGTTCTGGCATACATTCATTTTATCCTCAAGATTTCATTTATCTAGCACTCGAGGGGATTTAATAGTTAAGTTGAAAAATAAGATAAGCCGACGTATTCTGAAAACAACCGATTTTTCATGCATTTCTTAGAATCCAAAAGGGATAGGCATAGTCTTGTGGGACTTTTTTTTCGTAAAGAAAAGTTAAAGCAACAAAAAATGATTCTTGTGAGATTTTCGGTATCACCTTTGGACTGCGAGATGTTTTCAAAAAATTGTTGATGAAGTGAATTTAGCTATTTCAGTCTGTCATAACTTCATTTCAACCTCAATATGTTTCTTCTATAGCTCTCAAAATGATCCAATAACAAAGATTCAAAAGGGGATGATGTAAATTATTCTCAGAACAGCCGAATTTTCGATCCATATTTTTGAATCCAAAATAAATAGACATATTCTCATAATAGTATATTTCAGTACATGTGGGGCAATATCGTCTTTAACGTGTGTGGGGTTTACAGCATGAGCCGAAGGTGAGTGATGTAACCACACACGTTAAGGACGAAATTTCCCAACAAGTACTGAACAAAGTTTTATGTCACGAAGCCTGAAACCGGCTGAATTAGACACGAGACGCGAAGCGTCGAGTGTGTAATCCAGCCGGTTTCAGGCATGAGTGGCATAAAAAACTTTTTGGAATGAAAACTGAGAGCTACAAAAGTCATTCGGCTTTAGTTTCCGAATTACTTTCTAAAAAACTGTTGATGAACAGAATTTAGTAATTTCGTTCTACCATAACTTCATTTAATCCTCAATATTTTACTCTAAAAGAAAGCTATCGTTGCTGAATAGTAAATCTAGTTATTTCGCTACACCCCTTGTAAAAATATCTTGAAATTGAAGGAAAGTAGCAGAATTCGTTAAAAAAACCTTTTTATAGGGTCCTATAGATGGAAAAAAAAACTTTTGCAAAGATTTTTCCGAAAACTGATCTCAAAGTGACGTTGATTAACTCCCTAATCACCAAGCGATGTTTCTCCCTTAAATATCGCAACTAATTTCATCTGTTCCAGGTCGAACAAGACTGGCCAATAACTGAAACATCCCCACACATCGCAAATATTGGTCGCATGGTAGAAGACATGGAGAATAAAATTCGTAATACACTGAATGAAATATATTTTGGTAAAACGAAAGATATTGTCAATGGCCTGAGGTCTGTGCAATCGCTGGCAGATCAGAGACAGCAAGCAGCACTGAGACAAGACCTTGCTGCTGCTTTACAGAGGCGAAATGCTAACAATTGATCTCACGATAATCATGAGAGCTTTCAATACCATTGTGATTAGAAAATGATGAAAATAAAAAAAATGCAACAAATAATATGAAGTGATGAGAGGAGAGGCATAAAACATTGAGAACACTGGCATAAGAGAAAAAAATACAGACATAAAGTACAGATGGAAATATGACACGTTGCATTCAATTAATACAGAAACACAGACAATTGAAAACACCACGTGGACTCGATTACAATTGATACCCAATTCAGTTGCGACACTTTGTTATTATTCTCTAGATTTAAAATAATGCGGGGAATTTATTATGGGGTTACTTAAAGAGGACACTTATGTTATTTGTTTGTTTAAAAGTATTTGAAGAATTAATTAAATGAAAAAAAAAAAGAAAATCATAGCTGCATAATTGGTATTTACTGAATGAAATAACTGCATAAGTTAAGTGGGCAACGTTGAGGGGAGCCAACGATGAAGATGTATTTGTATAAATAAATTTCATTTTGTTATAAAGTCCTACGCTTGACTATAAGTTTTCATTATTATTTTTTTCTGTTAATTCTAGGATTTTTCATTTGTCTCGCTGAACGATAATGAAACACTGACTATTGTTTATGTAATCAATAGTATTCGATAAAAGACTCTTCCAATCAAAAATATCCTCTTAAGGAACTCCTTAAAAGGTGCCTTGGGTTTTTCCACGTCGTTTCTTGCTGTTAATTATTTATTAGAAACTTCAGTATTTTTCTGTTCAATTCATCTACAAGGAAACAAATGACACTGTGATTTGGCATTATCAATTCAAAATCATAGGCTCTGGAGACTGATATTTTGCATTATCAAGTATCATCATTTTTCCCTCACTGAACAATTTAAATATTATACATAATATTCAATTGAGAAGAAAAAAAACTATCACTTGTTAAAAATTTTTATCATACAATAATTAAGAGTCGAATGTGTTTTCACTTACCATGTAAAAAACATAATGTAGATAAAAATTTATAAAGTAATCTAATGTCAATCGAATTTTTCTGCTGTCTTTTTTTCAACTTCATTGATTTAATGGTACTTGAATTTTTAAACTTTTTGGACAAGGAATATTTCTCTTATTTGTTCAAATGAATATACAACATTCTCAATTGTGTACCGCCTGTTCATTAATTTTGAATAATTAATGGTATTTTTTATGAATTGAAGAGGATTCATGATTTTTTCATTCTCATACCTCAGTGAACTAATGGCTGTTCCCTGGACCAACTATGGACATAAAAAATAGAATTCTCTTCTCATTCATAGACCTCCAGTCTTCATGTATTAGTCCTAGGCTCTAGGTTTCTTCACCTTCTGCCATTTGAGACGTTTGCGTTTACAAATTCGATCATTGATCAAGTGAATTTAACGTTTTGCTTCACAGAATGATAATGCTGGCGTTGGATGATAAGAATAACAGGTGAGTTCAGGAGGGAGAGTGAGCCTTCTTTGCTGTTTCTGCTACAATACAGATCCAAAAATTTCCCCAGAGATGATTCGTACGATTCTTCAATTCGAAAGATGAATAAAAGTGATTAAACATGTGGGATTCTATCGAATTGAATTCATGGAGATTAGTATTCTTAGAAAGCGTTTTATTTCATTTTTTTCTTCGTATTTTTCAAAATTTTCGTAGTACCTTTCTGTGACAGTTCTAATTATATTCACGCATACATATATATCTTGTATTTTCATTTCATTTTTTTTCGTATTTTTCTTGTATTTATCTATATAATTTTTTTCAATATTTCAGGCTGCGTGATTTTGAACTCTGAATATGATTGACAAATTAAACTGAGGATATTGATCGAGGAAAATGAAAATAATGATAAGATAAATCTAATGATTCGTAATGCATATTGCAGGTATTCATTTTATCATTTATTGTTCATTTTAATTTTCATTTTTCACTTGGTCCTCTTCCCAAGTTCATCTACACTTCCACTTGCAATCGCTGAAGAATAAAAAAAGAAAAAGAACGTGAGGTAACATGAGAAAAGTTTTGTATTAAAAGTATTTTGAAAATTTTTTTTTCCATTCCCAAATTTTGGAAAGAGACCTGTGCCAGCCTTTAATACCCAGTCTTATGTCCCCCTCTACCCCATTTGAGTTCAGGTATCTCTATTTTGTTTTATTCAAAATCCGTTCATTAGTTTCACTTGATTTGAGAGAGAAGGCAATGTGACACGTGTGTAAATGTTCATTGATGTTCATCGTATTCGTAATTAATCAAGTGGATGTTAAATAATTAGTAAAGAGAAGTGTTTCTCATCGAATTCCTGACAGCCTAGTTTCATTCACCCCCGAATAAGCTTTGATCATTCAAATTCAAGAGTCATTAAATGTAATTATAGGCCAAGGGGCTGAGAAATAGCCAACGGAAAAGTGAATTAATTAAGAGTAATAAAAAGTACAAAGAGGAAAAAATTTTTTGGGGTAAAATAGGTACTTAGCATTCCCAACTAAATATAAAATAAAAAATTATAACTATCAATTATCCGGATAATATTCATTTCTTTCTGTCATTCTAGTCAGCTTTCAGATGAAATGCACGTATACGATCTGGCAGAATTTCATGTTCCATGAAAAAATGCCCTGCTCCTCCTCATGAAAAAAACATTAGCAGGAGCAATTCTGTGATCTTTCCCTCCATTACATTTTATAATAAATCACTGTACAGCTATTGTGGCTACAATAGACTGCTCTCAGTTAAGAAAAAAAAGAAACAAAATCAATGAAGAACAAAAATGTAAAAAAAAAAAAATTGAGAATTGTTTTTTGAAGGCTTGTCCATGTTTTATTTTCAATCAACCCTTTTTTTGATGAAAAAATTGTTTCTGTCGCCCTATTCTCTTATATAACAAACAACATGTGTGTGTATATGTGTATGTGTTTCTGCGTTTCGCACTCTCCTAGTTCAGACTGTCCATCGTAAATGTCGATCCAGCCAACTTATTACTTACACTGCTTAGAAACTTTGTTAAGCACATGTTCATTCGGATATTAATTATTACCCAATTAGCGTATGTTGTTGTTTTTTGGTAAATGATTCAGGTGTTTTTTTTATACTTTAATTAAAAGTTGTTTTATTCTTCTTTTAACCACTGCTGAGATTTGATGTTGGTTGGAACTATTGGTTCGTTAATCAAATTTGTTTTCTTTATTTTTATTTCCTTCGTTATTATTACTGCTTTTTTTCAGTTTACCAATGATTGAGGTGTCGATTGGCTAAGCGGGTGAGGTTGTGTACGGTTTTAACTGAACACAATTATTTGTCGAGGGCAGTGTTGGTTTTGATGGCAATCACCACTTCTTCGTTACAGGCTTTTAGAACAGTGCACTGAAAATGAAAGAAAATAAATTAATGGCTTGATGCTGAAGATTTCTCTTCGGGAAATGTCAGAAAGTGGCACGATCGATTCGCAAATTATTTTTTTAAAGAGGTTGACAGAAAAATGTCAAGGAATTTCTGACATAATGTCCTCTGACAATGAAGTCCCGTCATTTTTTTTCTTTCACACATGTGATAGTTTACATCATTACATCATTAAGGGGAGACGGAACCCCTTTGTCTACATCAAATCTCAGAATTGTGTTTTCTCCTACAATTATCAATTTCTATCTATGAAATTACTTTATCGACTCGATTATCGCATTGTTGAGTCAATGAAGTGGTTTAATGAATAAAAAATAATTGCAGGAGAAAACACAATTCTAAAGATTCATATAAATACAGAGGTTTCGTTTCCTCTTAAGGGGTAACCTCAGTACTCTATATTTGTGAGAAATTTCGGAACATGCTAGAGACACTAAATATGAATTATTTGTTGTTGGGTCCATTAAAAAAAGATGATTATAATTTCAAGGACTTAAACCGTTTCATTTTGGAGATGTGCATCTCTGACAATTGCAAAAACGGGATTCCTTAAATTTTGGTTATCGGCAAACAATAGATGATTCAAACTTGGTGTCTGTAGCACCTTGCGAAATTTATTACAAAAATTATGTCTGAGAATGTTGTCTGCAAAAATTTTACTCTCAAAATTCTAATTGCACGATGTACATATTACCTTTTACTAAATTGTAATGTGCCATGCCAATTACACATTGAGCCATCTGAATTCCATATTTTACAATTTAAACTGGTAAATGTTCAATTTATAGTATACAACTCAAGCAAAATACAAAAACTACAAAATTTTGTTTTTCTTGAATGTACATGCGGAAATTGCATGTATCGAAGTGCACACAAGAAACTGAATATTCATAAGTTTGAATTCAAAATGTTGAATTCAGATTGCACAATATATAAACGGGTTGGTACATTTCATTTCAGTAGAGTTCAAAGTATATATCCTATAATTAGAATGTGAAGTTCTATAGGTAAAGTGATAAATGCAAATCAAATTTGTCAAATGAAGAGACTCGATTGAGTGTAATACGAAATTTCTAAATTTTGCTTCCAAAGATATTTGCTATTATCGTTTCCCACTTTGCTGCCCAGATTTATCTGAATAATAAGTTATTTACGAGTATGTCTTTTCCAGCCTCATAGTCGGCGCGAAGCTGAGCACCTAATTCACCATCAGGGACCTTGAGATCCTCACGGAGGTCACCATTGTCGGCCATCAGGCACAAGTAACCGTCGTCAGATATGTCTGTCAGCTTCGAAAGAAAAAAAGAAAAAATGTAACATTTAAATGGCATTTAAATGACGGATGAATCAATGGATGCAGGAATAATCTACCTGATAGTCTTCTCGTTTAACGAAGGGTACATCCATGTTGTGTGTGGAGGGACAGATATCTTCGTACTTCTTCGATGTAAAGATATCAATACCAACGAGATGTACCTTGGCATGACCGTGTTTACCAGTTTTTGATGTTGACATTTCAACAATTTTGCATGGTCGTGATTTCAGCATGACAAATCCATTTTTACGCAGGGCTGAGCACTGCATGGGATAGGTCACTGATGCACCGGAATCACCGGTCTCGAAGTGAGTATCCTCGATATCTGCCATCGTTGGGTTTTACCGATTGTCTGAAAATTATTCAAATGACGTTTTATTCAACCATTCATTTCAAAGAGGGAGGAGAGAAAATTAAGATGAATTTTTCTTTTTCCCAAGCATGTCCTCAACCAGATGGAGTTTTAGGGAAAGGGGAGGGTTTCTGATCAGGTAAGCATAGGAGGATCTAGAAATTGATCACCGTTGTTAGGTATATTAACCCCATGATTAGAAATATAATTTTTTTATGACTGATATTCATTGATCGATGAACTCAATACAACTCTCGAAATTTGTCAGTGATCAGGTAGTACTCCTGATCAGAAACCCTCTTCTTTACCTTATCTGATATCAAAAAATTTTAATTGTCGGATTTATCACTCAATCATTAATTTGAGAGAGAAAAAACTTATTGTAAAACTCCTGCACTCTCTCTACCATTTCCCACTTCCAAAAAAGGGGAGGGTTTCTGATCAACTAAGCCCAGGAGGATCTAAGAATTGATTACCGTTTTCAGGGATATTAACCCCATGATTAGAAATATAATTTTTTTATGACTGATATTCATTGATCGATGAACTCAATGCAACTCCCAAAATTTGGCAAAAAGTGGTCAGGTACTACTCCTGATCAGAAACTCTCTTCTTTACCTTATCTGATACCAAAAAATTTCAATTGNACAACTCTCGAAATTTGTCAGTGATCAGGTAGTACTCCTGATCAGAAACCCTCTTCTTTACCTTATCTGATATCAAAAAATTTTAATTGTCGGATTTATCACTCAATCATTAATTTGAGAGAGAAAAAACTTATTGTAAAACTCCTGCACTCTCTCTACCATTTCCCACTTCCAAAAAAGGGGAGGGTTTCTGATCAACTAAGCCCAGGAGGATCTAAGAATTGATTACCGTTTTCAGGGATATTAACCCCATGATTAGAAATATAATTTTTTTATGACTGATATTCATTGATCGATGAACTCAATGCAACTCCCAAAATTTGGCAAAAAGTGGTCAGGTACTACTCCTGATCAGAAACTCTCTTCTTTACCTTATCTGATACCAAAAAATTTCAATTGTCAGATTTATCACTCAATCATTAATTTGAGAGAAAAAAATTGTTGCAAAACTTCTGCACTCTCTCAACCATTTCCCCAGCAATGAAAATATTCCTTTGCGTTCAATCGTCTTATTCCAATCAAGAATTAATTACAAAACACAATTATCAGATAAATTCATGACGTATAAAAACCGAAACACCTAAAATAACACGCCTCCCCAGATAAACCCGGCGACTCCTCCGCCCATCCCTCCCCAATCGCCCAAAATTCCTGCAAAAAGCCTCGCAAACCCAAAACCCCAACCCACGAACCCCCTGAATGACTCATCTCCGGACTAAATTCAATCTCAAACGTCAATAGTCCTCAAGACCAAGTAAGAAAATGGAAGTGCCTAGTGGCAAGATAAAGCCGTCTGATTGGCAAAATAAAAGACTCGAAAAAGGCGTCAGGCAGCCGAGAAAATCCCGCAAGAAAAACATAAAACCGAGCAACAAAGAGAAAAAAAAAGAACATTCCGGCCACTGCGGCGTACGTGTAATGTAGCCGAGGGCTGCGGATGACTGTGACGATTGCCCCGGGAGTACCGTAGCCATGTGGCATATTCCAGCAATAATCCCGACAAAATCCTGAGTAACTGACCAATAATTTCCCCCCACAAGGTCCTCAAAAATCCAGAGGATTGCAACGAGGCGTGAGTCAATGGCCGTGTCCAAAGGCTGACCTTAAAGGGATTGGATAATGAAAAACAAGGAGAAATAAAAAAAAGAAGGCGATAATGCTGGCGCGGCTCGAGACACGGGAGCACACAGACGAACTAACCAAGAATGGGTGGCGAACGGAGTGCTCCAGCCTCCACCGACGGAAAATCATCGATAATGCATGAAAAATAGTTCGAATATGAGAAGCGATATGGGAGCCACAGTCTAATAATTTATTTAAACAATTGAATGCCGTATTTGACGAAAAAAATGTGGAAAGATGGCGCGAAACGAGGCGCCAGCCACATTGCCATCAGGTACCGTTTGTCATCGTCACAGTCGCTCGTTAATTATACTGCTAATACCCCCGTAAATCAATCACTTTTTAGCCAATCAATATGACCTTACATGTACACTGTTAATATTAGGAATGTATCCGGTGTTAATAGTATATTATCACAGTATAATATTCACAAAAATCAGCAACAGCTCGAGATACTCACATGTGATCAAAATGGATACTCTAACCAGAAGATCTGATGGCGCTTGCGCAGTGTAGTGTACGAAAGCGGGGTCCTCTACACTGGAATCACGGATTTTGTGAATCGTCTGTCCCAACCTTTCTACCTTTGCCGCTTCAAAGTTGTATGTCTGTCTCTCTCTACTTTCGCGTTTTTTCACTCCCGTGACGAGAGGTTTTTGAATTTCGAATTGGCTTAGGTGGTTTGAGGTTCAGAGGTGTTGAAAAGGTGATTGAATGATTGTTCTGTTCTGAATAAGTCGTTGTTAATCAATTGACTGTAGAATTTATTCTGGGTGGGAGCTGACGGAGAGCTGTTGAACGCACGTGTCGTCTGTTTGTGGATGTATACAGAGAATTTTTGGAGGAGGAGGTTGATGACTGGATTGAAGGTAGAGGTATTTAGGTGTTGATGGTGATAATGATAATTGATTGAGTTGATTAATTAATTGCGGGGGAATGTGTGAATTCATAAGTTTGATTTGTTAATTTTTTGGTAATTTTTTTGCAGATTATTATTTGATGAAAATGTTATCACCCGAAAAGGCAGATGTTGACGTTGAACTTCTCGAGTCAAATTTCATGTTTTACGATTTCACTGCTGACGTTGGCGAGGTTAGTTATACCTGCCAAATCATGAAGATGGAGGAGAGCTTTTATGTTTATGTTGGAAAGGCTGGGGACGAGAGTATGAATGATCTTACATATTCGTTCCTCTCGGCTTACGACAATCTTCCAGTGGCTACTAGACTTCTGGGGGCTGTGGGGAATCCACTGTCAGCACCGCTTGCTTCTAAACTTACGAAATTGTCTGGAAAGTCTGTTTATGTTAGTTTTAATTTGGATATACATCGGAGGATGATGCCTTGTATTGAAAAACGTATTGCTGAGGAGTTTAAAACACATGCTATGGCCTCATGAGTATTTTGGGGGAATGAGAGATGGGGAGTGTTGTTACCAAAAAACCATTTTGTAAAAATGATGAGAATAAATGTATTTTTTTGAATTTTCCATTGGTATTCTTTATTCTTAATTGTATTGGGACTATTTTGTAAAGGAGAGGATAAATTATCAGTAAAATTTTGTTGCCAAACTTGCCCCATTAGTTGATATGCAGGAGAAGTTGAGGAAAATTTCAGACAATTTTGAAGCACGAACAGCATTCGGCTGGGTCGTTCCCTCATCTGAATTGCCAACCAATAGGAAGGCAGTATTTGACGTTTTTGCGGGCCAAACAATGATATTTTTATTTAAATTAAAAGTCTTGCTGAACAAAACGAGGAATGAGAGGAGGAAAATAATTTTTTCATCGATAAATTTGAACAATTGAAAGTACAATTATTGTAAATGAATGTGGTGTGATCCGAGGAAGTAACGAGTTTCAGAGCCTTCTGAGATCTAGAAAAACTGGCGAATATGTTTGAAAAATTGGAGCCTTATCCAGACAATTCCAGAATTTTCCAGAAGATTTTGGACTGTTCTACAATTTTTTAAAACCTTCCATTGTGCTCTTGAGAACAATGATTTTACAAGAATGCTGGGAACAATTTTTTTTAAATTTTCATTTGTTTTTCTTTGATTACTTAGTTAGTTTATTCAGTCAATGTTCGTTACTTCAAGAATGAAATAAAGGTCGATTTCAAAACCTAGTGAATCATTTTGAAAATCTGTTGATGGTTGTCAACTTGAATATTAAAAATAACATGAAAATTTCGAATTGTTAGGAAACGAGTGTTTTGTCTTGCATTTTCATCGTTCTTTGGTTCATCCTCAATTCGATTTCTGTTATTTCCTAAGGAAGATAATAATGAAATCTCATTGACAATGAGAATGACCATAACAATGAAGAGAAAAAATATTTAATTTTTATTTTTATTCAAGCATGTATGACCTTTCCGCCTTTTACATACGGTACCCCCCAATTCCTAGTATAATCATTATAAACATTATTACAAACGTCGTTAATATTCACCTCAAAGAGAAAATTAATGAGTTTACATAGGAAAACAGCAATTACATCTGCAAAGCACAAATATTACAATAGGGGAGGTTGGGGTAAAACGGACACTTTTGACTTTTTTTTAAATGTTAATGAGGGGTTGAAATGTTGCTAAAATTTAATAATTTATTTTTTCAATACAAAGAACAACTCTTTCCCTATGTGACGAGCCTAAACTGAGCTCATTTGCTAAATTTGTTTCTGAGTTATGAATAATTTTTAAAAAATCTAGTGTCCATTTTACCCCACTCTCCCCTACTAAAATATTCGTTGAAATGTTTTTTTATTTTAAGAATAACAGAGAAGACCAATTTTTCAACGTTTGAAGTAATCATCAGAGGCCTTGATTATACTTCTGAAATAATAATAATTTTTAAATAATTGTTTTCAAAAGGATCCTCGAAAGTAAAAAACTCAAATTTCCCTCCTAAATCCCTCTACTGCCCCCCGCCGCAACTACTGTCAACCGTCACGCGGGCCGGACCTGTTCAAGCACGTCCAAACTCCCAAACACGTTCGAACCACACGTGCGTTGGCTCGCCATAACCTTCCAATCGTTTCTGGCCATCAAACGTCGATAGCGCGATAAACTCTTGCCTGAAATAAATCCAATCAACCTCGATAAATGAGTCGCACAAAGTATTCCACCAACTCTCAAAGATGTTGCGAGACAATTTCTTAAAATACATCAGCAAGAGCTCCTACCTGAAAACCTGCGAAGAATTCAAGAAATTCATCGACAAAGAGGTGAGTATTTTTGCGCATCAGAATGTTCCCCCTTCAACGTTCTTATCTCGGGGAACAAATTCTAATCCCCACAAATCAATAATTCCCCTTCACCCCCCGTTCTCAGGAATTCACCGAAAATGATCGTCGAGAACTTCTTCAGATTTTGTGTGATCGTCTCATCGAACGAGGGGGGGGTGCAACCATTATCGACAATTTTCCCCATTTTTTCCCCATAATGCTCTCGATGGTAATTCCCCTCGAGTCATGGGGACGCCCCACAGGGACTGCACTGTCCCACGAGAAAAAATGCATCCTCCTGGGTGAATGGATGAACCAGCACCCAGACGTCCTGGGCCACACACTGCGATACTTCGAGACCCGCCCAGCGCCCTTCGAGCCCCTCCCAGAGGCCCCAGAATTTACCAACAAGCGTCCAAAACTCGAGACAGAAGCATCCACCTCTAAACAATCCGAAAAGCCCTCTGACGAAGAAATTGTCAAGGCAACCTACAAAATCCTGAAGGCATCTCCCACTCACTTCAAACGCAAATGGAACTGGTCAAAGTTCTACCATTACTTGGACCACAAAAGTGAGAACGTTCGGTTTATCGTCATCAAATGCCTGGGGATAGTCCTGGAGATGTCAGAGAAGAGGGCAATGTCCTGGATCAAATCGTCGATCCCAAGTTATTCCAATCGCACCCTTAAATACGCCCTTGGAAATGAATTGGACCCACCTGCACTGCTGACAGAGGATTACGACGTGAGAGGAGTTGAGGAGTGCCTCGAGGGCTCAACCCTGGTATCAATCGCAGGAGTCCTGTTACCCACCTTCAAGAAGGATGCCTCACAGTCCCTCAGCCTCGTCCCAGTCCCCTCGATGGAGTCAAACCTACGAAATCTGGCACTGGCAGTGGCTTCGAGAAAGGCTGTGTGCCTTCAGGGGCCAGTTGGCTGTGGAAAGACAGCCCTCGTCGAGTATCTGGCTCAAATGACTGGCAGGGGACAATCAGACATCATCAAGGTCCAGCTGGGAGACCAGACGGACTCAAAAATGCTTCTTGGAATGTACAGGTGCACAGACATACCTGGGGAATTCGTCTGGCAGGCTGGTGTACTGACTCAGGCTGTTTTATCTGGCAAATGGCTGGTGTTGGAGGACATTGACAGTGCAGCGCTGGACGTTGCCAGTGTCCTCAGCAGCCTGATGGAGACTGGAACCCTCTCTGTACCTGGATATCGTGACACAGTCTACGCTAAGAGTGGCTTCCAACTGTTCGTCACCCAGAGACTGATCACAACGATGACTGGGGCCTTCAGGCAGTCGTCAGGTGCCTCTGATCTACTGGGGAAACACTGGTTTTGCGTCCATATGGAGCCTTTATCCAAGGAGGAGCTGATCACAGTTGTTCAGACAATTTTTCCACAGCTTTCGACAATCGCCACGAAGATTGTCAATGTCTTCCTCCTGTTCTCGAGTGGAAATCACGAGGCTGGGAGTGAAAATCTATCGAGAGCCACTGGGAGACTGATATCCACGAGGGATTTGATCAAGTGGTGCACCAGAGCCATCGTCGACTTCGAGGTTTCCTCACCAGAGTCAGCTCTCAAAGTCCTCCAGGATGCTATCGATATTTTCTGCTGTTCAGTACCAGATGCAGCTCTGCGACTGGAACTGGCTGTCTCCATCAGCAATACTCTGGGGATCATCAGCACAAAGGCAGAGTATTTTGTCAATTCTCATAAGCCCTCTGTCTCGGTCCAACCTGAAACTTTCGCAGCAGGTCGAGCCAGGATAAATCGTAAAAGTGCACGTTCAGTGCAGTTGGAAGAGAACAAAGTGAACTTCTCATTCACGAGACCCTCAGCATCACTTCTAGAACGTGTCACCAGTTGTGTCGCTCACAAGGAGCCTGTGCTGCTCGTTGGTGAGACTGGAACTGGTAAAACTAGTTCGGTGCAGTTTCTGGCTCGCAGTACAGGCCACAAACTCATCGTCATCAATATGAATCAGCAGAGTGAGAGTGCTGATCTCCTTGGGGGATACAAACCAGTTGATATAAGATTACTGATAACCCCTATAAGAGAAGAGTTCGAGATTCTCTTCAGATCTTTCTTCGCTATCGAGCCTAATAGAAAATTTCTGGACCACGTGGCTGTGTGCTACAGGGATGGCAAGTGGAGGACACTGGTGAGTTTGATGTCTCACAGTGCTGCAGCAGCTGTTGCAAGATTGAAGAATGGCAGTCTTTCATCATCATCATCTTCGGGGAAACGGGCTCGAGGGGCTTCGAAGGAGAGGCCAACTGCCCAACAAGACGCAGAATTGTTGATCAAATGGGGGAAACTGGTGACTAAACTGGAGAAATTGAAGTCACAGGTGAAGGCAGAGTTCTCTCTGGCGTTTGCGTTCATCGAGGGGAGTTTGGTGAAAGCCCTGCAGGAGGGACACTGGGTTCTGCTTGACGAGATCAATCTGGCGTCGTCAGAAACCCTGGAATGTCTCTCGGGATTGCTCGAGGGGTCTTCAGGATCAGTCTCTCTGCTGGAACGTGGAGACAATGAATCGGTCAAGAGACATCCAGACTTCACGATGTTTGCCTGCATGAATCCAGCTACAGACGTGGGGAAGAAGGAGCTGCCAGTGGGGTTGAGGAACAGATTCACTGAGTTCTATGTTGACGAACTGACAGAACGAACAGATCTCCAACTACTCGTGAGTTCTTACCTTGATGACCTGAATCTGCCGTCAGTCAAAGTCGAGTCAATCGTCAAGTTCTACCTGACAGTTCGAAGTGAAGCACTGCACTCGTTGAACGATGGAACAGGACACAAACCGCATTTCAGCTTGAGGACACTGTGTCGAGCCCTGAGTGTAGCTGCTCAGAATCCCTGTGGAAATGTCCTGAGGTCCCTCTACGAGGCATTCTGCTTGAGCTTCCTGACCCAGTTGAACCAAAATTCGTACCCAGTGGTGCACAGACTGATTACCAAAACGATCCTCAATAAGGAGACAATGAAAGGCACTTTGGGAGCCCCAATACCAAAGCCAAGATGTGGAAGTGACGAGGATTATATCAACTTCGAGGGTTACTGGGTGGTGAAAGGAAGCTTGGAGCCAGAGAAGCCTGAGAACTACGTTCTAACGAGTTCAGTACGTCAGAATCTCAAGGATCTGGTGAGAGTCGTGTCCATAGGAAAGATGCCAGTGCTTCTTCAGGGTGACACATCAGTTGGTAAAACAAGTCTGATCACTTACCTGGCGAAATCATCTGGTCATGTCTGTGTTCGTATTAATAATCACGAGCACACAGACCTCCAGGAGTACGTTGGCAGTTACGTGGCTAGTGAGACTGGGAAACTTGTCTTCAAGGAAGGGGTGTTGGTTGAAGCCATGAGGAAGGGCTACTGGATAATCCTGGATGAGTTAAATCTGGCCCCAAGTGATGTTCTGGAGGCTCTTAACAGAGTTCTCGATGATAACAGGGAATTATTCATTCCAGAGACACAGCAAACAGTGAAAGCCCACAGTAACTTCATGCTCTTTGCTACCCAGAACCCTCCGGGCATCTATGGAGGAAGGAAGGTGTTGTCCAGGGCCTTCAGGAACAGATTCGTCGAGCTTCACTTCGACGAGATCCCCCCAGCTGAACTGCAGGTGATTCTTCATGAACGCTGTCACATGCCTGAGTCCTACTGCAAGCAAGTCATCCACGTCATGACTGATCTCCAGATGAGGAGAAAGAGTACAGCAGCTTTCTCTGGTAAACATGGGTTCATTACTCTGAGGGACCTGTTCAGGTGGGGTGAGAGGTTCAGACTAGCTGGAAATGTTGGGGAGGGATTTTATGACTGGAGCCAGCATATGGCTGATGAGGGATATCTGGTGCTGGCTGCCAAAGTGAGGAAGCCTGAGGAGGCTGAGGAGATCAGACAGGTCATCAAGAAACATCTCAAGAGAGATGTCGACCCATCGAATCTATTTTCATTGAGTGACAACACTTCGACTGTGACTAAACCAATTCTCGAGGCTATTCTGAACAAACCAATTCCTGGGTTTGAACACGTCGTCTGGACCTATCACATGAGGAGAATGGCAGTTCTGGTGATTAAATCGTGTCAGTTCAAAGAACCAGTTCTGCTGGTGGGAGAGACTGGAGGAGGAAAGACAACAGTCTGTCAGCTAGCTGCTGCTATGAAGAATAAACACTTGTGGAGTGTCAATTGCCACATGCACACGGAGTCCTCAGATTTTCTGGGAAATTTGCGACCAGTGAGGGATCACAGTGATGACAATCAGAAGTTGTTTGAATGGGTGGATGGACCACTGATAGCAGGCATGAGGGCTGGGGATATTTTCTTAGCTGATGAGATTTCTCTCGCTGATGACAGTGTCCTGGAGAGGATGAACTCACTGCTGGAGCCTGAACGCAGTCTTCTGCTTGCGGAGAAGAGCGCAGATTCTAATGTTGATTCACGTGAATTGGACAGTGTCATTACTGCTCACGAGGACTTCTGCTTCATTGGGACAATGAATCCAGGGGGAGATTATGGAAAGAAGGAGCTGTCCCCAGCGCTCAGGAACAGATTCACTGAAATCTGGTGTGAGGGGTGCACAGACAACTCTGATCTTCAAGTTATCATCGAGCACAATTTACGTTCACGTCCTCACATCGACAATCAGACAATTGCAAGGGCCATGATCACTTTCTTGGACTGGCTGAAGTCCTCTGAAGTTGGCAAACGTTTCTCTGTGAGCATCAGGGACGTTCTGACTTGGGTTGACTTCATGAATTCCTCCTCCACATTATCTACGAGTGAGGCTTATTATCATGGCGCTTGTCTAACGTACATCGACAGTTTGGGCTCTGGTGTAACGGGGACTGAGAGGTACGAGAAGCTAGAGTCATTCAGAAGAAGTGCCATTAGCTTTCTGAAGCATCAGACAAAACAGAACTTTGAGAGAGCAGAGGAGGACATGATGAGAACAGACCCTGAGGTGGAGGCTGAAGAACTCTTTGGTGTGGCACCTTTCTACATTCCCGTGGGACCAAGTGGTAAATCCGAAGACACTGGTTTCACCTTCACAGCCCCAACGACAAGAGGTAATGCCCTGAAGGTATTACGTGCCCTCCAATTGAAGAAACCCTTGTTGTTGGAAGGAAGTCCTGGTGTTGGAAAGACGAGTTTGGTGTCAGCAATAGCGAAGGCCTCAGGGCACTCGCTGTTGAGGATTAATTTGAGCGATCAGACTGATGTATCAGACTTATTTGGAGCTGATTTGCCTCTGGAAGGGGGCAAGGGAGGACAATTTGCTTGGAAAGACGGCCCTTTCTTGAGAGCTTTGAGGGCTGGAGACTGGATACTCCTTGATGAGTTGAATCTGGCGTCACAGTCTGTACTGGAGGGCCTCAATGCCTGTCTTGATCATCGGGGTGAGGTCTACATTCCAGAGCTAGGGAAAACCTTCACTGTTAAACCTGGAACGAAGTTATTCGGCTGTCAGAATCCATTGAAACAGGGAGGAGCTAGACGAGGACTTCCCAAGTCTTTTTTGAACAGATTCACTCAAGTTTTCGTTGATGCTCTGTCTGACGATGACCTGAGGATAATTACACAGTCTCAATTCCCAGAGTTGGGGGAGGACCTTATTGGGAAGATCGTTGAGTTTAATTCGAGGGTTTCCTCAAACGCTGGACACACCTGGGGGCATTGTGGTGCCCCTTGGGAGATGAATCTGAGAGACATCACGAGGCTCTGTGAATTGATCAGGTCGTACGGGGCGAGGTCTTCGTTGGATAAGAGTTTGCTTGAGGCTGTGGCTCTCATTTATTGTAGTCGATGGAGAAGCCCAGATGACAAGTACGAACTTGCACAGATTTATCGAGAGATCTTTGGAGGGAATGGGTATCAGAGCTTGCAGCATCCCAAGACACCAGTGCTGAATGTCACTGATGAGTATCTTTATTTTGATAATGTGACTGTGAAGAGGACTGATAAAGCTTACTTCGAGGATCGTAATTTGTTGGTGTTGAGGAACCACATGCCTGTGCTGAAGGGACTGGCTTACTGTGTTAACATGAATTGGATGCCTATTCTTGTGAGTATTCGAACCAACTTGATTTATCTGATTTCATTGATTCAGTGACAAAGTACCTAGGGAGGGAAATTAAATCAATTGAGAACAAGCAGATTTACATGTTTGTTTTGTGAATATCCTTGAAGGGTTTTAGGGGAATCTCTCTAAAGAACTTTTTGGAGGGTGTTCTTCATTGCAGGAAAGATCTCTTGTCGTTTTTCTGATACAGGAGAATGTCGAGCACATGAAAATTTCTGATGGTTTTCATAATTTTGACCAGGCCATAATCATAATTTTTTTTGTTATTTTACATCGCGTCGACTCGGTTGAGTATATTGCGATGATGATCTAGACTTTAAAATGGGCCGTAACTATTCGCACCATTGTGTGAATCACTCCCGTACACTCCATACACTCCACGCATGCGTGAAGTTTGTGTGTTTCACGCAGCCGAATTTTCATACTGCTGTGTATTTCACGCAGTTGAAGTTTCATACTACTGTGTGTTTCACGCAGTTGAAGTTTTATACTACTGTGTGTTTCACGCAGTTGCATTTTGATACGCCTGTGTGTTTCACATTTTTATACATCAGAATTGCGTTTTTCCACTTCCTAGGCCTTATGCAAGATGAATTAAA